AACTGAAACAGAAAGTGCTTCTATTATGGGGTGTTATTCACTTCCCAGCAGCATAATTCGTACAAGGTATATCCACACAAAATCAACAAGCAAGATCACCGCCCTCAAACTCAGAACTCAACCCTCTCTCATCAGCATCTTTACTCCTGGCCCTCGACCCCTCGTCACAGTCCTGCCCGACGGCACATGCGCTCCATGGAAGCCCAGAGCAATCGCAAAGTCTACGCCCGCTCTCCCCATCTCCGTCATCGTCTTTGCGTTCAAGCAAAGCAGATAGCTCTTACCCTTCTCGCCATCCAACACTACGCTCAGCAACACACCATCATCTTCCTCCTCTCCACCCGGCCTCGGAATGAAGATGGCTTCACCGGGTGTGTGGCCCTTGGGGTTATCCCAAAACAGTACCTCCCGCGTTTCGGTGTCGGTCTTGACGATGGCATCCGTCACCGTACTGCGGCCTCGGAAGGGCAGGCTGTAGACGTAGCGATGCTTCTTGGTGGTGTAGAGGGGGTTGATGGTTGGGAGTTCGCCAGCGTGCGGGGCGGGGATGCGGAAGACTTCGTGGTTCTTGGGGTCTGGGGTGGTGGGCAGCTTGTTGGAAGGTGAGTCCGGGTTGATGGTGAACTGGTAGCGTGTTAGATGGGCGAGGGAGTTGCGGGCGCGGTTCTCGTCTTCGTAAAACTTCTTGGCTGCGGAGTCTCTATCCAGAATCACGTCGAGATACAGAGAGTGGATGAACTGATGGGAGCCAAAATCGATGACGTCGCAAAAGAGGTTGATGTCGGATGACTCGGAGCCCGCCTTCTCCTCAAAAGAGTTGACGGTGTGGAAAAAGAAACGGCCATCGGTCTCGAAGCGGGCTACCACGCCTTTGCCGTGTTTCCTGTCGATGACAATCCACTGGGTTTTCCTGCTTGGGTCATAGGGCCTGAGGGCATCGAGCAGGTTGCGCTCCCAGGGAATCTGTGTGCCGTTGAGACCAAAGTGTGAGGTCGGGATACAGAGGACCACAAAGCTGGGAGAGAGGAACAAGCTATGGATATAGGCAGGTGAAACGATGGGCTCGCGGATGGTGGCCAGGATGTCCGTCTTTCCAGTGGACGCATCGACACGGAACACTCGATACGTGGGCTTCGGGCCAAGTTCCAGGTTGTAGTTGAAGAGGTCACCCGTCTCAGGGTCCCTTTGGGCATGAGCACAGGACATGGGGCCCTTCAACTCAGGGTGAAGGACATCTTGGGTTGCCCACCCGATGGGCTCCAAAGTCTTCGGGTCGATCTGCTTCATGGTGCAGTTGTCGGTGCTGATCCATATTGACTTGGGCAACTCAGGCTTATGTCCCAGGACCTTGGGGTCGTTCTCCGTCACGGCCGGTTTCCTCTTTCCGGCAATGTTTCCGGCAGCACCATCAAGTCCGGGAGGGTTGACATGCACAACAACGTTGATGTTGTTATGCCACTTCTCCTCCGGTGACTCCCTCAGTCCCTTGAACGCAGCCATGGCCTTGGAGAGCAAACCGAGGCAGGGATCCGCCTTCTGACCGAAGCTATAATACGGCCAGGTTCCCTGCTTCTTGATGACCTCCATCATCTCTTCGGCTTGGCGACGTGACGAGTAGAAGACCTCAACGGACCCTTCTTCATTAGGAATGATGTCGAAGCGGTGGGTATGAGCCAGTCCATCGAACCAGTGGCTCATCTCGAAGGTGGTGCCGGCGTCCGTGTCGATCTTGTAGACACCGGGGCCGGTGCGGAAGAGGGAGCCGGCAGCCCATGTCGGGATGTTTCCGGTCACGGCGATCTTGATCGGACCTCGTTCCTCGGTGAGGCCATCGAACTGTTGGAAGGTTAGTGGAATAATTTAGAGAGACTTGCGACGAGTGTCTGACTTACAGCAGCTTCGTTTGGCCAATCGTCATACTTGCCGGTCCGTAAATTTTGCAGGGTTTCCTCATGATCGGCTTGCTCGTCGGCTTGTGTCCGAAATGTGGTCGACCTCTCCGACACTGTGTCGTTCACCTCTTGAGGGCTCATGTTGGCTTGGGGTATCGACTTTCTCGCAACTGTCGGCGGCTAGATTTTCCAGTAGTTCTTGGGTCCTTTGTGTCGTCAACGATAGGTGAGACAAAACGATCCGGTTGTCGTGGTGGTGATGCAATGGTGATTTCGCTGTTAGTGGCGGTTTCGGCGGCTAACGCTTCAGTGGGTTTCAGAGGGTATCCGCTAGCAAACGGCCGCTGTCAGGTCAACAACAAAGAGCCGCAAACAAAGATGCCAGATGGGAAATTTTCAGCGTAGAGGTAGGTTGACGAAAAGGCGTACTTATAACACAGTGGGCATAAAGAAAAAGGAATCGTCATCCGTATTTCAATCCGAGGAAAGCGACCCATTGACAAAAACCCTGAAACATGTTGGTCGTGTTGGTACCTGCACTGAATGGGACGGATGGGAAATGGCCCGGGGTGTGCCGCGTAGGTTGCCCTGTGGACACTGCCTGGGACACCCACGGAGGCCCGGTGAATGGAGACGGCGGGACCCGGATTTGTTCCCGACGGGATGAAAGCGATGAATGCGATGGTTGCCGCCAAGGGACGGGTTTAGCGATCGGGAACAGGAATGATAGGCCTCTTGGCCGCCATTTTTCGACACTTTCAAACGGCAACCACAGCGTCGACAGCGTAACCCCGTGAGCGTCCTCGGGAGACCCGTATGAACCTGTAACGGGAAAAGTACCCAATTCGACAAATATAAACGAATGCGAATAGTGACGCGCTGACGGCCACAACATGAACTCCGACGGCTGTGCCAATGCGCCTCCGAAAGTCATAAATCCACTTTGGTCCACTGAGACGAAGATATAAGCGAACTGGGCTTCCACCGAAGGCCACCGAATCCGAAACAACGGAGATGGGATGGACGCTTCCACAACCACCTTCTGTTTTTGTAGGTGACGGGAAGGTCCAGACTTTCAGCGCCTGCGACTGCCCGGTGATAGTGAGTTCAGGCCTCAAAAATAGACGCGGATATCAGGAAGTTCGGAACAGCATGGTGAGTATTTCCAGTTTCCACAAAGGGTGCTGTGGTGACGACAAAAACAGAAAGTGGAAAAAGGAGAAAACCAACAAACGGCTGAAATCACTTGGCCAACCCATGCGCCTCCCTCAACGCCCTATTCGCATCCTCGTCATAACTTCTCCTCTGGTCATTCTCCAGCGGCAAGTACATCATAGTATGCACCGCTCCCAAATACCTCTTGATCATGACCTTATTCCCCCCTTCCACCAATTTCAGCCCATAAGCCTCCCCTTCATCCCTCAAGATATCGCATTCCGCCGTCCTGATGAAAGTCGGACACAATCCATTGAAATTCGGGGCCTTGATCGGTGCTAGCCACCATTCCGGCCACGTTTTATGGATTTCGTCCCGCGTATCAGGCGGGAAAACAAACTGCCCAAAGTACTTGATGCGGTCCCAGGGGAGAACAGGCCCGTTTGCGAACTCGCTGAAGGATGGATAGGGAGAGTCAGAAGGGGACTCGTAGCTGATGCAGTCGGTGGCGGGAGGGACGGATGCCAGGCACAGCTTGAGCGGGAGACCGGCGTCACGGGCCATGTGTTGCAAGACGAAGGAGATGTGACCGCCAGCCGAGATGCCGCCTACAGAGATGGAAATCGGATCGATGTTTAGGGTATGGAGGAGCTGATCACCCATTGTATGGCTGCCCATGCGTCCTGGAACGCCTTGCCAAACACCGTTTCTGCCTTTTTGTCAATGGTTGTATTCCGGAAGAAGCGACAGGGGCAAATCATCTTACCAGGACAGTGACGGTAGTTCACATCCACAACTACCACACCCGCCTCGCGCATACTCAGACACAGCTGACCGTCGGTAAACAGATCTCCAATCACGAATCCACCTCCTGTTCCCATCAACTCATGGTCAGCATGCCTTCATTCCTCTTTTTGCGGTCCGTTTCACCCACCATGATGGTTCATATGAACAGGGTATGGCCCGTTCCCATGCTTTGCCGGGTCCGGATGGTAGACCCTCACCGGAATCTTGGCTCCATCCTCCGACGTGACCTCATAGTCTGCCACTCGCTCGTACTTGGAGGTATCAATGGTAGTTGGTGCGCGGTACTTCTCAGGATGGGCTCTGAGTTCCTCAATGGAAACGTCTCGTGGCCGCTTGGAGAGGACATCTCGAAAGAACTGAACGAAGTCCGGGCTCAACTTTGAGAGGATGTGGGGAGGAATACTGGTGCCAGGTTCTTCTTGACTCGCCATTTTGCTGCTTGGCTTTTTCGTCTGATGCCGATGATAGACACCTTAACAAAGGGGCAGAGACACAAGCAGGAGGGCTTATTTCCGACTTGTTTGTTGATACCAATTCGGCGATAATATGGCCACTTGGCGTTGACTTGGACCGAGGCTTATCGTCATAGGGAGGGGCGTGAGGGGAAGTGAGATCAACTGCCGTAAAGCCGGCTCTTATCCGAACGCGTGGGGACCGAAAAGAAGCAAAACCAATGGGATGCTGTACCATGCTCAAGATCGATATACGGGAACAAGCGAGCCGTGAAGCGCTCCAGTTCCAACATCCATTCCACAGGTCGCCAGATCGAGTTCCGGATCCCCGATTCAGGACCCCAATGTTCATGTGGTACAAGCCATGAAATGAGAATGTCCTTAAAACAAGTGGAAAGGAACGACAAAAGCACATAGACGCACTTGTCTACAGCTTCATGATGCCGGCGTGTCTCTCCAGGAATCTGCCGACAGCATCAACAAACCGATCCAGCTCCTCCTTCGGGGTATCCAATATCATGGCAATGAACCCTCTCCTCGTGATCCAAAACCCCTCCTCCAGCATCTCAAACCAAAACAGATCCCTCAAATCCGCCCTCTCCTGGCTGTCCAACGTTCCATCCTCCCTGAAGTGCAACCCGATCAACGAACCCTTCCCCGTAAACCTCAACCTTGTTCCCTTGGCAACCCCGTTCAACTTCTCCCTGAAGTCATCTCCCAGTTTCCTGAAATTAACACATACTTCCTCCGTGAACACTTGGCACAGCCCGGCATATCCAGCACACATCGTCATGGTGTTGTTGTTGAAAGTGCCTGAGTGGGCCAAGCTGCCTTTCACCCTCGGGTCATAAACCGAGTCCATGATCTTCTTCCTTCCTCCGAACGCTCCAAAGCTGAATCCACCACCCAGGTACTTTCCCAGCGTGACCAAGTCCGGGCTCAACCCCAGCTCCTGCCCCAATCCGTTCGGTGCCAGTCGGGAAGTCATCACCTCATCTAAGATAAACACTGCTCCAGCCTTTTGGGCCGCTTCCTGGACCGCCAACAGGAACTCTTTGCTGCCTGGAAGGCACCCCCCAGCACCTTGCATCCCCTCCACCAACACCGCGGCAAGATCTTCCTCTTTCGCCGTCTCATCAATAACTCTTCTAGCCTCAATAGCTGCCTCCGTATCGCCGTACCTCTGCACAACCACAAAGTCCCCCTTGTCGGCCGTATTTGGCGCCGGCTTTCCTCCTCCAAAAGAGAAGCAAGCACCGTGATAACCCCCGTTGAACACGATCACCTTCCTTTTCCCCGTGTAATGCCTAGCAGCCACCAGAGCGTGGAGATTCGCTTCCGTGCCGGTGTTAGCCATGCGCACGCGCTCGAGCTTGAAGCGTTGGCACAAAAGGGAGGCGTAGCGGGCTTCGTAAGTGGTGGTGGAGCCGAGGGAGAGGCCGATTTTGTCGAAGGTGGAGAGGATAGCGGTACGAATGACGGGGTGGGAATGTCCGTAGAGTCCGGCGGAGAGTTCGCCTACAAAGTCGGTGTATCTGTTGCGAGGTGTTAGTTGGCAGGGATAGAAAGAAAAAGGTGAGATGAGGAACTGCACGTGAGTCGTGAGAACCAGAATTGACTCACTTATGGCCATCTTCAGCCCAAACAAATGTGCCTTCTCCATGCCTCATGCAAAGTGGAAACGGAGAAGTGTGTAGCAAAGTGCGGGTGTTTCCGCCTGGGAGTGACTCGACGGCGTGTTCGTGTTGCTTCTTGGAGATGGGGTTGTTGGCGACATATCGAAACTGGGCAGCAGCGAGAGCTTGTGCTGCTTCCTGACAGCTGTTGGATGACATCTTTGGAGCTGAGTGGGCCAATTTTCAAATGAATTATATCTCCCGTCAAAATTGCCTGGTACAACGTCAATTGTTGGGTAAGGTACTTGTAGATTCGTTGCAGGTACGATGCTGCCACTGAAATAGTTCCTTCTGTCGACCTGAAGTCAGTTCCGTCTTCGGCGAGATTGGAAGAGTCTTCTACCGGTCCAATCAACTTGTCAGAGAACGTCTCATTTTACCCCGCTTTCTTGTATGGGGAAATCCTTCCTTCCCATCAGGCACCTTTTGGGCTTTGGAGGATTCTCGGATTCTTATCTCCAACAACCCATACCCTTTCTATCACCAAAACACAGGATCATAGCACCATATTCCGTCTAATCGAAGTTCGTCGATAATCCCTTCTTTTTCATTCAAAGATTGGGCATCCGCAGCTCACGACAATGTGGTTGATCCGATGTTTGGACTACGCTCTTGTGCGCTTCGACGGCATGATGAGCCGCGACCGTCGTCATCGGCCCAGATATCTGATTCTATCTCACACATGGGGATATGAGGAAGTCACATTCTCGGACATGGCAAACATCAAGGTTGCTAAGCGGAAGAAGGGCTAGGTCAAGATCCAAGGGATGTGCGAGGTGGCGCTGAGCCAGGGTACCGACTATGCTTGGGTAGACACATGCTGCATCGACAAGAACAGTAGCGCCGGGTTGACAGAAGCCATCAACTCAATGTATGCCTACTACCGAGAAGCCCAGACCTGTCTTGCATACCTGGAGGATCTTGAGCCAGGCGAGGAGATGCCAACTGAAGAGCAACTTGGACGTTGCAGATGGTTCGCCCAGGGTTGGACGCTGCAGGAGCTTATCGCACCTTATAACGTCCAGTTTTATGACACAGACTGGAATTCGCGGTGTTGCGCTCTCGATGTCATAGAGGCACTGCAGAGTATCACAAAAAATTGACAGGCGCGTTCTCGGGCCAGAGCAAAGACATCTCGATGAGATATCAGTCGCACAGAAGATGTCTTGGGCCGCTTGGAGAACCGCCACACGTATCGAGGATCGGGCATACTCGCTCCTAGGCATATTTGGAGTGAATATGCCTCAGATCTATGGCGAAGGGCAAGACGCTTTCCGTCGACTTCAGGAGGCCATTTTGCAGCGGACAAACGACTTGTCCATCTTCGCATGGACAGAATCACCGTTCGATGAGGTTTGCGGTGTCCTGGCTCCAAGGCCTGAAGCCTTTTCAAGGGCAGGAACAATAAAGCTGATGGACGGCCCAAACTTACCCACTCCTTCATTCACCGTCACGAACGCCGCGGTAGAGATGTCAACTTCCCTGGGCCGGTATATACCTCAATCAAAGCTAGACGACAAGCTCTATGAGGCTCCCACCCCAATCCCGTGGCCGTATTGGCGCCATCGCTTATTACACCTGCATTGTACAATGTTCTTGGGCCCGCAGACCAATTCCCATCATGGCGGGAACGATACTCCTCATGTAGTATTTCTAGTACTAGACCCGACCCGTCGCGAATTTGTGCGCCTCAGCAGTTCTGGTCTTCGTGTCCTGCCACAATACAAAGTCAGATTCCTGGAGCCAGTCGACGTGATTATGCCAAAATCGATCCCTCGAAAGGCTCGAATGCCATATGCGGAATGGGTCAGCTCTGAGCTCGGCAGTGAAATCCTAATGATTTATCTCTCTGGGGTGAAAAATTACCTGAACGATCAAACGATGTCGGTTGAATACGCGGTAGAGGCGAAACTTTATCCGGAGCACCTGTTTGTTTCCGACTTGAATTGTTTCCGCACGGACGACAACCCGCACTTTGTTGGTGTTGTCCGAATAGAATGCTTCAAGCGCACCGATGACGAAGTGGGCAATAAGGAACCACCGAAAAGAAGGCCCGATGTTTTTTGGCTTGTGTGTGGTACATGTCCCAGAGATTATACCGAGAGATGGGCCACCATTTATACGGAAGAAATGGTTCAGTCCGAACAATCAGTCGATGTTGGTGTGAACTGTGCAGGCGATTTACGCAATTCGCTGGCAATCTCGAACATTGGCCATCATCTGCACAATCTCCAATCAGGTCCTGGTTGGGGAGAAACCATAGTGACCAAGCAAACGCTAACCATGGCGATAGACACAAAAGTTGTGGAACTTTCCTGGTCAAGTAGTGTTTATAAACAAAAACACTCCATCCAAATCCGTGCAAAGGATGGCCGCCCTGAGAATATTTTCCACAGCACCCGTAGAAAAAGATGGGATCATCTCCTGGTTTCAGACAATCTCCTGACTGGCCTGCATGCATAAGCTTGGGGATTCAACGTGGAGGACTGAGTAGACAAAGATAGAACAGGGTGATACTGCCAATGAAACTTGGAATGGGCAGCCAGTGTTGACGAGTCACCAGGGAGGAGAAAATACAGTCGATGGCAAAAGGCAACATGATTCGAGCCAGATAGGGGTCATCGTATTGTTGTACATAGGGTATGCTTAGAAATTCTTTCAACTCCTGCGCGACTGGTCGGGTCCATTCCTTGATGCTGCGCAACGCCAAAACCACACAACCATCAGCGAGCTCAAAGCTGAAGATGGCGCTGCCTCTCCTGGATATGGATACCGATGGTAGACGACCAATGGCGGATCCTCGGCTTGATGGCAAACTCGTACTCGGGCAAGCTCACCAACTCCTCCATGAACGGTCCCATCCGCCCCCTGTCCGACCTCAAGAAGTGCGTCTCGATGCTGTGAACAACGGCCAGCGAGTCTTCATTGGCATAGAGACCGGCAAAGCGCATCTCTTCCAGCAAGTTGAAGACAGCCTCGGCGTCGCCATAGCGGTGCCAGTGGATGTGGGCCAGGAGGTTGTAAAACGGCGTGCTGGCGCCGAGGACGTAGCTCGCCAAACCGAGCTCCTTGATGCGGGGGAGCACGTTCAGCGCCAACGGCGAGGAGCGGGAGAACGAGGTGTCCAGAAGGCGCAGACCGTAGAGGAGGTAGGCGGGGTACAAAGGTCCGTAGAGATGCATGGAGAGCCTCTCCTGGCCGGGTTCGAACTCGTATCCGTACTCGTAGTCTCCATCTTCTTGCACCTCCTTGGTCTTGCATCCCGACTTCTTCGCGGGCGTTTTGGAAACTGCGGAACGGTCGGTAATTCCCAGCTTCTTAACCATGGAGAAGACCTCCTCTTCCAGGATGTCCCACAACTGGAAGTCAGAGGTGGCAGCTCTCATTTTGGACTCGACTTGGGTGCGTTTCTCGCGTCTCATGGCCTCCTCGGCGACTTGTTTGCTGAGGGAGCCGGCGGGGAGTTGTTCTTGGACCTGTTCGGCAGTCTTGGGGTTGTTGAGGATCGAGGCTCTGCCGGTCCCCTTGTCTTGTTCGAGGATGCCAAGGGCCACGCGGGCGGCCTGTCGCAAGCTTGGAGGGAAGCGCAAGAGGGCGCTGTCACGGTCGACGGCACGTTGTGTCTGTTCAACAGGTGAAAGGGGGTCGAAGGGGCGCTGGACGGGTCGCCATTCTTTGGTGTAGGCGGCGGCGGCGTCTTGGAGCAGAATCTTGACGGTGTTGTGGGCGGCTTCGGGGCCGGGGTCCTTGACGCTTATCTCCAACGGGTCGTCTTCTGTAGGCTTGTTCTTCTTGACGATGTCCTGGAAGATGGTGTCGAAGGCGAAGCGCTCTGTAGGGGTCAGGGTTGTTTTTTGCCCGTCGCCGAGGTCTTCTGGTTGCCATTTCCGCCTGGGCTTCTGGAATTCTTGAGTTGGGAGGTCGAAGGGGATAGGGTCTCTGCTAAGCATCGTAGGGGGTATTCTTCGGGCACGGGACGGAGGCGAGCGAGAATCAGGATTGGACTCGGATCTGTAATAGGCGCGAAGTGCTGTTGTCTTGAGAGTGGTGCGGGACAGGCGCTGAATCGTCCTGGTTTGGTAGAGGAACGGCAGCATCGTTGTGGACGACATGGTGGCGGTTGTCCGGTTTCGCCGGGGCTCAATATAGCGATTATAGTTCCTTGATCTCTGTTTCCCAATGTTGATGCAGATGTTCGTGTCCAGCACGAGGGCGACAGACTGGCGATATGTGGTGGTGGTGGTCGGCAGCAATGGTTGGGAAGACGGAGAACTGAAGATGGAGACGAAGCAGGAAAACGCCAAAGTCAAAATGTTCAGATTCAAAATTTCGGAATCGATCAAAGATTGCCGGCCGGGATTTGCCCCACCATAGACCCTCGCTGTTCAGACTACAGGGAATTGCTACCAACGCTTCCGCATAATTACAGTGGTAACCGTTAGTGCAATAGGCGCTAGATATCTTCCCAGCAGCGGGCAGCCAGCGATTTGAGTGTCCCGTGATTTCGTGCGCCGAGTTGTTTCTCGTGTAGCGACGCGAATCCGTGGCGCGCCTTTCAGCTTTTTAATTGATTTCGAATGTTGATTGCGACCACTTGCTGTACTTTACCACATACGCGTTGCTGCCTGGCCTACCCCTGCGTTAAGTCTTGGATAAAGACAGCGTCCAGTTTCTGTACCTTGGTTGTTTTAGACCACTTTTGTCTACTTCGATTGTCTTTACCAAATCGCTCTCCTCCTCGCGTTCTATCGTCTCTCTCCCGTGCCTCACGATGCCTCCCAAGAAGGAACCCGTTATGAGCGCATTCGAGCGCAAGCGCCTTGAGAACATTGCCAACAACAATGCCATCCTAAGCGGCATCAGCACCACGGCCGACAAGATCATCCCGAAGCCTGCGCCTCCCAAGCCCAAACGCGCCAGCACTCCCCGAGTCAAGCGCGAACCTGTCAAAAAGGAACCAGCCCGTCCCACGCGCCAGAGCAGTCGCCTCGCCGGCCTCGAGGCCGATTCTGAAGTTCTCAAGCGCAAACTAGATGTCGAGGCCGAAGCAGAGGTGGCAAAGGCCAAGGCCAAGAAGATGCGCGTCAGTGGTGACTTGACCCTCGGCGACATCACAGTTGAGGGTCGCAAGTGGGAAAACAGTGTAGACGGCCTAGCACTCTTGAAGGGCCTCGGTGTACGAGGGGCGCAACCCGGTGTGAGGACATTTACAGACGACGATGTCAAGGATACCAAGAACAAGGGGTTAAAGGACTTGCGGTTGCGCATGAGCGGACTCAAGTTATATGAGAAGTGGGCAGTCAATGGTACGTCTAAACCCAATCACCGGCTCAACGATGATGGATGTTCACTAACAATATCTGTTGCAACAGACATCAAACTCGTACCCCAGCGAATCTACTCCATGTGCTTCCATCCCACCGAAGAAAAACCCATAATATTTGCTGGCGACAAAGAAGGCGCCATGGGCGTATTCGATGCCTCCCAGCCCGCGCCCCAAATCGACGACGACGACGACGACGAAGAAGCCGACTACCCAGACCCCATCATATCCGCCTTCAAAACCCACTCCCGCACAATCTCGTCGTTGCATTTCTCCCCTTCCGACTCCAATGCCATTTACTCGGCCTCGTACGACTCTTCGATCCGCAAACTGGACCTGGACAAGGGCGTCTCAACCGAAGTCTTTGCCCCGTCTTCTTCATCTGACGACCTCCCCATCTCGGCCATCGATATCCCGAGCACCGACCCGAATACCGTCATCTTCTCGACCTTGCAAGGCTCACTAGGCCGACAAGACCAGCGCACCAAACCTTCCTCGGCCGAGATCTGGGGCTTGACCGACCAAAAGATCGGAGGTTTTTCCCTGCACCCTCAAAACCCTCACCTCATCGCGACCGCCTCGCTCGACCGCACCCTCAAGATCTGGGACCTGCGCAAGATCACAGGTAAGGGCGACCTCCGCCACCCCGTTCTTTTAGGGGAGCATGAATCGCGTCTGTCTGTCTCACACGCTTCCTGGTCTTCGTCGGGATCGATCGCCACTTCTTCGTACGACGACCGCATCAAGATCTACAGCTTCCCCTTGGCGGGCGAGTGGAAAGCCGGGCACGACATACCGTCAAAGGAAATGCAGCCGACGGTGCAGATACCGCATAACAACCAGACGGGCAGATGGGTGACGATTTTGAAGCCCCAGTGGCAGAGGAACCCGCAGGACGGGTGGCAGAAGTTTGTCATTGGAAACATGAATCGGTTCGTGGACGTTTTTGCGGAGGACGGAGAGCAGTTGGCGCAGCTGGGAGGGGATGGGATCACGGCGGTGCCGGCGGTTGCACACTTTCATCCGACCAAGGACTGGGTGGCCGGCGGAACGGCGAGTGGGAAGTTGTGTTTGTGGCAGTAGTGGTGATGCTGTTCATGTTCTTGGTCAACCTGGCGTTAGTAGGATTTTTGGATATTTGTTGCACTTTGTGTTTTGCAAGACGAAGGAGTTTCTGCGATGATACCATGTTTGGATGACTTGATGTCGGTGTCAATAGACTTGAGACTATAACCGAGTGTTTATTTACTTACCATGGCATCTGTTGCGATGATATCATTGCGAAGAAGGAAGCTGTCCTCCTCAATGATTATCAACCTGGGTTGGACAGTTCATCTTAAGCCACCGATGTCTTGCTTGGTGTTACACGAGAGGTAAGCATGAGTGGTAACGCAACCACTCGGCCGGTGAGGTCTCAGGTGTACCTGGATAGGTGGTGTCCAAATTCCTTGTGCTTGGTCAAGTTCCGCGAATGTAAGTGGTCAGGGACCATTCCCAAGTGTCATGTTCCCATCAAGTAGCCCAGGGACACAGGATCACATGCAAATCGTAAACCCTATGGCGAGGTCGCAACGAAGATGGACAACTTACGGCCTCTCGAACGTTGCCAGCCAAATACTTGGCTAGATAGCGGGTCTTCGATGGAGAGCCCATTTGGACCCAGCAGAAACTGGAAGTTTGGATTCCATGTGCCAGTTGGTCGCCTTGATAGAAACCTCCAATGAAGTCAAAGCTGGGGACCGGTATGATGCTCCGGCAGGGACAACGACAACAAGCCTTCTAACGATAATGGTTGCAACCACAAGACCCGGACATGATAACACCAGGCTATGTACCACTCACTTGGTCATATCAGGTATTGAAGCAGCAAACCCTTAAAAAAGCTCACGTCTCACGACATGGCTTTGCGTGTTGCAACGTCTGATTGCAAAATGGTGTCGGCTTGCACCTTGTTGGCCAGCCTGTTGCTAATATGTTGACCGGATGCTGCTTGGGTGTCATCGACGGAGAGGCAGAGATAAGCTTGTCGCTTTTGAACCACAGCTGCGCAGCCTGATATCGTCGGTTCTTTCGGAGTTTAAAGATGGCCGATTCGAAAGAATGTGTCATCCGTTGTCACCCGTCCAGAGCAGGAGGACGTTTCCAAGGTGGATAAGGAAAATCAGATGCAAGTCAGCTGTTGCGACATTGGAAGTTCCGTGTCTTGAGGTTCGATGCCACAAGGTGACATTTAAAGTATCCGCTGATACACATTGTCTGTTAGAGTTCGCTCAGAGTTGGAGGCGGTTCACTATCACGTCAAAGAAGCCGGGGTGACTATCAAGGTACCCATTCGTATCTTATCGCTCTTTTGACGATCCACTTTTCTGGAGCCTTCCCCAGCTTGGGTTGGCTCCTCTCCTGAGCAACGTCAGGCAGTGGGGCTCCACCACCAGACACCTTCCTGGCCAGCTGCTGCTCGGGCGAGCTCCTGTTCTCGACCGCCCGCGCTCCCGTGTCCCGCCTCACTCGCTCTCCCAATCGTTGTTCAGTTTCTTTCATCACTTCTTTTTCTTGGACATCTGATAGAGCGATACGCCGACCACCTGTAGACATCGTCACTCCTACGCGCAACTGAGTACCGCGACAAGAGGTACACCCTCCAGAAGAAGTCGAGGTTGCACTGCCTGGCACGTCCTGCTGTCGCCGCCTCTCTGCCTATCCTATCCAGTCAGGCTTCAGACCTCCTTCAAAAGTTCTCGTGTTGCTGATTGTCTGACCGACCGACGCGATTGTTAGTGGCTGTACACAATCACAGCCGTCCAAAGCGGGCATGAACAACCAGGGATCAACAAACACTCTTAACACTGGAGACGACGGGAACCTAACCTAATCACCTCCGTTGTTTTTGTTGTTGTCGTTGTTGACTCGACTCGATCTTTCTCTTTTGGCTCCTTGGTTGGCTTTACCCGGGTTCATCGAAACATCCCTCCGACCAACCCATCCGTTCGCTCATCCTCGAAACCACCCAGTCTGTCTACCTACCTAGATACCTACCTAGATACCCTCGTCACCATTCCTAGCCCGCTCCCATCTCGTCACTCGGGAGTTGGCTATCCTAATCTGCACCGTACAGCCCCGGCGCCGTGTTGTGTCGCCGCTTACAACTGTCTCTTCGCTTGTTTGTCTGCTTGTATGTAGGGTACCTACCTCCATACTTACCTAACCGCTGTCTGCCTGCCTGCCTGCCTGCTTGCCTTGCCTGCAGTCCACTTCTACTTGTGCTTTGCGGTTGTCCACTTATGCTTACATCTGCTTTATTTTTCAAGTTCTACGAGTCAGCCTATCCCCATCATTACCACGTCCTCTAATCATCCTTATCAACTCTCGATCCTCTTCGACTGATCCGCAATGGCGTCTTCTCAACCAACGTCATCGGGGCCCATACTCGAGTCCCCTCCGATTTCAAATCCTCAGTCACAGCCAAACACCGATCCCCCTTCGTCGCAACAACCTCGTACGAATCCGTCTGAAGTACAAGCCCAAGCCGGCCCTGGTCCTGCACGTCCAGCTGCACTTACGAAGCGCCCAAGTCACCGACAGGTTGCGGCCCACCGCATGTCCAGGAAATTGCAAAGGTTACGCGGCGACAGTAACCAGCCACACTCGCCCACTATGGAGCTCCCCGACCGCCTGAAAGACAATGGGAAGGAAGAGGACAATGAGGAGGATGTCTTGCAATCCCAGGGCGGAATGTTCATGAACATGAACCAGAGCATATTTGGTCTGATCGCTGCTGCTGGAAGCACTGTGGACTTCCATGACCGGTTCGAAGGCCAAAGTTCGGATGACGAAGAGGATGTGCCGAATCCCATGGCAATGACCATTGCTGGCCCTGGCATTAAAGGTACAGCACGCAATCGCGAAACTGCCGGCACCGGAAAGTCATTAAGCCAGACTGTTGTCTTGAACAAGCCATCTGCAAGTGGCACAGCAGACGCAGGCCCAAGCAACACCCACCGCCGACGCTTATCTGGACACAAGCTTCTCCAATCGGTTCCCGGTCTCTCCCGACTCTCAAGTTCCCATAAATCGAAGAAGTCAAAGCAGCATAAGGGCACAGCGATGGCGGATAACAAGATCGAGGAAGAGGAAGATCCCGACCCGTCTTCTCCTCTGCCCCCATCAAACGAAGACGAAAACAAGGTTCCCGGCCTTGCCCCGCCAATAGAGATCGTCCGAGCAGAAGGGAACGGGGCGCCTCTCATGAGCAGAATGCTCGAGGCACGGGCCGAAATGGCAGCCCGACCCAGTTTTGATCTTGACAGATTGTCGGGAGAACATCGTCGTGACGACGCCGGCGAAACTGGACAGCTTGCCAAAAAGCTGAAGGATATCTTCGAGTTTGACTCCGCCGAGGAGGTTATTGAAGAGTACCCTTGCTGGCTGCTACAACATGTTCTCCTCCAGGGTTACATGTACATCACGGCGAATCATATCGCATTCTATGCACACCTACCCAAAAAGGCAGTAGGTCATCGTCCGCCTATTTGTCGGTCAAATGCCAGTCGCTAACATTGTCTGTCACAGCACGAGATTGCAAAGTCCGGGTACCTATCGAAAAGCGGCAAGCGTAATCCCAAGTACAACCGCTACTGGTTCCGCCTAAAGGGAGATGTCCTCTCCTACTATCAGGATCCCAAGGATCACTACTTCCCTGCGGGCCAGATCGACTTGCGATACGGCATTTCGGCCAGCGTCAACGACAAGGAGAAGGAAGGCAACTACTTCTCCGTCAGCACGCATCATCGAACATACCACTTCAAGGCCGACAGTCCCCAGAGTGCCAAGGAATGGGTTAAGAGCCTACAACGAGTCATCTTCCGCTCGCACAACGATGGAGACAGCGTCAAGATTTCTATTCCTATCAAGAATATCCTTGACATTGAGGAAACCCAGATGGTGGAGTTTGCAGATACTTGCAAGATCCGCGTCATCGACAACGATGAGACGTATGCCATCGACGAGGTAAGACACCAGTGCCTGATCTTTCGTGTGCGCTCCTGCTAACACGTACCAGTACTTCTTCTCCTTCTTCAGCTTCGGCAAGAAGGCCATCCAGGTTCTCAAGGTCTTCGTGGAGGATTCTTCGCCCGAAGATTCCGGGCCGAACGACGCCCCCAAGGGAGTGGGAGGAGACGGAGCCAATAGTGACAATCTCGGCAGTCCACGAACTCGCACATTCAATGAAGGCGTTAGGGCTACACTTTCCCCCGTCTCACCCATTCAGATCGCCTCCCCCAGTTCTCGTGCTAGCGGAGATTACTTTAGGAGCAGCTTCGATGGCACCCGACCTTTCAGCCGACGGAGTCTCGACGCCAGTCCAGGCACAGCGGGCTACGCTGAATCGCCTCCCCGTAGCCTTCGTGGAGACGGCCGGAGATCGTTTAGCAAACCCCGCCACGAGCCTCATGCTAGTACCGACTCGTACGCCCAGAGCTTTGACGACCCTAGTCAGGCAAGTCTATCGGCCTTGGTGGCCTCTGGCAGCAGTGAGGATCAATCGGCCAGCCAGATCCTAAGAGGAAGCGATGTTTTCCACAGCCCAATCTTCCGTAGGTCGGTATCGGCTACACGCGCTGCAACAGAGGGTGAGCGGGTCGCTGCACCGCCAATTGTGCGCCAACACACCGCGGGCTTGGTCCGACTTCAAGGACCCCATCATGCAGCGACCACGGGCCAGATGGGTGACCACACGGCCGAAGCAGAAGGTGGTCCTTCAACGCCCACGCTGCAAAGCATTACGATGATGGGCAATTACCCATTGCAGAGGGCCAACGCATTTATGGGCTATTTGGACCGGCAGTCTAGGCGCATGAGCACCCTTCTAGCGACGGAGTCTATGGGATATGTCGAGAAGGTATCTGGCATGTGGAAGGGCGGCAAGAAGCATTACGATCGTCCTGGTGGAAGGAGGGCCGAAGAGGAGGATATCGAGGATGATCCCGAGGAAAGAGCCCTTTCAGAAGCCCGTTTCCAGGCCCACTTTGCCTTGCCAGAGACGGAGAAGCTGCAGGCTGCGTACTTTGGATTCATCGTCAGGGTCTTGCCGCTCTATGGCAAGATTTACATCAGCAACCGCCACTTTTGCTTCCGCAGTCTGCTGCCTGGCACTCGGACGAAGCTCATCCTGCCTTTGAAAGATATCGAGACTGTCGAGAAAGAAAAGGGGTTCCGGTTCGGGTACTCCGGCTTGGTTGTTGTCATCCGTGGCCACGAGGAGATCTTCTTTGAGTTTGCCAAGGCGGAGAACCGGGACGATTGTGCTATTACGATCATCCAAAGCTTGGATGTAGCGAGATTCCTGGCTGAGTCGCAAGAGGCGGAGGAAGCGCAAGCAGCGGAAGCTGAGAGGGATGCACTCAACCAGGCAAGAAACGAAGAGTTCCCCGACCATGAGATCGAGCTTCCACGACAGGCATCCGGGGTATCTGATGCCCCGACGATACTGTTCGACGACCCCAAGGCCTCATTCCTGAACTTTAAGCCCAGCGAGCCCATGCGCATCACGTGTCTGACCATCGGCTCCCGGGGCGACGTCCAACCTTACATCGCCCTCTGCAAGAGGCTACTCGAAGAAGGCCACCACCCCAAGATCGTTACGCACAGGGAGTTCAAAGACTGGATCGAAAGCCACGGGATTGAATTCGGCCCCGTTGAGGGTGATCCTTCCGAACTCATGCGCATCTGCATCGAAAACGGCACGTTTACCTACGCTTTCCTGCGCGAGGCCAACTCCAAGTTCCGCGGTTGGCTCGACGAGCTGCTCACGTCGGCCTGGGAAGCCTGCCAAGGGAGCGACCTGCTCATCGAGTCCCCTTCGGCCATGGCTGGCATTCACATCGCCGAAGCACTTGGGATTCCCTACTTCCGGGCCTTCACCATGCCCTGGACCCGCACGCGTGCCTATCCGCATGCCTTTATAATGCCGGGGCAGAAGATGGGCGGCGCGTATAATTACATTACTTATGTCATGTTCGATAATGTTTTTTGGAAGGCCACGGCGCATCAGGTTAACCGGTGGAGGAACAGGTACCTCGGTTTGCCCAACACCACCCTCGAGAAACTGCAGCCGAACAAGGTTCCCTTCCTCTACAACTTTTCCCCGTCCGTGGTACCTCCTCCCATTGACTACAGTGACTGGATCCGCGTCACCGGGTACTGGTTCCTCGACGAAGCAGGCGATAAGTGGCAGCCGCCTAAGGAGTTGACGGACTTCATTGCCAAGGCCAGGGCGGACGAGAAGAAGCTGGTCTATATTGGCTTCGGCAGTATTATTGTTTCGGACCCGGCCAAGATGACGCAGGAGATTATTGATGCCGTTCGCAAGGCAGACGTGCGCTGTATTCTCTCTAAAGGTTGGTCGGATCGCTCAGCAGCAGTCGACGGCGTGGATAAGCCGAAGGTGGCAGAGCCAACTCTTCCTCCCGAGATCCTACAAATCCAATCCGCTCCGCACGACTGGCTCTTCCAACAGGTCGACGCTGCTGCACATCACGGCGGATCCGGGACTACTGGTGCCAGTTTGCGGGCGGGTATCCCGACTATCATCCGCCCGTTTTTCGGCGATCAGTTCTTCTTTGCGGGGAGGGTTGAGGACCTCGGGGTCGGGATATATCTGAAGAAGTGGGGAGTCCAGAGCTTTGCGAGGGCGCTGTGGGAAGCGACGCATAGTAGCAGAATGCAGACCAGGGCTGAGGTACTGGGAGGCCAGATCCGCGCTGAAAACGGGGTGGATACCGCTATTCAGGCCATCTATCGCGACTTGGACTACGCCAGGAACTTGATCACGTTGAAGAGGCAGAAGCATCAGTCGAGGAGGAATAGTGTTGCTACGCCCACACCTGGCGCCAGGCCCAATGCTCCCGGGGATGACCAAGATCAGCAAGCGGAAGAGGATGACGACATTGATGCGGACGATGAAGAAGAAGAGAGCTGGACGTTTGTTGGAGGAAATGATGATGATATGACGGGCTCGATGTCCATGTCGAGAAGTGATCTTATGAGTCAGACGGTTGCAGATTTGAGGGGTGTGAAAGTTGGAAAAGAATCAGCTTTGGGAAGTCGGGTGTTGAGTCCTCCACCTACTAGTCCGGGCACGATGAGGGGAGCAGGCGGGGTGAAGTATGTTTAGAGAACGTCAGGATCGGGATGGTGAGTGGGTTTGGATAGAAGCTATGGACCACAGGACATAGCTGGGATCATGCCTCCTTGGAGTTCTCTTTTTTCCTCTTGGTCCTTTTTAAGAAGGACGACTACGACTAACGGACAGACCGCATTGGCTCGGGCCTCGGCTGGCGTGCTGGAGTAATGGTAAAGGACATGGAACTCTTTGCGGTTGTTTTCATAGTACTGTATTGCATGGATGGATTATGGACTGGAGACGACTTCTTGCACACAGCACTTCCCCTACTTTGGATTATACTTACTACAGGCAATGGCACTCCTAGAATACAGCAGTGGGAATGGGGTTTACTTGGGTAACCTGTCAATAATAGATATTATTCTTTAATGGACCACACTATAGACATTACCTTGGTGATTCCTCTCAAGTCCTTTCCTTGCATCATTGTGCTGTGTGCCAATTCCGGGTTCAAGTTACAGGCTTTGAGACCACAAAAGCCAATGGAACGGACACAAAGATGTTCAAATGGTATGTTCAAGATAAAGAACATTTATACATAAAGGTTGCCATGTCTGATTTGAGAAGTCTGGAAGTGAAGACTGCCACTATCAATGAGCAGGCATCCTCACGCCACAGCACGTCCGTGTATCAACCCCGCAAACGGTCTCCTCTGTCAATGCCTCCAGCCGTGACTGCAACGATGCCTTGCTACCTATGTATCTGTACCTCTACATCTACGACACGGCACTCATCAGAGAAGCACAGATTCCGATAGGGCGACATGAAGTCCACAGACAGGCGAGCAAACCATTGGCCTGCAAATCGTCCATTGACACCAGCGAGTTGGAGAAATTCCCCAAAATCAGCCCCCAGAGGTACAAAAAGGGCGCGGCTCCCATCCCCCTCCTCGGCCTCTTTCAGGCCCATGTCTCGCGAAAGCTCCCCCGCCTTTTGAGAGAAAGTGAGTTTCTTTGCTTCACTGAAAGTCAAACTCGCCCGACTGGACACACCACCGCAATACGCGCACAGAACTCTTGACCAAGACATCTCGTGGCACAAGGGAACGGGCACATTACATCACTTCGTCCTTTTCGAGAATTAAAGGAAAGTGAGGCAGGTTAAGGTTAGTCACTTCCCTTGAGATGATTCATCAGATGTGAAGATGTTCATGTCTCACAACGAACGCAGGTTGACTCAATTATCAGATTGCAGCCTAAAATTTCATCCCGGTTCCCGAAGTCGAGGTTTGTGGTTGGAGTTTGAGGCTGCTTTCCATTTGGTGTACAGGTACATCGAATACCGTACCTTTGAGAGCCTTGACCACTTCGCAAAGCTGTCTACGCTAGACTGGATCAGGACATATTCCCCACTCTGAATCTGCAGCTTGAGAGGTCCAGAGTTCCAGGTCGATCGTTCAGTGGTCACACTTCTAAACTTGAGCGTTCCATCTTCAATTCAGAGTGTTCGCCTGCAAAGTCGCGATTCGATTCGCAAGCGAAGAACAAAACACCACCGGCGCTTTAGTACGACAACCCACCACCACCACCACCAACCACCAACCACTTCAACGACACCGAGAACTACACGCGCTTGTTGCGCGATGGGTTTACTCGTCTTACCAGACACTCATCTACTTTTATCTCCTCAGGGAGCCCCGCTGTACGTTGACCACGGAACGACTTTCAGTGGCGCGTCACCTTGCCGTGGATGCGCCGGATGATGCATTCTGTTCAACCTCGATTGATGCTAACAATCACTCCTGCTAGTTGAGCTGACAAACATCGCTTTGACACAATCCTCCGACCGATCACAAAGAACGATAATCACGGTTCGCGACAATGGTCAAAACAATCCAGCTGGGCAGCCGGCTGCGGTACCCCATCACCATCACCAAGCTCTACAAGGAACCCAACCAGCCTATCAAGAAGAAGGAAGCCCTCTTCCAGTACTCGTTCAAATGGAAGCGCACCGTCGGCGACAACATCCGTGGCGAGACATGGGAAGCGGAAGAAACCACCTACGCCGACTGGAGTTCGCCCTCGGACGGCGAGCTCAAGTCGTGGAAGATCCGGGTCGGCCAAGAAATCTCCAGAGATCAAGATTGCATGGTGGTCAAGGAGTCGTGCTCCCATGATGTCCAATTCGGTGGTCTTTGCGCCATCTGTGGCAAGGACATGACAGAGGTCAACTGGGCCGCCGAGTCCCGCGACATGGACCGCGCTCCTATCAACATGGTCCACGACCAGACACATCTCACCGTTAGCGAGACGCAAGCCCAAAAGACCGAGAACGCCCTCCAGCGCCGTCTGCTTCAGCACCGCAAGCTAAGCCTGGTTGTCGATTTGGACCAGACTATCATCCACGCTTGTATCGACCCGACCGTTGGCGAGTGGCAGAAGGACCCGTCCAACCCCAACTACCCGTCCGTACGCAATGTCAAGTCCTTCCAGCTCGACGATGGACCCCGTGGCGTCGCCAACAACTGCTGGTATTACATCAAGATGCGGCCGGGCCTCGAGGACTTTCTCAAGAAGATCTCGACCATGTACGAGCTACACGTCTACACCATGGGCACTCGCGCCTACGCCCAAAACGTGGCACGCATCGTCGACCCTGAAAAGAAGCTGTTTGGCAACCGAGTCATCAGCCGCGACGAGAACGGCAACATGTACGCCAAGAGTCTTCAGCGGTTGTTCCCCGTCAGCACCAAGATGGTGGTGATTATTGATGATCGAGCCGACGTGTGGCCGCGCAATAGGCCCAATCTGATCAAGGTCTCACCGTACGACTTCTTTAAGGGCATCGGTGATATCAACTCTGGGTTTTTGCCCAAGCAACAGGATCTGCTTACTTCGAGTGCGGCGACCACTAACGGTGGTTTGGCGCGCATCGCGCCAGCGCCAGCTCCTGACAAGGAGGACAGCACCACGGTGGAGCCGCCGCTGGAGAAAGCCCTCGAAGAGCAAGAGAAGACGCTCGAGAAGCAGATCAAGGACAGACCCCTGCAGGCGCTCCAAGAGCAACAAGATAAGCAAGACGAAGAGGCCGAGAGAGCATCCGCCACCCCGGAAAACGACAACACCGAGTCCACCACACCCCCACCCCCTTACCACCGGCACCAAGTTCTCCAAGACGACGACCGCGAACTTGTCTTCCTCGAAGACCACCTCACATCCCTCCACAAGTCCTTTTTCGACGCTTACGAGCAGAACTCTTCCTCTCCATCCTCGCTCGAGACACAATCCATCCCGGACGTAGGTACCATCCTCACCAACCTCAAATCCCGCGCGCTCAGCGGATGTAAGATCGTCCTCTCCGGCATCGTCCCGATAGGCATGGACGTCTACCGCTCCGAGATCGGGATCCAAGTCGCCAGCTTCGGAGCAGAGCTACGCAGCTCCGTGACACGAGACGTGACGCACTTGGTGGTTAGTTCTCAGCGGCCACGGACGAAGAAGGTCAGACAGGCGATACGGTTCCTGCCTAAGATCAAGATCGTCAATCAGGACTGGCTGGCGGCGTGTTTCTCGGAGTGGAAGGTGGTTGACGAGAAGCCTTACCTCATCGAAGGACTGGAGGAGGCGCAAAAGAAGTTGAGCGAGAAGGTGCAGGATGCGGAGGCAACGGAGACGGTTAGCGATGCTGATGATACGGATAGTGGGAATGCGCCACCTGGCAAGAAGAGGATTCTGAGGTTGAAGTCACCGCCGAGGGTCCGGTTCGCCACCGCCGCTGTCTCTGGGAACGACGATGATGACGACGAGGATGACTCGGACACGGGGGGAGATGACGACGACGAGGATGGGGATATGGATGATGAGCTCGAGGCGTTGAAGCCGATCGACGAAGATGGGCAATTAAGCCCCATTGATGGGTTGAAGACGTTCAATTGGGGTAGCGCAGATGAAGAGTTGGCGGAGTTCCTGGAATCTGGCTCGGACGACGACGACGAAGACGAAGACAATGATGACGAAGATGTGGAGGATGATGACGGTGACGAAGATGGGCAAGCAACCACCGCCCAGGTAACAACAGTTACCTCTATCACCACCACAACAACAACGACCTCCACAAAACGCAAAGCAGACGACGACGACGGGGAAGAAGAACAACAAGAAGAAAGTAGTAACAAACGCCGGAAATCCCTCCTTGGTGGTCCTGGTCCTGGTCTCTCCTCGTTAAGAAACGAGCTAAAGGATGAGGATGCCGAGGCTACAACTGCTGCCGTGGCTGAGGCTGCCGGGGCCGCTGCCGCTGCTGCTGCCGAGGTGCAAGCCCAAGCTGCTCAGGATGCTCAGGATGCGCAAGATGCTGATGACCTGGACAAGGAGTTTGAGGAGCTGGACGAGGAGGCCTTGGAGGCGGACTTCTTGGCCATGGATGCGATGGATGAGGGTGATGTACAAGAGCAACAAGTGAACGGAGACGGGAATGAGAATGGGAGTGGGAATGGAGGTGTTAGTGAGAATGGTTAGGGGCTGGTCGAGATTGACAGATCTGAAATTGAAACAAGCGTTGATAATTTTGGGAATGCGTACTGTACAGAAGTTATAAGGTTCTGTGTGGTGTAACTTGTACACTACCTATTTGACATGATGTGATCCTGCGTGCATGTGAGGAGGCAGCTGGCATCATTGTAGTGAGCATTCATCAGGCGTTGAAAGGAGGTTAGGTACTTCTACGTTTCGGGTAAGTATAATTACTCGTCAGCTAGTAATAATGTAGCATTACCTCTTGTACCTCTCTCTATTCATGGTTTGATTCTTCTGTCGCTATTGAAGGTGATTGAGTACCGTCAAAGGGCGTCTAGTATATGCACTAACATCCTAATGTGCACCAACAAATGTAATCTGTTAGTGAGCGACTGTCTTACGTAATCACCCAACCAAGCAGTCGTCCCCTCCCAAGCTCCAAGCTCGCTACCACCTTCCCCGGCGCAACAGGGCTGCCAATTGAAGTCAAGTTAATTCGTCCACTGCACCGCACGCGAATCGACCTTCAAAAGTCAGGCACGTCACTTCTTCAACTCTCGTCTCCTCCAGAGCTCCGCGAGACTCCTGTCCCCTCGACTCGACGATTCCCACCGACCACACAAAGCCAATCGACCGGCCGGGGCGCAAGCGACCGAAGCGCGAAGCGAACGAACAAAGAGGAACACAGCACTCTCGGGCCACACACACACAAATAGCCCAACATGCCTCAGGATATGCCCCCCGCTGGCGGCTATGATGCCGTTCAGTACAAGGTGGGTTCTTTTGCTCTTTCCTTGCTCTCTCTGTACTGCCGGCTGTGAAGGACGAGGGATGATGGACGAGGAGCGATGCGGCCGATGGACGAGGGACAATCGAACAACTAGGGCCGGATTAGGGAGAGGGGAATAAGGCTTGGCCGAGGGAGGAGGAAAGCCAACGAAACAAGCGGGAAGAAGAAGAAGGACAATTGCGAGAGAAGGGAACCCGGGGAAGTGGCGGGAAACTGGGGAACTGGGACAACAACAGGTGGAGTGCTGCTCGAGTCATGTCCTCCCCAGGCCTCTACTGGACCCGGCTCGACTCGAAGAACAGCACAGCAACCGACGCCGACACCAACAAGAATACGATTGATGGGTTAGAGAGGGTCAGTACAAACCGCCATCTCAGAAGGGGGCCCAGGATCGCACCGTACTCGAAGTCGCTCTGTTGGACGTTGAAGATAGAGTCCTTCCCAACCCCGACCAGGATGCATGCCCTCTGAACTGTTCCTGGAATCCGGGGAAGTGGGTTACGCTGTGGGGACTGGGGACAGGAACATGAAGCTGCCCGGGAAGTTCGAGGTCATCAGCGACAACATCCGCCATGCGATGTACAACCAGCACGTCCATGGTTACGGATCTGCCCTGGTGGGCATTGTGTCGTCGTGACCCGTCGGCCGCCCGGTGCGAGGAGTCAGAGACCTACATCCGCTGGAGAACACCAGGAACCTTGCTCAGCCTCGTCCTTATATCCAGGGCCGTCCTCGTCTCGTCTAAGCGTGGCCTTCGCGCAGAGATGTCTACAAGTTGTCTTGTTTCGTGGAGCTAGAAGAACCTCAGACTGACTTCGACATTCTTAGCGCAACCTCCCGCCCAGCGCCTTCAAGCCTAAGACCATCCTCGCCTTTGGCGGCTTGATCATGGTCTACGGCTGGTACCATCTCTTCCACGGGATTCGTGAGCAAAGGTACTTCCCTTACCACTACCACGGCCCTTCTCTCTATGTCTCCTACTCTTCATATCCAACTTTTCTCCCCCACCACTTCCACACTCCCCTTCATCCCCCGTTACACCCCAGAAACCCAAAAACTAACCCACCCCCTCCCCTCGCCCACAGAGAACTCGCCCGCGAAAAGATGTGGTCCCGCATCCACCTGATCCCCGCCCTCCAAGCCGAGGAGGACCGCGATCTCGTCCGTCGCCACTTGGCCGACGTCCAGCGCGAGAAGGAGCTGCTTGGTGACAAGGGTGTCAAGGTTTACCACTCGGACAGATATGTCCGTCCTACTTTTGCTATTACTCCTGGTATTACCAAGGATTAGATGCACATGTAGGCTTGTACTTGGAGGGAGAGCTGAGGTTGTGTGGGGGGAATGTGGGGATGGTGATGGGAGGAACACAGGACTCCCGCGTTCGGTTGTTGATGGTGGGTTGTAGATAAGGTACTCGCCTGGTTCCAAATGAAGAATGAAAGGTGGGGATAGACTTAGATGGGGAAACAAGCAAGCATAGTGTCGAGGTTGTGACTGTTGCGAGGTTTACATGATTTCAATTCTTCATGTGTCCAGCTGGTTGCTTTTTGGAACCAAAGTTCGCTACAATACCAACATCTCGAATCTCTGTTTACCGAGTGACTAGGCGGACTCCGGGCATGTTCCCTCTACAAAAGCCGAGCCGCTAGAACATACCTTTCATTCTTGTACCTTCCATCAACGCCCCAGCTGCCACCTCTCGACCTTCCATTCCAACCCTCAACCCATCCTTCCCTCGGGCCCGTGCCTCCTAATGGCCGATAACCCTTCATCACAACCAATCATTCCATCCATCCATCCCCAAGCAGGCAGCAAGCAGCAACATCAGAGTTATATATATTACTTCCGCCGTGCATACTTCCAACAAATGGGACTGGAACACCCGGGCTCCTGAACGGTCAGATGGTCTTGCGGTCACGGTATTGGGCGGTTGGGACCCGCTTCAAGCTGCTGCTCTACGCGTTTGATTCAGGGGTGAGTCCTTCTGTATCCCAATTTTTTGCTCTGCTCTTTTCTTTCCTTTTGTTCTTTTTGGTTCAATCCTTTTTTTGTACATGTAGGAGGAGGGCTGGCTGCTGTGAAAAAGACTCCCCGGTGTTGTTCTCGCTACCTTTGTGTTTGTGTGCTCTTGATGAGAGAGGTTTTGACCATTAGGCCGTACGGTCCTCGTCCTTTACCAGCCCTCAGGTTCCCCTTCGAATTTTTCACTCAAGTGTTAAGCAAAGTTGAAGCCTCTGCTAATTCTGTCTAGCTGCTTGAGATACCCAGATAGGTAGGTAGTAGGTACTCTCTCAGTCAATTAGCTTAGTCGGGTTTAATAAAGGATGTTTCTGTTAGATGCTACTAAAATACGAAAAAAATAATATGTATATTAGGCATCCATCCCGCAATGAAAAACATTAGGACAGATATGAAGAGTATATTATAGAGCACATTATTCAGGTCTCAAGTGAGGAGACAACTTCCAGCTCTAGGTCATTCAATCTTTGCTAGCTCATGAGAATAACTCGAACACAGACACTTGTGTTCAATACTACTCATGCTCGTTTATGCTACGTTTTCCTGTTTGCACGTGTACGTTACGTTACGTTGGTATCTACTAAGTTTCCATCACAAGGCACTATTCCACATTTTTGCTAGGAGTGACGCTCGTAAGGGAACTTATACATGTTGGGATTTCGGGCTATGTGTGCGAGTACAGGTAGGTACACAGGAAAGAAAGACATCTGCATGTGTATGTTTTGTTTCTCTTTCTCCAACACTAAAGCCCAATTTAAATAATAATAAATCCCTTAACCGGTGCGTTATTGAAGGTCCCCGTTGTTTCCGGAAAATAGTCATCTGGCAGACCCGACTTCTCGCGCAATTCTTTAAGCTTTTTGGGGGGTCGATACTGAGTCTCATCAAGCCCAGCCTGGTATATCTTGTACTACTCTCATCAGCCCTCGAGCCATCTTCTTCGGCCACCAACAGGGTGCATTCATCCACATCCCCCCGGTCTGGATGGCATGAGGAGCCGAGTAGTGTTACGATCCATTCAGAGAATCCTATGTAGGCTAGACTAGATGACCAATTAGGTAGGACCCGAAGTCCCGGGGACCCGATCCTTCGTCTCGGGTCCCCGGGTCCGGTATATCGGGTCCAGGAAGGCCGGTATAAAAGAAGGCCTCCACAGGCCTCTTGTTACCGGATCTTCAGCAAGCAATAGCTATCACAATCTACTAGTACCTTTCGGCTACTACTCTGTTACCTATTGTTCTATCCCAGCGATAATACTCCTGTGCTTGGAACGGCTCGTCACAAGTAGTAGACAGAACACCTGCAGTTCGCGTGCAACTCCATGTCCCTGACGACCCAAAAGTTTCAAATCCTCGAGGATCCAGTGATCCCACATGGGTTCGGCAATCCAACATAGATTGCTTTCCGTCGAGAGCCACAATGATCTTAATCTAAACGGAGCACAAACGAACGGCGCGGTAATGTGGATAGGAATGTCACCCGTGTTCATCCTGGTGAGGGACTGGTCGCGTAGGATCTTCAAGGTATTCTCCGGAACGTGAGTCGATACCCGGGGGTCATTTTGGTAGTACTCGGCACCTGGATAGTGCTAGTCAACAAAGGTGCGGTTGCCTCTGTAACGGCAGAGCCATGACCATGAAGGGGCACTGAGCTGGTTTTCCTGTTCGTCGTCGTGTCTGCAGTTCTTGGTCCAGAGTAAGGATCGCGGAAGGTCTTGAATCCATAGGCCGGCGTAATACTGAAACCTGCCATCAGCGTTGAACGCCTGCCGTATACCCGAGAGGGCAACGTCCCGGTCGGAATCGTAGGTCAAGCCGAGCAGCGAATATTCGCTGACCAGAGATCTCCAAAACTCGAACGCCTCTTCTGATGACTGCTTACTTAAGCAAATATCGACGAATGTTGCTTTCTTGGGAATTGGAACGCGATGATCATCAGTGAGACTAGCGGTCTTGGGAAAGGGGCCCCGAAACAGACCACGGCGGTCATACTGGAGATTGTCGCGGGTCATGAAAGGATCGTGGCCTATACTAAAGGTACCCAAGGACGGACCGGACTTGGGGATAGGCATGGCGATTTATCCGCATTCGCAGGAGAAGCCAGAGCGGCATTCCCAAATCACTTCCGAGGAAGTGATGTGCACGTTCCTGCGTGACAGTATCCTCTCCTGGAAGACCCAAGCACGGCCGAGCAGTGGTTCTTCCTGATAGCGTCCATTTTCAGCCTTATCATACACATAAGCATGTGCGTGGTCCATGGCGTATCAAATGGTGATGGAACACTTGACGAAGTCCTTATTCCGTACCCACTTGGTATAACTATTCAAGGGCATCTTGACAGACTCTCCCGTCCGATAGTTAGCTGCGTGATAGAAGCGATTTTGGAAGAGACTGCCCGAGCTGTCCGGTAGAGCTGAGGCAGCAATGTTCAAGTAAGCATTGGAATACCCATCGCCCATCAGCGAGGAATGCTCTTCCCAGTCTTGGTCGCTGTCCTGGATGATTTAGAGGGAGTCGATCCATATATGGCTGTATCCCAATGCTCGGGCGAAATCGATTGCGTCGTAAAACTTTTGTGGCAGTTCGTGCCTTGGTATCCCCACGATGCGCTGCTGCATATTTGTTGAAAGTGTTTTTGGAAGAGGTAAAGAAGCAGACCAGCTACCCCAACAGTGACTGAGTATTGCGTATTGGAGTCCAGGTTGTCCTCCGTCGCCCAAATGTGGCTTGGCAATGACCAAGGGACATGATCGAAATGCTAGTTGAACGAAAAAATCGAGTTCAAGTGTTCAACATCATTGGCCACTGTTGATGATACTCCCACAGTACCGTATGCACTGCCCGCGTCAATATCCCCGCTCGCCCCGGCCCGGCGATTTGGCGTGTGGGCGCGGGGACCGGGGAGACGATGCAACTGTGACTGAAACGGGTTAGAGACGGTTGAAATATCTGATGGAAGTACGGCTGTCTCTGTTGGATAGGCGAAGATAATGGACAGATGAGAGGTCGCTTGTTGAGCCTTGTAGATGAACGGTAAAGGAGAAGCTTCTTGGTCGGATTGCACGATTATCCAGCTTCATGTTTTATGCCCCGCCGGTTTCGTCACCATCCCCAGAACTGTCTCAACTTCGCTTGCCATGGGCAATTACATATAACGTGGGCAGAAGCGACCGAGAAAACAAGGACAAGGAAACCTCAAGGCAACTCCCGTCATCGATTGACCAAGCAGGTACCTCTACACTCATGTACTTACAAGAAAAAATAACCACCTGCAGGCAGGCTCGAAGGTCGGTCACCCTCCAGATATGAAACCAGGGCACCCTCCCGACTTCCGAGTCATCATTGAACTCAAGTAGAATCCCGTCACCTCCAGCTCCTAATTCTGCCTCTTGGCCCTAAAAAACATATTAACCCTCCCCACCATCGACTGCAGTCCCTTGGGCGGCTTCCCATCCTCCTTCACCAACCTCTGCGTCTCCTCCCACCCCTCTCTGATCCACCCCGGCAGCTTTGCGCGCACATGTTCCCTCTCATACCGATGATCAATCAATATAATCGCCGCGTAATCATTCTGATGTCTTATCGCCCTGCCGATACTCTGATTAACGGCGCGCATGGTGGCGTTTTCGTAAAAGACGTTGACGGAGCGAGCGGCGAGTTTGGCGAGGTTGGGCGGGTTATTATGTCTATCTCTCTTTTTGCTTTTGCTGCTGCTGGATGAGTGCACGTGGCGAGTGTTGGACGGGGGCGGGATAACGGGCGCGGGAGCGGGTGTGGTTGTGGTTATGGGATGAGAGGCGTTATACCGCTCGATGAAGTTGTCTTCGAGATATTCCCTGCGGGCAACCCATTCGGGTGAGTGAGCGTTGGGATAAGGCAGGCCGATGACGACGACGCAGCGGCCGAGGCGGTCGGAGAAGTTGATGCCTTCGGACATCTTGCCGCCTACTACCGAGAGCAACAGGGCGCCTTTGACCCGAGTTCCGGATGGGGAGATGGGACGGACTTCGGAGTGGATGACGTCGCTGTACTTTTGCAGGGTTTGCTCGCTTGACTCGGTTTTGGAGTCCATGAAGACGGCTTTCTTGCTTTCGAGTCGCTCCCAGATGGGCTTGGGGCCCATGGCTTGGTCGCACATTTTCCAGACTTTGATGGCTTCTTCTAGGTAGATGTAGGAGGGAAGAAGGCGACGACGCCGTCGGGCACGATGGAGCAGAGGTTGAGAAGGACCAGGCCGAGGCGGTTGATCATGTTCGGGTTGTTGCGCTTGGTGAAGGTGAAGTCGAAGCAGTCCTCGCCGATTCCGGTGTCGATTTTTGGATCGGGCGCAATAGACCCGAGTGTCCAGACGCAGAGGTTCTCTTTGGGGATGACGTGGCCGCAGCTGAGTGTCGTGATCTTCTCTGGCGGTACGTCCGGGAACAAATGTGCTTTATAGTCCTCGAAAGGAGACATGGTTCCACCGGCCAGGATGACTGCCCTTGCGCTTTCCGCAATCGAGGAGAAGGCGTGTGTCGGTGAGAGAAGCATGTAGCTGAGCTTCATATCCTGGATTTCGCCTTTAGGTGGAGGTATCTTCTCATAGAAGAGCCTCCCCTCCGAGCTCAGATTCGTCAATGCCGTCAAGAACGAGCACAGGGTGTGGAGCACTGGTGGTCTGCCCTCCCTCTTCTTGATCTCCTTCTCAGTTTCCTCATCATCCGTATCCCGACTTTCTTCTTCGCAATAACTGGCATACCCCTCGAGCTTGAAAGCCAACTTGCTCTCCTGGACATACCTTATCAACTTGTACAAGTTGATCTGATCAGCGCCACCCGTCGCCAGCAAAAGGTTGGTGTCGTACACGACTCCTTCCTGGTTCTCCTTGAGCCCCTTGGCAGCTCTGCCCAGTCTTGACTTGATGTATACCCCCAAAGCTTCCACGACCCTTTGTAGCTGCGCAACCATGACCCTGTTTTCTCCTTTCAATTTCTGATAAAACCGTTGGTAATACATGCCTAGTGACAGTTTGGCTCGTTTGAGGTCAGTGTACTTGATCTCAGCTGCATGCACGTTGGATACGGCGTCCATGATGTTGTGCGCCTCGTCTATGATGACGATGTTCCCTTCGAGCTTGATGCCCAAAGCCTCCCGGGCACTTTTCTGTAGGAGGAGAGGGTATGGTAACGTGATCACCTCTGCTCCGGGAATGGCAGCACGGGAGGCATAGTATGGACAGATTTTTAGCTGCTTGCCGGTCTGGTAGAGATCTTCGATGTCTGGAAGGGTGGCGAGAGCGGTGTCGCGGAACTCGTGGGTAGCTTTGAGGTTGGCAGCGTTGGGTAGATAGGGACATCGGTGTTCTTTGGGTGTCTTTGGTTGTTGAAGGGACTGACACCGCTCGTTGATGGCTGCCAGGGTGCCAAGTTTGTTGACGGAGGGATTGATGCAGAGTTTTTGCCGTGAGGAAAGGGGAATCTGCTTGACGATTTCTTTCGCCGGTTCTTCGTGAGCATCGAGTGTTGGAACAGAAGCAGGAAACTCTGGTCTCCTCAACTCCTGAATAAACTGCGTCAACTGCGAATGCGTCCTCGAGGTGTAGAAGATCTGTCATCTTGTAAGCTTCATCCCATTCGCGAAACCCCTGATGAAATCCAAAGGAACTCACCTTAATCCCCTCCTCAGCCACTGCTCCCTCCTCTCCTCCCTTCTTACCACCCGCAGTCCCCATCCCCACCTTCTCCAAAAGCTCTCTCGTCTCCTTACTCAACTGACCCATCGGATCATTCTCGTCCAATCCCCTTCATCCCTCCAATCCTCAATTAAAAACTCCTTATCCTCATCACTAGCCGTCAACCCTCTACCCCCGCTGCTCCCCTTCTTCTTTTTCCCCCCTTCATCCTCATCCCCTTTCCCCCTATCCAACTTCCTCCTCTTCCCACCTCTCGCTTGATGACCTTCCTCCCCTTCCTTCTCCATCTCCCTCTCCCGTTCCCTTATCCTCTCCAGCGTCCTCTCCATCTCTTCGTACCTTTGCGCCAGCTCCTCCCGTTTCCTCTTCAACGCACTCTCTACCATCCACCCCGGTTCTCCTGATGCCTCCATTTGTTTCTTGATCTTGTCGATTTCGGTCTCGAATTGTAACCGCTTGTGGTTGCGTAGCCAGGTTAGGGAGGCGCAGATTAGTGATAGGGATTTGCCGGTGCCGGTGGGGGGATTCGAAGAGCGCAATTTGTGCATGGCCCTTGGGCTTGGGGACATTGCTGCTGGGACCATTGCCTTTGTCTTTAGAAGTGTCTTTGCTGGTAGCCGTTGGTAAGGATTGATTGGCCCTGTTGACCGTGTGGACGGTAGGAAGGGTGGTAGGGTTACATAATCGGGGTGGTGATGGGGACTTGGAGGAACTGCTGGGGATGAGGGTGGCGGCGGTTGATGAGAAAGTGGCCGAAGGAGTGGCGGTGTTCGTGTTCGTTGTCGTTGTCGTTGTCGTCGGGTTGGAGGGAGCGGCGACGGTTCGATCTAGAACAGAGTACAAAGTTTGCATAAAGGCTGTTTGGATGGGATAGGGAGTGTAGGGATGGTTGAAGTCGGTTGGTGGTGGTTTGTCTGAAGTCTGAGAGTCCCTCTGAATGAATGAGGGACCTATCACGTTGATATCGGGTATTGGCAGTGTAGAGGCCATTTTTGGGTGTTGGTGTGGTTGCTGAGCTGGACGCTGGTGAGGAGGATGTGAGGAGATGTTGTGATGGATGATTGTGGTGTAAATTCGAGACGAAGGCGAAATGACAAGAACGTTCACGGCGATGTCAAAGTGGGGTAAATAAGAAGAGGAGGGGCGAAAAGCTGATGTTTTCTTGGAGGATGTTAGGACAATCCTGAATACTGGAACAAAATGATGCCTGGCGCCAGCGCAAAGAGACGTGATTGATGAAGATGACGGCACAAAAAGATGTTAAAAAGATGGAAGCTTACTTAGGGTACGCGACGAGCAGACCGTGACGGGAGAGATGAGTAGCGATGTCACGTGAACGCGTGTTAAGCGCTGTCGGATGCTCACTCACACACTGCACGGTGCTGCTGCTCAAAGGGGCAACAACGGAACAACTGAGAAATGACCAACGTTGCAGGAGTAAGCCACAAGATTATAATTCCAAGGCATAACCTAGTGGTATCTAAGAGCCTATCTAATCAATCGGCTATGAACCATCAGACCCCCCTTTAACGCCCAGCGCCTATTATGCTATGCTACCGTCCCGGTTGAATGCCTTCACTTTAGTTTTACTGTCCCATGTCAGACAATACTCCAAACACAATTCATAAATCCGGGCCACTAAACCCGCAAAATATCCATCTCATCCTCCTCTCCCTCTTCCTCGTCCTCTCCGCTTTGACTTCCGCCCTGTTCCTTCTCTAGTCCCAGCTGCAAAAAGGGATGATTCAATGCATCCTCCGCACTGATTCTCCTCGCCGGATCCAGATCCATACACCTAGACAGAAACTCCACCGCCAACTTTTCATCCTCGGGCATCTTGAAGCCCGTCTCCCGACATGTACTCCAGAGAATAATGCGCTCAAAACTGAACCCTTGCGTGCCAATGGTCGGGATCGTTGTCTCAAACATGCACCCGTGAAGTTGGCCGGCCTGTCGCATGCGCTTGATTCCAAAGATGGTGGCAATCTCGACCATGGCTTCGACGTCGTCGGCTGAGTTGAAGAAGGGGAAGCGCTTGGACAAGATGGTAAGGAGGATTACGCCGGCGGACCAGATATCGATTTTGGTGGTCTGTTCCGTACACTTGAACAGCACTTCGGGGGCGCGGAAGCCTCTGGTGCCAGCGCGGTTGGCGCGCCGCGATGGGCGGGTGTCTTGTTTCGGGTAGCCATTGTGCGGGACGCTGGAGTTTTGGTGGGCGGCGCGGAGACGGTTGCGCCGTGTGGTTGGATCCTCATGGCAGAGACATGGTTTGCATTCGGACCCTTCGCGCTCGGCAAGACCAAAGTCGACGAGGACACCACGTTTGGTGGAAGGGTCGTAAAGGAAGTTGGTCGGTTTGATGTCGCGGTGAAGGATCTTGTGATGGTGGACGCTCTCGAGAGCAGTAAAGAGGGAGCGCAGGTAGATGGCGATATCGGTAGGTGTCATCTTGCGGAAGTATTCACGGAAATCGGCATGGCGGAAGTAAGGGAGGATGGCGATGACTTGGTCGGTTTCGCGGAAGGCCGTGATCAAGGGACAGACTGATGTACAGCCGCGCAGGTCGTGTAGCAGGTCGAGCTCGTTCAGAATACGGGTGGGAGAGGAGGTGACGTAGATCTTCTTGATGGCGACATATTTCGGTTTGCGCCGTGGGCGGGTGATGGCACTGGAAGTCGAGTTGCGTCCGTATGTACGGAGAGGGGGAGGCGCCCACTTGTCGCTTTCCTTTTCGTAGTCCCACGAGTTGTCGTACTGGTCGTAGACGAGGTCTTCGGCTTTGTAAACGGTCGAAAAGGTGCCTGGAAAAAGAATAGGTGGTCAGTAGCGCTCCTGGCTGGAAAAACCACAGCGTCTTTTTTTTTTTTTTGTGGCTGTCTCTGTCTAACCTTCACCGATGCGCTTGATCAAGCGGTATTGCTGTCGGAAACCGGGAAAGGTGTCTTGGAGTTTCTCCATGTCGTCCTGGATGTTGGGGTCTACGATGCCGTCGTCTGAGCTGTCTGAACAGATTGAGTCCTGGTCATCGTCTTCGTCGTCGTGATGGCCGTCCTGCTGCTCCCCATCGCCTCCGGTGACACTGCTCTCTTCGACCTCTTCTTCGCCATGTTGTTGTTGTTGCTGCTCCTCGTCGTCGTGAGCGGCATGGTGGCCATGGTTGCCATAGTGTTGTTGGTCGGCCTCCTCGCTCATTTCGGTGTCCTGAGTGGAGGGCGCATCTTGGTGTAAGCGGATGTGGTCTTCTTCTCGTTGGCGACGTGTAGAGGGAACGGTCGCCATTCTTCTAGTAGAGGATGATGCGACTGACACTGGAGCCGAGCGCGAGGGTGGTCAAGGCAAATTCGAGTGTCGAGAGACCAGCAAGAACCAGCGCGAGGGCCATTAATTATCAAGACAAGAGACCAAGCAGAGGAGAGAAAAACAAAACCAAAACAAAGCAGGGAGGAAAGAAGTGTTCTCGGGGTAGGTTTGGGTGTGTCTAGTAGGTAAGTTGTCGGTCGAAATCCATGTCAGTGACGGAATTATTTTGGCGGTAAACAATAAATCAATAGCGCAGCAAGAGGGGCATGTGCACGGGCCATCCAAGACACGACTAACACCCAAAAGTTGAAGCGACAGAGTGCAGGCACGCGTCAAAAGTCAACAAACAGGTCAGGTACCCGCCCCGTTGCTAGGGTCGATCTCCCCACAGTTGAAAAACAACCCCACTGAGACCACTGTAGCACAGCGCTAACAAGCTCGCGGCGCAATTCATCCCGTCGCATTCGAGGGGAAACCGAACATTTCAATCTTGACCAAAACAAAACAGCACACATCACCACCACAGCCCGACCCAGCTCCCGCCCCATCGACACTGCTGAGGGAAGCCGATTGCCCTATCCTTCAGCCCAGTCCTGTCGGTCTTGTTCTGTTTCGGCCCCTGGTCTTTTCTTGACCACTTCCGCGATACCCTGCCCTCACTCGATTGATACCCCGCCGACAAGGCGACCAGTCCAACCATCATGGACTCGATAAACTTCGACATCAACAATGCGCTCAAGCATTACATGGACGATCCCGCCAGCATTCCAACACCAGAAGCTGACAGCGCTCTTATCGACTGCGAGAACGAGCCCGAATCCCTCGGCGACAACGGCCTCATCAACAGCATCCTCAACCCCATCGTCGACGCCGTCGCAGAGAACCCAGACGCCATTACACGCGCCCACATCTTTGACTCTTTGCAGTTTCTACTAAAGTGCGCTTCCATCCTCTTTTGGTTTCCCTACGTCCCTGTATCTCTGGTGCCAAAGGCGACAACACCTCATCCACTAGTCTGCGGGATCGATATCGCAACACATGACCACTGACGAGACCGCGGCTAACACTCTTCGATCTCTAGATACACCTCCTTCCTCTCAGCACACGCGCTCAGTAAAATCTTCGATCTGATTACCTCGGGACTGGCTGCCGAAGCCGACGTTGTTCATCACGACCTAGAAGCCGAAGAACAAGAGCTCCTCGCCCACCACAAGCAGCTTCTCGACATATACGCCTTCCTTCTACAATGGACCATCGCCGGTGTCGAGGCCAAGGCCGCCGAAAAGGCTTCGAATACCGTCACGACGAGAGGCCGCGGAAAGTCAAAAAAGCCCACAGGGAGAGACGGCACCTGGGACTCGTCAGCGCAACTCGAAACGGCTCTTAATACCATGGTCAAGGCTCTTAGGCTGAAGCTCGCCAGGATATTCATGACCACTTCGGAACGCGACACCTTTATTGGTCTGTTGACTCGACCCGTGTATATGATACTCGAGAGCGAACAACGAACCAAGAACACCAGTATTCGTATGCACTGCTGGAAGGTGCTGTGTGTGGCCATCAAGCATCACGGTCACGGCTATGCCGCGCAAATCTCGATTGTCCAGAACTTGACCTACTTTGAGCACTTGGCTGAGCCCATGGCCGAGTTCCTCCATATCTTGGCCGAGCAATACGACTACCCACAGCTAGCTGAGGAAATCCTACGAGAGCTCAGTAACAAGGAGTTCAACAGCAATGACAACAAGGGCCCCAAGTCCGTCTCGACCTTCATGATCAAGCTTTCCGAGCTGGCACCCAGAATCATCATCAAGCAGGTGACGCTGCTGGCCAAGCAGTTGGATAGCGAATCATACACCCTACGTTGCGCTTTGATCGAGGTCTTTGGCAACATGTTGATCCACCTTAGCAAGTCAGCAGAAAGAGGCGAAAACCACAAGACCCAGATGAACGCCTTCTTCGATGTCTTGGAAGAGAGATTCCTCGACATCAACCCATATTGTCGTGTCAGGGCCATCCAGGTTTACGTCAAGCTTTGCGAGTTGGAGCAAAAGTTTCCCAAGCGACGACAGAAAGCCGCGGAGCTCGCATGCCGCAGTCTCGAAGACAAGAGCAGTCACGTCAGGAGGAATGCCATCAAGTTGCTTGGCACGTTGATCAGAACTCATCCCTTCACGGCTCTACATGGTGCCCAGTTGGCCAGGAAGGATTGGCAAGAGCGCTTGAACAAGGTGGAAGAAGAGCTCAACGCTTTGAAGCCACCAGTAGATGCTCCAGGACTGGATGGCGAGGCCGGCAACACCACGGTAGACCCAGCTCTTCTTGACGATGCAACTCAGATGATGGAATCCCCCAGGAAACAGCCGTCGGAGATGACAGAAGAGGAAAAGATCGCAGCCATTCGCAAGGCCCAGGAAGAAGCAGCCACCTCTGAAGCCATCGAGAAGCTCACACTAACCAAGCGCTACTACAGCGAAGCGCTAAAGTTCATCGACGTCCTCCACGATGCCACCGAGACCGTCTGCCAACTACTGGGATCCAAAAACAAGAGCGAGGTCATTGAAGCCATGGACTACTTCGAGATCGGCGACGCCTACAACATCGAGCAGAACAAGATCGGCATCCGTCGCATGCTCAGGCTGATCTGGACCAAGGGCAACAGCGATGAAGGCAAGGGTGTGCAAACCCATCTTATCGAGTGCTACAAGAGATTGTTCTTTGAGGCGCCTGGTAACTTTAATGCCAATGATGCGGCGACGTACATTGCGAGGAACATGATCAGTTTGACGTTTGGCGCTACCCCTGCCGAGTTGACTTCGTTGGAGCAGCTGCTTAGCACCATGATGAAGTCGGGCATGATCTCGGACTTGGTCATTGCCAAGCTGTGGCAGGTATATGGTGTGCAGAAGCGGGAGATCTCGAGGACACAGCGTCGGGGCGCCATCATTGTGCTGGGTATGCTGGCCACTGCCAACCCCGAGATTGTTGTGGGCGAGATGGAGACCATGCTTCGTACTGGTCTCGGAGCTCACGGTCGGGCAGACCTTCAGCTGGCCAAGTATACCTGCGTCGCTCTTCGCCGCATCAACCCCACAGGTCGTCAGTCCAAGGATTCCGGTATCAAGTTCTCCCGGCTGCCGAACGATCATGCCCTCCTCACCAAGCTCGCTGCCATCACCGAGGTGCCCACTGACAGCAAGGAATGGTATGGTGTTGCCGAACAAGCCATTAATGCCATTTACGCCATCGCCAAGCACCCCGACGTTCTGTGCTCTGAGGTTATCCGCCGCAAGACCAGGGCTGTGTTTGCTCGCCCGCCCAAGTCGCGTTCGGCCTCCCATGAGGAGAAGCCATCACCAACAGAGAAGGCAGAGCCCACGCCAGCTGAAGAGCCCAACCCGGACGCCATGGACGAGGACGAGCCCACATCCGCCCAAGCACCGGTCGCGACCCAACCAGAAGATCCCGAAGCCAAGAAACAACACCGAGAACACGCCATTGCCCTTTCCCAGCTCCTCTTTATTGTCGGCCACGTAGCCATCAAGCAGATTGTTCATTTGGAACTGTGCGAATTGGACTTTAAGCGCCGTAAACAAGAGAAGGAGAAGGCAGCTGGAACCACCAACAAGCGCACATCCCTTTCGGCCTCGGCGTCCGCCAACCGCCGCAAATCAGCCGGCCCCAAAGCCACCAAGGACGAAGAGGACCAAGACGAACTGGACCTCATCGGCGGCACCACCGAAGACGACTTCACCGAAGCTATCTTCCACATCCGCGAGCGCGAACTGCTCTACGGGCCACAATCCCTTCTCGCCATGTTCGGCCCCATGGTCTCCGAAATCTGCGCAAACAACACTACCTACCGCAACCGCGAGCTCCAACAGGCCGCCACCTTGTGTCTCGCCAAGCTCATGTGCGTGTCGTCCGAATACTGCGAAGCCAACCTCCCGCTTCTCATCACCATCATGGAGCGCTCCGTCGATCCCACCGTGCGTTCCAACGCCGTCATTGCTCTCGGCGACATGGCCGTGTGCTTCAACCACCTCATCGACGAAAACACTGATTTTCTCTACCGTCGCCTGTCGGACCCCGATCCCTCCGTCAAGCGCACATGCTTGATGACCCTCACCTTCCTCATCTTGGCCGGACAGGTCAAAGTCAAGGGCCAACTGGCGTCAATGGCACTCTGTCTCGAAGACGGCGACAAGCGCATCGCTGATTTGTCAAGAATGTTCTTCACCGAACTTTCCACAAAGGATAATGCGGTGTATAACCACTTCGTCGACATGTTCTCTTTGTTATCCTCTGACCCATCTTTGGAAGAGGAAGGGTTCAGGAGGGTGGTCAAGTTCCTGCTTGGCTTCGTGGAGAAGGATAAACATGCTAAGCAGCTGGCTGAAAAGCTGGCGGCGAGGCTGCAAAGGTGTGATACGGAGAGGCAGTGGAATGATGTTGCTTTTGCGCTGGGACTGTTGCAGCATAAGAATGAGGAAATTTCCAAGGTTGTCTCGGAGGGGTTCAAGGTCGTTCCGACTGGGCCTGGGCAACAGGGGATGGGAGCGACGCAGGCTACGCAGGCAACGCAGGCGAGAGCTTAAGAAGGGATGGGTTGGGTTGGATTAAGGAGGTCGGTGGTAGTTGCTGGTGAGTTCCTGTTTTGTGGTGAATGTGCGGAAAGGTCTTGGAAATACGAGTATGGTCAGGATATTAGGACTTGGGACTTTGGTGGACGGCGTTCGGGCGTATTGTACTCTCACGATTTCATGCCAAAACTTGGAGGGTAAGGTAGCTCAAACATCTGTTCTATTAAAAATTTCAGCGGTTTCCCTTCGGCCTTTCCATCAGGCAGTTCAGAAAACGAACTTGAAACTCCTTTCAACAATCCAAACGTTCCCCTGCTTCGTCGAGCGAGCAACATTGTCAACATAGCCGAGCCATGACCGTGGATCCCAACTCGGTTAAACACACTGGAGGGGAAAAATCTGGGGTACCTAGCGTGTGTGGGGATATGATCACAGCATCATCGAATCGGGATGAGCCATCGGAAGGTGGAGGGTGGTGGAGTAACGCCGGGTTACAGTACGACTTCCCGATGCGATCCGGAGCGAGAGCGAGAAGAGGGCGATGATCACATGAGCCAGGGCACCCGGCGCTGGGCGCTGGGCGCTTCCAGTCCTGGGTGTTGCGCGTCTTTTCCCCTCAGTTTCCTTGTGGTGTTCGTGGTCGTTGTTGTTGGCATCTCGAGACATCTTGTTATCTCACCTGGAAGACTGCACATCGTCTTGCTGCGAGGACCAGCTTCATCGTCTATCTGGAAGTCATACAGAAGAAACGAACTCGACTTTCTCAGCGCTATCACATCGTCCGTCACCTCTCCTTTCCATTGGGGGCAAGCCTCTTCACTCCCACGACGTTCATCGACATTTCGACTTTCCAAAGCGACTCGTGTCCAGTCAAGTCTTACAGTATACACAAAACAGTGCCCCTTCGCACATTGATCATCATCAAAAGACCCATCGGTCAGAAACAGCCAAATTGTATCTAAAAATACCTGCTTGCTTCGCATTTTACCCTACGGCACCAGCCGGGACAGCAACGTTGGGAAACGAATTTAACCGGCATCAAGTCCCACGTTCGCACGGGAAGATTGTGGAGAAAGAAAGAACCAGACCACAAACACAACTCTAAATCGCATCCATTGAGCATTCCGTCTCCTTGGGACTGGCTTCTGGAAGGTTTCTGGAAGCTTTTTGACACTCAATCGCGGGTCCATCGCATCACATCGCTTCGACGCATCTCGGATCGTGCCTAAATTCGAAAGGGCTGAAAAGGGTCAGCTGTAACTCCACTATCACCACGCAGCACGCAGCACGCAGCACGCAGCACGCAGCACGGCGGCACCGTTGGGATCCATCCATCCAGTCTGTCGGTCATCACAAGCCGGCATAACCACATAACCAGCAAATCACGAGTTTCGGTACCGGTACCGAAAACAACCAGACAGCGGTTAAAATGATGTCTTCCGGCTCCTTTGCCGCAGCCAACACTGGCCCGTTTTCTTATGAAGCCGGCGCGGGCACAGCATCCGGACCCGGAAGCGGAAACGGGTTCGGCGGCATTCATCCGCACCATCAAAACCAACAACCACTCCCCCTACCACTAGACGACACGTCCGTCACAGAACCCATCATCCTAGATCTAGACTCAACATTCCAAGTCCCACTTCCCAGCCCATCTACCTCACAACCACCACCTATTCCAAATTTCACCCCTTTCAACACTTCCACTCAAGGCCACCAAAATGAACACGACCTCCACCTCCAACTCTCCCACCTGCAAACAACCCTAACGCAAGCCCTCTCCGAGCGGGACTCCGCCCGCCTCTCCCTCGCCACCCTGCGCAACGAGCTTTACAACGCTCGCCAGGTCGAAAAGCGGCTGCGCATAGAGCGTGATGAAGCTCGTGCGCAGGTTAGCTTTCTGAAAAAAGAGAGGACGCAAGCTAGGCAGACGGAAACGAGATTGAGGAGGGAGAGGAATGAAGCTAGAGTTGCTTTGGCGGTGCAGATGGCTGCTAGTGGGAAGGGGACGGGTGGGAAGTTGAAGGGTGTTACAGGGGGTTTTGTGGGGAATCTGGGGAAAGCTCGAGCAGAGGCGCAAGCACAGGGGGGGATGAAGGGTATTGAGATGTTATTGGGGATGGGGACGGGGACGAGGACGGGGACGAGGACGGCAGCACAAGGGGGGAAGATGCAGGCCGTGGTATCGGGTTCTCAGACTCAAACTCAGAGTCAGAGGAATGGACAGGGTCAGGGTCAGGGTCAGGGTCAGGGTCAGGGTCAGGGTCAGGTACTACCGGGCCAGCAACAATTACCACAGGACCTCGAGTCACTTGCACTTGGACAGCAAGCGGATGCGGGTGCAGGGACGGCAGCAGTTGGATTGGAAGGAGCTTCCGGCGCCGGGGTAATAGCAGATTTCGAAATGTCTTTGCGGCATGGATTTGGACATGGAGCGGATATGGATCAGCAGCTGGAGGAGTTCTTGATCATGCATGGGGTGGATAGTAGGGAGTCGTCGCCGGTTCAGCAGGTGCCGACGCCGCCGGGGATGGGGTATGGACATGAGATTGGGGGTGGTGGGCATTTTGATATGATGCAGTCGTAGAAGCAACAGGTATGGTGGGCAAGGCTTGAGGGCGGACGGTGGGAAAATAATGAACGCATGGAGGTTGCGGTTGAGATTGTAATAGGATTAAGTGATTATACCCTGGTGGTTTCGATGTTATCTGCCTATGTCCCCTTGTTCGTCAATCTCTAACTCGATATCTTAGTATACAGCCAGCTATCTGTGTTCATATCATCAAGTGTGCCATGCTTCCAGTCCATTACGGTCATTACACGTTATAACCTATCCAAGCCATCTAATACCATTTATCTGACCAAAACCAAAGATCAACAAACACTAAATCCGCCTCCCATTTGAACGCCAACACTCCGGTGCTTATTGTGATATCTCGTCATTACATTACAAATTACCTCCTTCCACCTCTATCTTCTGCACCAGACCACCTCGCCATTCTCTTACCCTCGAGCCTCTGTCACCCCAGCCATGCATTACTCCTTCCTTTTAGAGGTACCTTCCAACACTCATACCCACCCCCCTTCCCCTAGATCCCATTCTCATCAAACATCCCCTTTCATTCCCTATCCCCATCCCCATCCCCAAGTGTAGCATACCCAGGCCAAACCTCCCCCTCCACAACCCCCGCCAGTCCCCGTCTAATCATGCCCTGAAACCACCACCCGGCATACGCACAAGCAGCCATAAACGCCGTCGCCACCCCGCCCATGACCATCCAATTATAACTCGAGTTGCGCTGATACCACGTGTCGCTGGCGACATTTACCTCGGCGTCGGGGTTGGAGGTGTCGAACCAGTATTTCACTGTGATGTAGCAGAAACAGTTCCGGTAAACGCCCATGATTTGCATTAGGGTTGTGCCTATCGACAGAAAAAGGGAGAGAAGGAAGAGAAGGGTGAAGAGGGTGTGGATGGAGTGGGTGAGGAGGGATTTGCGGGGTTTGGACTTGGACTTGGTTTGGATCGCCTGCTCCCGTGAGGGAGTGCTGGGTCGGAAGAGGGGTGTGGACGGCTGCTGGGTTGAAGAGGGAGAAGAAGTGGGATTGTGGTTCGCGTATGGGCTGGAGTTGTGTTCGCGATCAGGGCCGGAACTGAGATATTCGATGTGCCTGGAAAAGGGCTTTGGAGAGGGAGTTGGGGGTAGTAACTTCGTGGTTGTGCGGATTGTAGTGAGCTTGTAATGGTCGCGACCGCGGTCCTCTTCGTCGTAGTCCATATCCATGGTGTCCATGCTAGGAGTTCGAGGTCGGGAAGACGTCGTGTGATCCTGTTGATAGTCTTCCGAGGGCCTGTCATGACCGTTGACACTCGCATCACTGCCCGCCTTGTCATGTACCACATGATACGTGCTTCTTGACTTTCCTTGGCCATATTCTGTATCTTCGCCCTGATGTTCTTCATGTCTGGCTTGATCCCGCTCCCACATTTTCAAGTAGACAGAGTAAACAATAGTCAACAAGGACTGCGAGGCCGAATAAGTCACGAAGCTCAGAGACCGACAACTCCATCCAATTGGCGGTGTTCTCCAGGCCACAAATGCCCCTGCAGCCGGAGGAAGGGAGATCAGAATGAAAGTCTGAAGGAATACCCAACCGATATACTCCAGCTTTTGAATCTTGACTCTGTCTCTGAACCTCTCGTTCTTTTGGTACACCTCCGACTGCCTCAGCCACTTGGACTTGTTGAGGCCTCTCTTCCACATGTTGACCGGCTGGAACAGGCCGTCAAATGCATTCTTTCGGGTGAAGTAAATCCACTGAGCTTCCTTTGGGCGTCGAGGTCCTTTGTCTTTGCGAGCTGCCTTGCCGACGAGTAGGACTACTGGACTCGGGTTGTTGCTCGCTAATAGACAGCCGCCGATGATGGCGACATGAACTATTATCATCCACTCCACACCAAAGGCGAGCGATATGGCTGCTTCCTGGTCCGATGGTCTGTTCCTAATGTCGAGGATGGTGTAGATGAAGGCGCCGAGGTAGAATACCACGGGGGCACCAATGGTGGCAGCGAAGTCCAGTTGGGAGGATATTAGACGCGAAAGTCGTTCGCGAAGCTGTTCGCCTGCTTCTTCATCGAGTGGATGCAATGTTATCTCGGGTGGTGATAGGGTATCGTGGGACCCGCGGGGTTCTTGGTGATCAACTGGCCCCCACGGGAATGCTAACGGCGGGATCTGCGGAGCGGTTGTTGACCTATCCTGAGCAGACTCTGGGCGTTGCTCATCTTGAACTTCAGTGTCTGGCGCTGGAAGCCCCTTTAGCAAAGCCTTCTTGATCTCAGCCTCCGGATTGCCCCCATTTTCCCCCATGACCAAGTTCCCTGAGATGGCAATCACCAGCACCTCAACTGTATCCCTCAGGCTCCTCAAAGTGGGGGGCTTCCCTTCTTCCCCTTCCTCCCTATGCGCGCCTTCCTTCAAAGCTCTCACAATCTTGTAATCCAGAACTGCCTCATGAAGTCCTCCCACCATCATCGGCCCAGCCATTCCCATCACCACCACAATCCAGAGCAACGCATCGAACGCTCCGAACAAGGTGTCCAGAGACAAAAGTACGATCCCGACCAGAAACGTCACTGGCTTGCGTGCTTTCCTGTTCCGGGGCCGGGGAAGTATCTTCCATACCCAGTCCTTGAACCGAGTAGTGGAAATAAGGATATGCCGTCTCGGCACGTTCATGCTGAAGATGACGGACGGAAGCAGGAACTGAACTATGGGAGCGGCCCATTGGCCTGGCTCGTCACCCTTGGAGAGTCCAAACCCGCCACAACTGCTCTTGCAGTAGGCGTAGGACACGTGGATCTCGGGGGCTGGCTTGAGGGTGTCGTTGTATATCTGGCCGCAGATGGGGACTTCACTGGAAAGGATGTCCCCCGTGTTCGTGTTGTATTTGGGTTTGAGAGTGAACAGCTCGGACGCTACGGCATCCAGACAGCATTGTTCTTCGTCGTAGCGATGGACAGCTTTGGTGGGTTGTGGGAAGATCCCCAGTAGGAGGACTAGGAACGCGAGTCCGAAGGTCAGGGCCTTCCGAGGAGGGTAAGCCATGTTGGTGGCATTTGACGAGGGCGGTTGTTGAAACCTGTTGTGAAATGGTAGTATGTCTGAACAACAAGGATGAATGAATGGGGGTCAAAGCAAGCAAGTTCAGAAGTTATCAATGAGTCGTGTAAACATCGTAAACAAACAAAGAAAAGGAATAACAAGGGCACGTCTTCGATTTTTATACCTTTCCCAGCATTTATCACAGCCTTACGTCCACGTCAATTCCTTCTGGAAGATTTCTGTAAACGTGAGGCGTAAGTCTAGTTGGTACGTGTCGAGTTGCTTGGTGATGGGTTGTGCGACCACACTCTCACCGAAGTCTGCTACCCCCAATCGCAAAGTCGCACCCGCGTTGCTTGCCCACTGTCTGAATCGCTTCCCGGCCTCAACCCTTCTTCAATCCCAAATACGTTGACCGGACGCCATGGGAAGTGTGGCACACCATGATAGATAAGCCTCGACAAATCATGGACTGTCTCCAAGCAGATGAAGGGTGCCTGGGAGCTGATTTCACAAGCTGGATGAATGGTGCTCGCCAGCCTTACTTCTCTTCTTGGGCCTGGGGTCTGGAAAGGGAAATATTGATCGTGGCTGTTGCACAAACAGCATGGCGCAGCATCCCATTCACACTGGACATGTGTCTCTCTCTCGCGATAACATCGCCAATGAGAGAGGCCGAGTCGCTTGCTCAGAAGGAATTCTAGGACTCGGCCAGCTGAAACCGAGGGTTCTTGCGCCTACAATGTTGTTGTTCCTGCCAAAGACTGGTGATGCAAGTAGGGGCAGTGATACAAATCAGGGCTGGAAATAGACCGAATGTACCTGGAGTTTATCGGTGTGGCTTGCTCGTTGACTCGTCGGCGTTATCATTCCTGATGGTGGGCTGGGGCGCAGCAGGATAAGTGGAAGGAAGGGTGACAGGTTGGACATGTGTCCATGGTGTCCAGACCGGGGGCCATCATGGCTGACTGCGTCATCTGGAAACGGGAGAGTACAGAACTTGGGGTTTGAGAAAGAGAGGGTACATAAGTGAATGAAAGATCCGAAGGAAAGGGTCTGCTTGGTGCTACCAGGAAGGAGAAGAGAGGAGGAAAAGAGCAAGTGTCACGGCTTCTCTCCAAATTCCATATCTTGTACCCCGCACGTGCTCGTCCCCAACCAGATGGAGGCACACCACAATAACAGCAGGAGTGAGCAGACTGGATGATTGATCCGAAGAATACAGGTAGTTCCGAGTCTGACCCGAACACAAGCAAAGGGATGTACGGGATGCATGGACAGCTCAAGCTGCCGTGCCTGCTACACGGACCACTCAGTAGAATACACAAGCACATTTTGATGAACTGGCAGTCTGCCACTGACACTGAATGGTACGCATGTGAATGTCAATACCTTAAGAGGTATCTTTATTTCTAAGGCTCTTTCTGGGTGTTTCAGCAACTAATCTCGCCCGGAACCAGCAAGCTTGATGAAACACCCGATTGGAGCCTAGAGGTAAGTTCTAAGCAGGAAGCCAACAACAACTGACAAAATTGAACGCCCAAAATACATAAGGATTTTGTGGTGTTCTGGTTGGGTTTTAATTACAACAAGATCACCGCCGAATCGCACGTGAGTTTCCGCCGTCTAGTTCTAGTCTTCTAGAAATCGCTTTTCCACCACCATTTGGGACCTTTTATCGCGCTCTCGGTCCCGATGCTCTTTCCTTCTTTTCCAAGTAGACAACTTCCATGTTTCTCCAGTCTGTCCATATCTCAGACCTTGCACTGTCTTCCCTGGAACTGGAGTCTGATGGGAGTACGCATTCCCGCCTTAGGAATATCTAGGACCACGCCTAATACCTTGGAGCAGAGGGGCACGATCGCCGGGTGTAGGAGGCAGAGGGGGGCAAATTTCAGCATCTCCCTTGTGGCTGCCGTCGTCAAGGTCCAACGCCACGACGTATACGTTTGGTGCCCAACGGTGCTCGTGCCAGGGACGGACAGAATCGGCTGGGCTCGAGGGACGCTTGTGACGGGGGGTGTTCCTGTTGTGTCTGGCCAGGTTGGCTTCGGTGAGCGCGTATTGCCGGTGGTGGTGGGGACAGAAGGCTTGAATGTCGGGACTGTAGCTGGATGCAGGTGACTCGGAGGAGTCGGAGGACTCGGGAAGGTTGAAACCGTGGTTGAGGGCGTTCTCGTAAGCGGCGGCGGTGGCGTGATAAACGTCGTAAGAGTCGTTATATTGGTAAAGGCAGAGACGGGAGGGGATTGAGGGGCCACGGTTGGCCTCCAAGTCCTCGTAGCCGTCACGGGGATTGGTGGTGCCGTCAACCGCTTCTCGATTCCAGAGGATGATGCCGCCGGTGACGGTACCGAGAATGCTACCGATGACGAAGCAGGACAAGATGGGTTCGATACTGGTAATAGTCATTGGGGAGAATGTGTCTCCAAGCAAGTTGGAGATAACGGGTGTAAAGAAGATGGCACCGATGATGATACCACCGATGATGATACCACCGATGAAACAAACCAGGAGCGTGGATAGAATGGTGATGGCATTGGCCCGCCGGGGCGTCATCCGTCTGGCTGAAGTCATCGTGTGAAGGGATCTGTCTATCGGTAATGTCGTCGAGTACGGTAGTATGGATCGATATCTTCGGTTTCGATTCGATGGATGGTTCGTTGGCAAAAAGGAAGTGAGGGGCGACGTAGGTGGATATTTCCCTGGGAGCTTCTTTTTTTCCAGAACAAGAAATCTTGATAAAGATTCAAGGCTTTTCTTGCCCTTAAATAGAGGAACCAGAAATGGCTACATGCACCTCCGGTAGGTAATTTTTTTCGCAATAAATATCGGGCATGAAGGCCAGATTGCATCTCCATGCATCGCCAGGCGTGAGCACAGCTTTCTGTTTCTTGCAGTCGCCATACCTCCGGCTCCTGCAGGATAAGGTATGTGGAAGATAAATGCAACAAACTTTTGTGAACCTAGAAATCGCTTCGGCTGCAATGCGAGCATTGCATATATTCATCTCACAACGTGTCCTGTTGTGGAAACCACTCAGTTCCAGTCTTGGACCACGACGCCCACACCCACATGCAACATGAAATCTCGCGATGTTTTCCGCCAGGCCATCAAACAGGTGGACCACGATACCCCCTATCCTCACCCTCCCAGCCCAGTCTCGGCCACCCGCTCGGCAATGTCGCGACCTTGGGTAGAGTATACCTCCCTGCGCACCCATCCTGATTGCACCCCCTGAGCTCGCACAGCCCAAAGACCTTGCAATAACACTCGCCTGCATCGGGGCAGTAAACAGCCGTCTTCCCGAAGATGATATGCCAGGTATACTCAAACACTCTTCCAGAAAGACTGTCGTCCAATTCCGTGTTGAGCAGCCACTCACGCAGGCGGATATAGTCCTCGCGCGATCGGCTGTGGACGGTTTCCCGGGAGACAGCGAATTGGGAGCAGCAGGAGACGGCGACAACTTCGGGGACGGGGATCCCGGGCAGGATCTGCTGGAAGGCGGATTTGAAGACGTCCTTGAGGGTGAGTCCGGAGTCGGAAAGGTCCAGGTCTGCGGGATCCTTGGCATCTTGGATGGGGCGCACTTCGGCGGGACAGCCGAGGATCCAGGCGCAGCGGAGGTTGACGTAGCCGGAGGCTTGGACGTAGGGGGTTTGAAGATGCCGGAGGGTAACAAGGGCGTCATAGTCTGGGTCGTCGTTGTGCCAGGCGAAGCGTTGGGCGTGGACAAAGACGGTGGTAGAGGCGAGGGTGTCGTAGCGGTCGATGATATGTCTGAACGTTCGTTAGTAACCTTTCCCGGCTGATAGTAAAGGGTGTACGTACGTGAGATAAACCATGGCCTCATGGCCTTTATTCTTGGGCACCGTGAGGGGAGCTTTAGGGTCATCAACCACATAGATACTCGACGGCCAATCCGGCAGGTATTCGTGCACCCAGCTGGTGTCTTCATGCTTCATACTGGCCACCACTATTTCGAGCGGAAGCTCCCGCGTGCTTGCCGGGGAACCGGCATCGTGTTGAGGTGGTGATGCCACATCCGGGAGTCCAGCTCCGTGTTGGCCGTAAATGTAAAAGGGGATAATAATACACGCGCAAACCAAGGCGATTCGCAGCGGAGAAACTTGAAGTTTACTGGGTGATGAAAACATGGCTGCCAAGGAGCTCAAAAATCGGGCCAAATGATGAACAAAAAAACGGCAGACGCTATGGATGATGGGCTAAAAGAGAGGCTAGAATGTGGAAAGAGTAACCCACGAGTAAGGGCAGAGAACGAACGAAAGATTAGAGGTACCAGATCGACGAAAAATAAAAATAAAAATAAAAAGATGCAAAGAAGAGCTCCGAACCACTCCAGTCTGTGTCGATGATGTTTGCGAGACCAAAACGGTTGAAGAGATCCAGCTGATAAGAGGAGTCGAGCGAGCGATGTCGAGATAAGCTCACTCACTGTCGGTTCCTGTTCAAGTTAACGTTCGGAATCCCGTCAGATCGCGTTGTTTGTCAAAATCACCACCAGACAGACACCCATCACTCCTGAATGCACGTAGGCGTCAGGCTCTTTTTATCCGTCAGTCCACTGTCCCCGCCAGCGTCGTAACCAGAGCGTCTATCAAAGCCTATTTCAGCGCCATTAACCGCCGACAGTCATTGGAGTGATCCGTCTAGCCGGTACGGCCTCGGCTTCTACCATTCGCCAGTTGTTGACATGCCCCCCTGTTCAAGTGTCCATCAGCTCTAGCAGCTTGTTAGCGTCCTGACGATCTGTGGACTGTCACTGACCGGTAAACGCCCAATCATATGGAGAGTACTACGTTTCAGAACTTCGCTGCAAGGCGTAAGAGCCAACAAGCAGAGGTTGACGATGACGAGAGCGTGGGAAATTGAGAAATTGAGAGAAGCAGCCCTACCTACCTGCCTACCTATTCTGAGCACCACAGCTCCAATGCAGGTCTGACAGGAGGCCTTAACATTACCTCTAAGGTGTATTTCCGGTGAATGGATGCTCAAGGCCGCAACGCAGAATTCCGTGGATGTGATTCCATGCTTTAGGTAGATGAGCGAGATGGGCAAGGCTTCGGGGGCCAAAATCTCAACGCCCCCCCCCCCCCCCCGTCGAGATTGCGAGTTCCAAGACTGGACGGCATTGACTCAAGTGTGAAGTGTGAATTGTTCAGCATCATCAAATCTCAACCCGCGCTTATGTGACCCGTGCCCCCGGGAACAAGAATCTTTCGATCTTGGTAGAAGCAGCTATCAGGGGCAGACAGACACATGCAGACGCCTTGACCCTTGATTCATTTTAGCGTTCGGTCGAACAGTCTGCGAGCGCGCTAGGTTCCTACGTGGTCCGTCTTCTGCCATCCGCGAAGGAACGTACGGTACCGTCCGCTCGGTGTTGGAAGCCTGGATAGGCAGGTTAAACCTGTGGGGGAGGCCGCTATAGGTAGATGAATCCGTAGCTGGGAATGGACAGGAAGAAGACGTGGGTTTTGTTCGTGGCTTTTTAGTGCTTACCGCTAAGAAAGTGATTGCTTCGGCATCGGCATGGAATGCGCCCTGGTCGTGGATGGCCGCCAACGTCATAGCGGCCAGAAATAATAGGGCGCGTATATGACTTGCTGAGAGCCCGTTCCCATTGCAAAAGTTTGAATTCTTGTTCCATTTTTGTTGTTTTCCGTTTCTTCAGTGACCTTTCTTGCTGGCTACCGGCAGGTCCTTTTTGATCACCGACAAGACAAGGTTGTTGTCTCGGTCGTTCCCGTTTTTCCTTCGCTTTACCTTCTTTCTTTGTTCTCCCGGCTCTGGCCAGCCACGTTTTTTTTTTTTTTTTTTTTTTTTTGAAACGTTACCGTTGGCAGTCACGAGACAGACACAATGCGACTTCCTTCAAGCTCTTACGGGCAGACAGGCCTGAACGCCCTCTTCGGGAGAGCTGACGTCTGTGATGTGGCTTTCCCGGGCGAAGGTGCAAGCACCAATTTCTGTTCACCAAGTAATACGTTGTGCTGTAAGTCAAGTCTCACCAGCCTCATGCTGTGCTTCCTGTCACCTGTGCCTATCCGGACCGGGTGTTACAGACGGACGGGTTCCATAACTAACATAATACCCACGACGATAAAGGCGTGCGAAAAGGGCAACAATATCCAGCATGTCAAACCGGCGTTGGTAAAGGATGGTGCTGTACCGGGTATGTGCCTTACCTTACTTACCTTGTCTCATTCCCCTGCCCGCCATGCCTTACCTTGTACCTATACAATCCATCATAGGCATTTCAGCTCCTAACCATCCTCATCAGAACCGGCACAAGCAACTGCTACGTCGACCAAGCCTCCTCCTGCGACGAGCCCAACGCCGTACCCTGCACCAACCTCAAAAAGGGCGTCTCCAAAGCCTGCTGCCCGCGCCTGACGAGCTGTTCCGACCAATATGAAGCCACCGAGGAATTCGTCCGGTGTAACATCCAATACGACGACTTATTCCACCCGGCCGTCGTTGTCACAGCTACCATCTCAGAAAGCGGGAGGGTATCAACAGTGACGCTGGGTCCTTCATCGTCGTCGTCATCCAGCACGTCGTCGACGGTATTATCATCATCCTCTACCACGCAGTCATCGGTGCCGTCAAGTTCGGCAACTGCGCCCGAGTCCGGATCCGGATCAGCATTGACTCCCCTTCCTGGTCTCCCCGTGCCGTCAAGCACAGCATCATCAATACCGGCCGGCCCCTCACCGACTCCAGATTCCCCGCCAATGATCTCCACCGGCGCCATAGCAGGTATCTCCGTCTCGGCCACTCTCGCAGGCGCCCTCCTCGCTGTTCTGATCTGGATCGTCCTCCGCCGTCGCAGGAAAGCCTCAGCCGCAGCCGAATCCGAGAAAGCCGCAGCTGGAACAGATGGCAACCAAACCGGAAGTGGAAGCGACCAAGACACAAGTAGAGACCTAGGCAATCCACCCGATTACCTCCCCGAATTACCGCATGACAACACCCGTTCCGAGGCACCGGGGGATACCTGTCCGTATTCGTATTGGGTTGGGCAGAATGGGGAGGGGTATTATAAGCCGATGGAGTTGATGACGGAGAGGGTGGTGCCGGTTGAGCTGCAGGGGAACAACATGAATACGCAGAGGGGGATGATGCCAGGGCAACAATGGCAAAATCAGCACCACCAACAGTATGGGCCGTTTGAGATTATGACGAATCCGAGGGGGTCGGGGGTAGTAGGTACGCCGAGGGCTGAACTGGCGGTGCCAACGCCTAGGGCGGAGTTGGGGACGTTTATATGAAGTTGGCTGTGCTGGCGTTGACGGCGTGAGGGGGGGCCGGTGACAGATAACGCCGAAATAATGTATATATGCCAGAGATGAGTTGAGCGGGGAGACCGACGGAGGTGGAAAACACCGGCGCACGGCGTAAGACAATACCCAGACCTTTTGCTATTTTCCACACTTTGCATGTTTGATTCCAGTGCGGGCCGTGATGAACATGGAGTGACGAGCCTGCAAGACCAGACCGGCATGCTCTGATCGCCATCTTGTATGAGCTTGACTGGACTTTGTCTACACAAGATCGAAGAGACAACATGCCAGGGAGCCCATAGGGGAATACGAGGCAACCTGGGGAAAGCCAACCCCGGTGGATTCGACTGTCCATGAAAGAAGTCCAGGGATGCCGGCACACCGACAAACACAAAGCTGAGATCCGAACAAACACCAATATCGAAGATAATCCAGTCACCTGGATATGACTTCAGGAGAAGCGCAGTTGAGACAGTGGCTGATGCCTTGATAATTTAGCCCGGTGGCGATTTTCCAGTCTTTGAAGAGGGGTATGGATGGCTCTTTATACCCTTGGTTGACAGCCCGGCTTTTACAATATCTGATCCAAGTTAAGCCAGTGGGAATCTCCGAATTGAGGATTGGGGAATCATTGTTTGTTGTTTTAAATACACAACTCGAATGGCCATGGTCTTTTCGGGGTGCTTGCGCCTGACTTAATCATCATGGCCGGAGGACGTCTTGGCTGGAGTCCAATCCTACCACCTTAACTTCTGCTTTGGCATCCGTCACCATCTCCACGGCCATCCGTCCGCCTGCACTCTTTGTGGATTTCGCTCGTTAACGTTCCTCTCCACAAGATGCGCTTCCCATCCAGCTACTACGGCCAGATCAGCCCCGGGCAGCTTTTCGGGCGAGGCGACGTATGCGACGAGGCCTATCCCAATGAGGGCGCCTATTCCAAGACCTGCACACCAGGCAACACCCCATGCTGTTAGCCATCCCATTGCCCGCCACCTCTTTTGCTTTGGCTTCGCATGGCTTTGACTGACATGTCTCACCGCAGGTTATCGCAAAGGACAAGCCTTCCCCCGTTGCGTCAACAGCGGAGGAGCGGGATGGTGTTGTGATGGGTACGTGTCCCCGTTCCCCTCTCCATTGCCCTTCTAACACCCAGTACAGAACCGGTTCCAGTACTTGCTTCGTCGACCAAAACTCCGCCTGCGAAGAGCCCGACGCAGTAACCTGCACCAACCTCGCTCGCGGCGCCAAGAAAGCTTGCTGCCCAAAGAAGACCAAGTGCGACGATGTCTTCGAGGCGAGTGAGGATGGCGTGCGATGCCAGATGGAGTTTGATGACTTGGCGAAGCTGGCAGCTGGGAACTTGGGGCTGGCGCTGGCGTCGACGGAGAGCCTTACGGTCACGGTGTCAGCGACGGGCGGTTCGACGGGCGGTTCGATGACGGGGATTGCTCAAACGTCGACGTCCCATAGTTCGACGGTGTCGTCTTCTGGGGGCGCGGCCTCGTTGGCATCCACGTCATCTTCGTCGTCCCCTACGCCAGCAACGGGTGTATCCGCTTCCAGCTCCCCCTCAGGCACACCTTCAACCACACCCTCAAACACCACCACCACCGACCCATCCGTATCCTCCTTCTGGAAATCCAAAGGCGGCATAGTTAGCGTAGCCCTCTGCGTCGCCGTCTTCCTGGCTTTTATCGTCCTCCTCATCTTCGGTCTCCAGCGCCAGCGTAACAAGAAGAAGGCGCAGCGAATACGGGCAATGACCCGCTCCAGATCCTTGCCACGAGGTGCATATCTCCCCGAGCGTCCTGTGTATGCGCCTCTTGCTGAGACTGAAGACCATGCAGCAGAAGTAGTAGTAGCGGTAGCAGAAATGAGCTCGACTCCTGCCGAAGACAACCGCCAACGGCAACAGAGGGAGGTGGAGATGCGCCCGCCGTCGTATTATGCCGTTGGTCCGAAAGATGTGCCGCCGTCGCGTGGCGGAGGGCGGGAGGACGAAGACGAGGACGAATTGGCGGAGTTGGATGATACGCAGATCAAATCGGTATTGAACGGGGAGGGACCGTGAGCGGATATGGAGGCGACGGAGGGAGGGAGGGACGTCGGCGGCGGGTCGCTATGTTGCGGTTACGATATTTCGCGCTCGGGTCGGGGGAGGACACAATCAAGGACGGACGGTATCATTCGAAGATACTGAGCTCTGCAGGCTCAGGGCTCCAATCGGTAACAGATATGGGTGGTCATTGTGCGCGGAGGGATCGCAACGGGAAATTGTTTCGGTGGTCACTTGGCTGGTTGTTGTCGAGAAGGTTGAACGAGGGAAATGAAATTGAGTTTCCACGTCGCCGACGCCATCAGTCGCTGGTGCGGGGTAACTGTTAGCTTCACTTGTTAATAATTGATCATGTCGTTAACTTTTTGCTCATATTTTCAGCGTAAACCCCGCTAATGGTCGCTACCTCGACTAACACTTACATCTACCAGCATTTCATGGCATTTCCCTGGCTGGCAGTACCAGACCGAATTCCCGAAACATCCATCTTCACGATCTCGCTTCTCCGACCATTCCAAACCAGAAGACAATTGTGCGTATTCTCTTTTGACAGACTCGTCAATTTGATCCATCATCCATATTCGTACACTATCTTGACAAACACACTATCGTTTCTCCCGTAGCCATTGCCGGCAGGTCAATCTCTTTCCAGCCCTCGGCCAATCTTCCCTTCCCGTCTTTTTTCCACATCTTGCTCCCATCTCTTCCCCACCAATCATCCCCTCCAGTCTCTGTGACTCTCCCACGCTCACATAACCCGCCCATTCCTAACCCTCAACCTCATAACATCCCCCAGCTCTCCCTTGGTATTATCATGCGTCAACACGTACCGGTCTCCAGGCTGGTGATAGAAACCCTTGCGCTCCATCATCTTGGAGCTGTAGAGTACGGCGCAGGTAGCAGCTACGCCGACGGCGGTGCGAGTTGCGTACTTCCTTTTTTTTGGTGGTATGTTTTGTTAGCATTCATTCATTCATTGATTGATTGATTACCTGCCTGTCCTTCCCGGGTAGTTCGTTGAACGAGGTAAGGGACAGCAATAGGGCGAAAAGGCGATGACTGGAAGGGGATATGCCAGCGAGGCGGACGTAACATCAACAACAACAACAACAACAACAACAAGAAACCTAGACTGAAAAAGGAGCAAAGGTAACAAAGGGGGAATATTACATCCTGGTGTAGTGTACAACCACCACAGCACCTTTTCAGATCTGCTCTAGACATCCACAACACATCTGTAACGGGTAGGGTAGACAAAAAACTCACCGATGAACAGCACTAGCATAAGGATACACCTCCTGACCAGACGGTCCTCCAAAGTCGTCTTCAGCGTCCTGGCCGTTTGCCTTTTTTTGATGGAGATTCTTCTTTTGTGTCTTGGTGACCACCGACTGCGGCTGGCGAGGGCCGCGGGGGTGGAGGAAGGAGAGACGGGGCCGGAGGAGGGAACGGGTGAAGATGAGGCGGGGTGGTAACATTGTATTTGGTTTGTTTGTTGATGTTTGATGGCAGGTATGTATGTGCGATGTGGTGAGTATGGTTTATGGAGTTAATCTTGCTCGAGATGTTCGAATTGAGTTTTGATGATGAGGGAGCATAAAGTCAAAAACCGACTGCTAATGTTTGGCTGCTAATATCCCGTTCTACAAGCATGCTGGCCAGGAGGATGTCATCGTCCATTCTCACTCAGATTGAATTGTAATAGTGACGTGAACTCTCTGGGACGAAAGACGGGGAAGAAGAGGACCGTGAGCATCGTGCTGGGTTGTGTTCGAAAAGAAAACCATTTCGACATCAAAGTCAAAATTGACAGAAGTATCAGCGACATCAACATAAAGATGCACCTAAAAAAGAAAACCACAACAAGCAGAAAAGTCAAAGAAAAAGAACATGTTAACTACGCCCAAAGGCGTATCTAGAAAATGTAGGGTCCAAAAAAAGTTGAAAAAGAAATGCCCCCACGCGGGATTGAACCGCGGACCTCATCATATCGTAGTTGCACTTTCCGAAGGAAGCTTACGAGTGATGCGCTCTACCACTGAGCTATACGGGCTTAAACCCTGTTGTGGTTGTTGAACTAGCAGTGCTAGGATAATCCTTATCAACTCCAACATGCAACGTGAGCCAGAGACAGAGAAAAAAAGATAACTCGATTGCAATCGTTTTTTGCACCAACTTCATAACTGCCACAACTTCACATAGCATCACATAGCATCATATTGTTGTGAGATAGGGCTTGGTATATATTGATCTTACTGCTAAAACAACACGAAATTTCAGACAGGAAAAATAACAAACCACCGACACATACCTCTAAAGAGAGACACATACAAGGAAAAGCAAATCGCCATCACACTACCCGCAAAGTTCTCACTTCCCTTCCTTTGCAGGAGTTTTCCAGACGTATCATTCACTAGCCCTTGCTCCCAACTCCCAAACCAACACGACATGCCCAGCCTGACTATCTAGTACAGTCTCAAGGAGTAACATCCATCATATCAACATCCCCCGCCGGAGGTGGATTAACAACAGGCCACCACCTCTGCCAAACCTCCGGCTGGTCGCCATCGCCCTCATCCTCACTAGGCAAATAAACCTCGGGTAGATCATGCGGCTCTCCCGCCATCCTCATCGCAACCGTCAACTTATCCGGATCAGCATACCCTTGCTCGTACCAATCCTTGCCACTAAATCCCGATCTGGCCCACTGGCCAGGAGGCATGGGGCGTATGAACCGATCCAACACCACAAACTGGTCCGTTTCATCGTAGGCCGGGAAAGAAAAGTTGAAATCGAGCCACTGCCCGTTACTATTGCTGTTACCGAGTTGCTTATTTTGTAAGACCAGGGACTTGTACTGCGCGATGAGCGCTTGCCAAACTTTCTTGTGAACGGGGTATTTCTGCATCGGAGAGCGGATGCGGGGGGATTCGACCGCGCAGAGCATGGACCAGCGGGCGTGGTAGAGGGAGGATATCCTGCTGGGTGAAGGCCATGGTGCTAGCCTGTCGGGCTTGGCCATCTCGAGGCTGAACATGGGCTTGAAGATTCTGCCGGGGTCGGTAACGTCTGCGTTGAGCGTACCGGGAGCGGGTTTGGGAGGACCAGGGTCTTTGTCGCGGCTCCAGTAGGGAGGGTAGCGGAAGAAGGTACCGGCTGCTTGGGCGTGGCGGCTGGGGAACCAGCGGTTTTGGAGGTATTCTTTGGGAGGACCTGGCGGCCGCCTGCGTTTAGAAGCTGTCCTTTGAGGCGGGGGTGGTGGTGGTGGTGGTGGTGCCGCCTGCTTCCTCAGGGCAATCAACCAGTCATACGGAAGAGAGGCATGCATCATGATCTCGAGCATGACAAAGGGCCACAGGGCGGGATGACGGTCGAATTCGAAATACCACAATGCGTTAACATTGGGGGGCGCAGGATGGGGTACAGGATAAGGGGTACTCATATCCCTGGCGAGGACCGCGAGGTAACCGCTGTAGGTGCCGAGTATGACTTCCGCATCGGTACGTTTCCGTTCTTCGACCGCCTGTCTGAACCTGTCGATCAACAAGCGTAGATAGCCGAACGAGTACGGGGTTTTCTGCCAGAGCCGGTAAGACTGCTTGTACCAAGGCCGCAGGCTTTTCCAGAGCTTTCTGCGGAACTCCATGTACTGGTACGTCTGCTCTTCCTCTAGCCGGAATCTCTGCAACTGACCTGGTGGTATCGGTTGGTGACGCGACAGTCCCGGTTGCACGTGTTTCCTGGCGTGGTACGTTCGCATATGGGCTGCATTGTAATACCGTGAGTGACTGGTGACCACCGGCCCGGCTTTGAGGGCACCTAGCCCGTATGCAGCAACGTGGGCATCCCAGAAACTCTGGGACTGGAACCGAGAACACCAGTATGTAGGTAGCGGTCCCAGCTGAACCATACTTCTCTCCGGCAGACCGCGAGGCATGCCATTATTCATATCCGTCAATTCTTTGCCTTTTTCGCGTTGCCGCGGGTCATTAAGCCACGAGCTTGCAACCGTAAACGCAGGGCCAGCCCGAGAGAGGAATTCGCTGTCAGGCATAAAGACGTTGATGGGTCCAATCGTTCTCACGGTGCCAAGAAGAGAATGTTCCTGTGACCAACCCAGTTCCACTGAGTTCTCGTCCTGGTAAGTCTGCGTAGCATCGACAGTTCGGATTAGCAAAATACATTCGGGTGGATGAGTTAACTTACCGGTTCATGCTCCCACGTGCCCCTGCCAGAATTGACGTAAACTCTCGCCTGATAAAGTGCATGCTACGCAACACGGGTTAGTTTATGACTGAAGAATATGGATTTGCCATGTACTCACCATAAGCTCGTGTACCATCTAGCATACCGACCTTTGTTAGCTTCAAGTCCCAGGGACGCTCAGGATCATAGAGGGACTCACTACAAGCGCTAACTGGAGCCGCGTGGTGTGCTTGGCAGCCACTTCCTCTGGGGTATTCGAGACGTTGAGTACAGATTCGAGAAGCATAGTGTTGATTTTGATATCGGTGAAAATATCAGGGTCACCCGGGCTTGGAAGGGTCCTGGGATCACAAGGCTTCTCCATCATCGTTCGCGACATTGCCGAGTCGCAGTAGCCAGCTGTGACACCCGTCTTGCTCACTGACCCATACTTGTCCACGTCGCGCGGATCGAAGAAGGACCAGATAATCCACTCTGACAAGCTCTCAATTTGGTGCCATAACCGTTGGGCAACCCGCTGGTCGGGCTGCTTGAGCCCTCCTGATCCATTCTCACCGGGCGAGAACATCCGCTTGGGCATATTGAAGTAATCATTCGATCCTGGCACGAACGGCATAACATTTGAAATTGGAGCCACGGTTCCCTCCAGGAGTGCGTAGAGCCAGTCGCCGTAAATAACGTGATGCAGAATCCTGTTGGCCATCTCAATCACGGTCCGCAGTCCATCCCAGATGGCGTCGTCGTCTACACTCCAATCTCGAGTATTTGTAGGGTTTCCGTTGGCGTCCGTTTCCAACACCACACCCCGCAAATCATACCAGCGGCCCCGCCCGAAGACTTTGTTCCACTTGCTTTCGTCCACGTTAACGAGATCGATGTCGGGGAATTGCTCAACTGTAACCGTGATGTCGGGAATTGGCAAAATTGAGAGGTCCGCCATGAGGACCTCCTGCCAGTAACTTGTTCCTATGATACCCTGATTGAGGGAAGAAAGCTCCCATGTTCTGACCCCATTAAGAGCGGTCTGCTGCCACCGCTCGGTAAAGAACAATTCGTCCAGTTGCACGCCCGTGGGCTTCGGTAAGGACTTTGGCATCGGGTTCGTGCGTGTAGCCGCCTCCTGCAACGCTCGCTTATGCGTCCACCAAAGGTCTTCGGTGAGGCCGAACGGTTGGTGAAGAGACGGGAATATGGGAATCAACCCGGAGGAGACGACACCGTTGCCGTCCTCAAGGAGCTTGACACCCCATCGCTCGAACAGATGATCCCCACGACGCCGCGGAGGAGGTAATTGTTGGTTTGCCATGATGGGTACCTTGTGTAAAGAGAAGTAAACAAGTGTGGGGAAGAAGATCCAAAGAGCAAAATGTGACCTCCACAACGCGCATGCCGGCCGAGTCGCTGGGAAAATGCCTACTTATGCTGAATGGACTTCTGGCTCTTCGAGAGACATGTGGTTAAACAAAGGCTGCCCGGATCCAGTAAGTCTGTGCTAGGTGTTTATGCTGCGTAGACAAAGGCATTCCGGACACGGATGCGGGTAGTGGTTTGTTGTCCGGGAAATTGTGTCCAAGCATGGCCTTGTTCGGGCGAGGAGCTACGGCAAGAATCCTTTGTCTCGAACCTAAGCTTCAACGCATCCCTGGCAAGCTTGCCAGGTCAAGGCTTTATCCTCGTTACCACGAGCATGGCAAGCGCATAATAGGCTGCGCTCAAAAAGTACGGTAAACCCAACGCCCACCCGCCGACCTTGACGCCTTGAACCCACAGAGCTGCCATGGTCGGTGCTCCGACTAGCAAGCCCATCGTCTTTACCAGCATGACGATGGAGAAGATCTGAGCTTCCGAAACCAGACTTGTTTCTGGCCCACTTGAATCTGGCATTAACGAAGGTGATTTGAGCAGCGAGTAAGTAAACATGGGGAGTGCGATGCCCATGGCGTAAAGCAGCAGTGACGGTACCAAGAGCCAAACCGTCGCAGCCATCGCTATGGCGACAGCACCCAGAACCGAAAAGACAAGACAGGTTTGAGCATAGCTGATGTTGTGTCCATCGGCCACCTTGTGGTCTTGAATGGTGGAGACATCCGGGTCCGAGAGGCGTCGGGACTGAGGAGAAGATGACCGGCGCCGACGCAAGATGGCAGGGATGATAAGATAGAGAAGGAAAAAGTTAAAGACTGCTTTTCCCGATAGCAAGTAACCGACCGAGGTGAACTTCCACCCACATCGCTTGGAGATGTACTGGGCCATGAGCTTGGTGTCGGAACTGGCCAGAGAGGTGAGAAAGAAGCTAGCAAGCAGGAGGGTGAAGTTGGGCGGGTAGCTGGTTATGACCTTGAACACGGAGGAGATGTGACCGGAGACGGACTCTTTGATGTTTGTGTCTTGCGGTAACAAGGGCGCAGTTGACTCTTGGTCATGCTGGTATCTAATTCTAGGACTGCCGGTGTTTGATGCGGGAAGGCCGGAGATGACGGGCACAGCAGCGAGAAGAACGACGCCGGTACACAGAGGAAGCCATAGCGATATGCCCATGGTGGCGGAGGCCAGAGCAGGACCAAGCTGGGCGACGAATATGCTCGAGACAGCATTCACCTGGCCGAAGAAGGTGGCTCTTTGCACACGGTCATGGGTAGCCGTCGAGACCAGCGAGTAGACAATCGAGTTGAACACACAATCTCCGCCGAGGACTGACAAGAGCGGGCCCAGGGCAAGGGCGGGCAGCGGAAGGGCGTGGTCGAAGTAGCCGACGGCGAGGGTCCAGCAGAGCACGAGGATGCGAGGCACGAGGTTGAGTCGCAGGACAAAGGCGTGGCCGTAGCGGTCGGCAAGCAGGACGAGGGGGATGGTCATGACAAAGTCGCCAGCAACCCAGCCCGTCTCCATGAGGCCCATCATGCTACCCAGATCCTGCTGTATGCCGTCCAGCTTGCACAGCTCCTCGGGCACGTTTCCATCTTGGCCTATTATTGAAGGGTCGACGTCGAGGTAAAAGTCCCGACAGAGTCTGCGTTCAATGACACGGTTGAGCGGGAGTTGATAGAGACTCCAGGCGAGATTGACAAGGGCGACTAGCATCAACAGAGAGCGAATCGAGGGGGAGGAGTTGGCGGTGATGGCGGAGGAGGAGGACCGGGAGGAGAAGGACGTGCCCGGCATCGTACTATCGTCTTGTATCGTGTTGTATTATAAACTTGTGGTAAACGGACAAGTAGACAGAGTCTGTCTAAGGTGGAATGGTGAAAGGAAAACAAGAGGTCATGTTTTGGTGTCGTCGTCGTGGTCGTACTCGGAAGTCCATGAGAGCAAAACAGCAGATGTCCAGTTGAAGGATGGAGTCTGGAAGAAATCAATTGGCGTAGTAAATGCAGACGAGGGATGTCCAAGGTAAGAACTCTGTGCTGCTCATCAATGTTCACGCCGTCAATGTGGGATGAAAACATGGAAAGGTGAGACCGAGTGGTCAATTGCGGGGATTTTCCTCCGAAGTTGTCTCCATCTCTCCACTCTCCCGGCCGGCCCCGCCGTTGTCCCGCCAAACAGTGGGCCAACAGCCCCCCACAAAGCCCCTGAAACAGTCCAAGACAGGGCCTGGGCCAAACCCTGAAATTGCCCTGTCAACGGACGTCTGGTGCGTCAAGTCCAATCGGCGCGTCTAATTCCGCCAAAGGGAAGAGATTCTCGAACCATTTCAGGGGATTCATCATTCCATTCTTTTTCTTACATCTGACTCTTTTGACATTTTTATTTTATTTTATTACAGCATCTTCAGCACATTTGTGACTTCATGAGATAGCGCATTTCGAACCTCTTAGTATCCGAGACCTACCATCACCTCCCTTAATCTCGACGACAAGGTGCGCCGAGCTCCTCGCAACCAGACAAGGACAGGCGGTATCCTGATATCACCACCGATAAAAATCTTTAATCAACTCGGCCAATTTGTATAGTCGCCTTCAGCAACTGAGCGCGCGAAACGCTTTCACACCGACTACCCTCTTCAAGCCCAACTACCCATCATCATGGCGCGACGACCGCACATAACGCTGATGCTCGTCGTCGGCGTCATCCTTTTTGTGTTTACGACCTACATGCTCTCCACGAGTGGCTCTTCAGCGGAAACACAACATTCGGAATCTTTCGATTTGGGCGACCATAAGATTGCTAGCCACGACGACGGCAGCAAGCCCCCGTTTGGAATATCGGATAACATCCTCAAGGGCGGCTCTATCGCTCCCAAGCTAGAGAACGCGACGGCCAAGTATGTCTACCATGTCTATCATGTTCATGTCCATAACCCAGTCGCCAGGCATTATCTCGAATGCTAACCATAATAACCACAACAACAGAGCCGAACTAGGCCGCGCTTCCTGGCGTCTCTTCCACACCATGATGGCGCGCTTCCCCGAGACCCCGACCGCCGACGAGTCGCTAGCCTTGAAAACCTACATCCAGCTATTCGCCCGCTTGTATCCCTGTGGCGACTGCGCGTCGCACTTCCAGAAGCTGCTGAAGAAGTACCCGCCGCAGACGAGCGGGCGCAACGCGGCGGCCGGGTGGGCTTGCTTTGTGCATAATGAGGTCAACAAGCGCCTCAAGAAAGAGCAGTTTGACTGTAACAATATTGGGGATTTCTATGATTGTGGCTGTGGGGAGGAAGGCGGTGCCAAAAAGCCCGAGGGGGAGGCTGGAGCTGGAGTTGGGGCTGGGGCTGGGGCAGAGGTAAAGACGGGGACAAAGGAGGGAGGGGATCTCAAGATGGATTGGGTGATGGATGGGAGGACAAGTTAATAATGTAGGGATGTGAGATTTTTACATGGACCTGCAAATGACTTTGCCTATTGAGTCTGGACAGGAATGTCTTGAATATCGTAGGCGTTATACAGCTACCGACTGGTGGCCGGTTCCGACTCGGGTGAGCTTAAACCGAGGGAGGTACAAATTCTAGGGCGCTATGGACACAAAGTACATAGTCAACGACATGGATGTGCCTGTTTCTCTCCCCTCGCCAGCTCCAGTCTCCAGGCCCCTTGGCGACAAATCCTTTGAGGTATTGAGCATCGCCTTTGTGGTCGCCAAATACCTACGCGCCGCGGTTCAGAACGTCGATGAGTTGAGTGACTGTGGTCAATGAAACGACATGACCATTGCCTTTTGTTGTCTCGGTGACTATCCTGCTGTAGGTAAATAAACCCGCTTAGACAATATCCCTTCCTATTCCGAATCCCCGATCCATGACGATGACGTTATCCGATGGAGTCGCGTTCAACAAGGGACTGATAAGATAACAGCGATAAGAGCGTCGCCGCGGCTATCGCACGTGATCCACTTAAGCCAAGCCGCCTGCAACACGCGTGTTTGGAGCTGCCTTGAGCTGAGGGGGCCTAAGCTTCCACTCAACTGGCCGGTCCCGCCTTCTGATGGGCCCGCCTTCGCCGCCTTCGAGGTTCACCTGGAGTTGGAGCTTCCCTCAGTACAAACAACGCCGAACAACACAGAACATACCTTACATAACGACTCCACGACTCCACGACTTTGCTCTCTCCGTCCTATCTACACTACCGCGAGCGTCCGACCGATTGTCCACGAATTTAACGGCGCTTTACGTTAGAACAACAGCCACTCGATACCCCCGTCATCATGGAGTTTGGAAACTCGGGCGTGCTTAGCGAAGGTGAGCTCCTCCAACTTCCATTTGGCGTCGCATTCCATGTCAAGCCATCACCATCACGGCCTCACCACTAGCTACAAGTCAACAACCTACCCACTCTCCCCGAGTCTCGCGAATTCCCCGCAATTAACAACATACCTCTTCCGCCGTTGGTCGCAGACAACACATGTTAACCGCTATTGTCCCCTACAGATGGCATCCATGTCGACATGGACAGGTTGAAGAAGGGTGAGGTCAAGTAAGTACACCACACTGCGCCGCGCAACGTTCCAGTTCCTACCCCATGCATAACGTTGTCGCAAGTGATGCGCAACAACAAATGAAGCAGTCCGCTAACTTGTTTGTCTTTTAATAGCTTGGGTACCTCGATGTAAGCTTCCTCCGAAACCGTCTGCCCCTCCCTGCCTTACAGCCCCAAACCCCCTCGACGATGCGACAGAATCCCCGGTAGCCGTACAAGAAGCAACAGCGATGTCTAACGAGGTTACTATGAATATAGCATGGCGGTCACATTCAAGGATGGTGTTATTCTCGGTTAGTCTCTTCCCGTCGAACAGCACTACACACCTTTGATTCTGGATCCGGTAGACAGAGTTATTGATCGCATGCTGACACCTTCACCTTCAAATAGGAGCCGACTCCCGTACAACCACGGGCGCCTACATTGCCAACCGCGTAACCGACAAGCTCACCAAAGTATCCGAAACCATCTGGTGCTGCCGCTCGGGCTCCGCCGCCGACACACAAGCCGTCGCCGACATTGTGCAATACCAGCTGGGACTGTACGAGATGGTCAACGCCAGGCCCCCCACGACACAGACGGCTGCAGCCATTTTCCAGGAAATCGCTTATTCCAACAAGGATCGGTTGACGTGCGTTTACCCCTCCTGCTCCCCCCTTTCTCTTATCATGCACTTGTTGAAGACTTCCTGCTGACGTTCGTATTCCAACAGCGCCGGCCTCATTATCGCTGGCTGGGACGCCCGCCACGGTGGTCAAGTGTACAACATCCCGCTCGGCGGCTCCCTGCACAAGCAGTCCTATGCGATTGGCGGTTCGGGATCCACGTACATTTATGGTTTCTGCGACGCCAACTGGAAGGAAGGCATGGAGGAGGCGGAAGCCGTGGCATTTGTCAAGGAGGCGCTCAAGGAGGCGATCAAGTGGGACGGCTCCTCGGGAGGTGTCATCAGGATGGTAGTGTTGACTGAGAAGGGCGCCGACAGGCATCTCTACTTGCCTGATACGGATTACAAGGTCAGGCACCAGTGAGGATCCCGAAGAAGGGGATGGTGGGTTTGTGGAGATGATGGACATCCGTAGTATGAAACTGCGGGTGAACTGTGGGAAGAGACGAGCTAACGGTCGAACCTCAACCCTTTGCTCAAGAGAGTAGACTTACACCAAGAAGGTGTATTAATACGATATGATACATAAGAAGACAAAAAGTTCAAACAGGATCTCAGTAATAGCAGACACTAAACACCACTGTTGTCTATAGGCTGACTAGTACAGCTGGAAGTGGTTACCTCTACCCAGAGCATGGCGACGTGTTGATCTTGATTCATATTTATGAACGAGACTTGTTATACTTGGGTAAGGTGATGTTATCGTGGTTGCACATCCTATTGTAGGTATGCTGTTATGCCCCACTACAGATGAATCGTGGCGAACGGGAGGTTGGCGATGGAGGTAGTTTGGCGTCATAGTTGTTTGTTACACGAGGTAGATTCAACGGTATAATGACATTCTTTTGCTTAAAAGCTACAGCCTTTATGGTTCCAACTAATGGTTTCATGGTTTCTTCAAATCGTCTGCTTAAAGCCAAACAAATTAAAGCATATAACCTCGATAAGCGCCAGCGGTTGAAGTCAACAGCTCCACTTGTACGTGTATACGAAAGAGGTAATTTTGTTGCTGCTAGCATCCATTGCCACATCACTCACTCGCCAACGATACCTACCTCTGCGAAATCTGCAAAATCAGCTTATACCAATACATAAGGTGCCTATCAGCGAGGTCGGCGGCGAGCTTGTTGCGTCAAAGGGTTACAGAAGTGAGAGGAGGAGCCCACTTTATACGTCAATCTTCCCCCTTGATACGTAACGGCACCGTTACGCTACGGTGAAGTGGTAAATTACACGAGATGGCTTCATATAGTACGAGCGTAAGGATTGTTGTCTTCCGGCTGTTGTGCGAGTATCTGAAACAAGCTGTCCTACCTCCATCATTTCCAGAACTGCTGAATGTAGCTTCGAGTTCAAGATAGGGTAAGAAGTGGTTGACAGTGACGTCGCCGGGTAGCTGTAGCTGTTTGTTATCGATGCCTTGCTCTCTTGTGGACGCAAGTAACAACCGGTTGTCGTAAGATTGCCTAGGTACTTGCCTCTGCTCATTCAATCTCTCCTCTTACAACTGACTGATTCGGATGACTTCCCAAAAGATGATGTGCCCAAGGGCAAAGGAATGACCATACCGCCAAATACCCGCCCTTCAAGCCATCCGCGGTGCCGGTGAGGTGCTGGACGTGGTCGGACAAGCATACCTTACCTTGGCTAAACGGCCCAGGCGGGTTGTTTGCTGGCAGCTTAGCCTCCCGTCCCCAAAAGCTCTGGGCCCAGGCTGCATCGTAACGGGCCTTGGATGGGCTCAACGGCAATGGCGTCAACGGTGGTTCAAGTGGCAGATAGACAACAAAGAACAAGCGCGGTGGCCAAGTGAACCAAGCAGGTGAGTGAACGGGATGGCGGTTAGCGGTCAGGGCAAGTTTATTGTTGTGTGCTTCCACTACTTGTTGTGCTTGTTGTACAACGCATAGCATAACGCGCACGACATTACCGTCGACGAGGATAGTCGCATGATGTTGTGTTTTTGTTGAGGTAGAGGTAGAGATAGGAAAGTGAAGCGTGTCATGGCTGTGATTGCTATCCATCCCGTCAGCTGGGATCCCCTCACATTAATCGATGTTTGTTTCATCTTGGAAAGAGGTTTCGATTTTTACTCGACTCGCGCGCCCACGTGTTGATGTTTGGCTTTTGTGGTTGGTGTTTTGGTCCGACGGGAGAAAATGAACAAGGGATCATGGATGGATTGGATGTTGTGATGAAAGTTACGCAGGTCTGGGAAGTTCAGCTGAGGTTTGCTAGTAATACTGTGCTGTGTTATTATCGTCGTATAGTGTATTGATACGGGTAATATTACGATGCCAACCCATCCCGCGTACGGCTAGACACAGCCCCCTAGCAGCCCCGTAGCGACCCCGAGTGCCCACCAAAGCTGGAACCCACCGAAGGAAGCCCCCACTCTGTTTCGACCTGATGCCGTCCCGATACCGATTAGTACCTTACCTTAGCAATTACCTTACCTCATCTGTTCAGTTCCAGTCCAACCCGACCATCCAATTTCGACAAAGTCTTGATTGCACTTTGTAGTTGCACTTTGCAAGCACTCAGTTGCGCTATCGCCTACCGCCATCGCATCAATCAGTCAATCCCAGTGTCATTGACTCTGACTCCCTCGATCGATACACCGACCTCAGCCTCGACATCCATCCATCCATTTACTTCTCCAGTTCCGACTACTAGACCACACGCAGCCAGATCACGACCCGCTAAACGCCTCCGATAGCTTACTCAAAAACACCCGACCGCAATCGCATCCATCACATCATACGACGACAACAGTTCCGATAGACTCCAGCCACGACAACAGACAGACAACAAACACCAAACGCCAGATAGACAGACTACATACAACCAGACAATGCCAGTATGGCCGCATTAATGGGTGACGTCTTTACCGATACTCCTCGCTTCCACGACAGGATGCACTCCTCTCAACACTATCAAAGCCCCTCCCACTCGTCATCCTCGCCATCGACGACGACTACCTCCTCCGCCGCCGGCACCCGCCCAAGAACAACCTCGATTCATAACCCTCAGTCTCGCCCGAGTCCGAGCCCCAGGAGGCAGGCCTCCGCGACCGCCACTACCCCAATCCCACGATGTGCTTCCTCCTCTCAGCAGCAACAACAACACCACCCTCAAGGTTGGATCGAGTCCACACCAAACACCGATGACGCACAGACAAAGCATCAACAACACCAAGAGTCCACTGGGGGCGCCTCCCGCTTCCCTTCCCCGCCTTCGTCCGCTTCTCCAAACAGACCTCTCCGACAACAGCTGCATGGCGTCCACGATACAGTCCCAACACAACCGTCTGACCCGTCTTCAGCCTCATCTTCCACCGCTTCGTCTACTAGCACCGCAGCTACCGTAATCCCCGCCGACCATTCCGGGATTGCGAGGGGTATTCCTTCTCCGGCCCCGGACGCCGATAACAACACCACCCGCACCTGGCGGCCCAGCCACCGTACTGTTCCGTCCAACAACCGCATCCCAATCCTTGACCAAGCCAACACCCCCACTGCTCGCACCCCCAACTACCAACAAGCTCACCAACTTCCCCCTCCACCCCAGCCCAAGGTTATCAACATCCGCGACCTTCACCACATTCAGGCCCTCGTTCAACAAGATGGCCACCCGCTCTCCGCCTCCTCCGGGACTGGCAACGGCATGCTTACCGACGACCTCCCGCTCCAACAAATGCGCTACGAAATCAGCGGGATGCCCATCTCGGATATCATCGAAATGGTGGCGGCACTGTTGACCAAGATCACGACGACCAACGACTTGCAGCATGACGCTTTGCAAAGAAATCAGGTGCATTTGAGACAGGCGAGCACAGGCTCGACACCAAGAGGAACGACAACGACGAGAGAAGGAAGGGGAGGAAAATAACGGGGGACGAGGCCGGGCCGGGAGCAGTAGCGGAGGGACAGGAACTGGGAATGGCGCAGGGAGCAACAGCAGCAGCAGAGAAATCGGACACAGCAACACCAGCGGACACATGTCCCCCCCTCTCCTCCTCCGTCTCGCCTTCCACGGTAAGAACGTGCCGGCTATCACCATCCTCAGCTACCTCACCCGCATCCACAAGTACTGCCCCACCACGTATGAGGTGTTTTTGTCTTTGCTGGTCTACTTTGACCGCATGACGGAACGGGTCAACGACATGGTGGTCAAGAGCGAAGAGGAGAGGAGGAGACGACGTTTCGAGGAGCAACAGGCTCGACAGAAACAAACTGCTGCGACGGCAGGTTATGAGAAGGGGACGGCGGACGATCCAGATGTCCTTATGCGGGATATGTCTGATGACAATAAAGCGCACGATAGCGACGAGACGGATTCGGATTTGGCTGATGATGATGACGACGAAGAGATGGCTGATGAGCCTAAGCCTAAGCAAAGTGTTGTTGGTGGGTCCAGGAGCATGAGGGAACAGGAAGAAGAGGAGGAAGAGGAGGAACAGGCGACGTATTTTGTCGTGGACAGCTTCAACATTCACAGGTTGATCATCGCTGGGGTTACTTGCGCGAGCAAGTTCTTTAGCGATGTATTTTATACTAATTCCCGCTATGCTAAGGTATGTTTACTTTCCCCTTTTTTTGATCATATTCTCCCCCTCTCCTCTCTTTTTCCTTTATTTTTCCATCTTAGTCCCCTCCCTCCTCCAGCATGTTCTGCTCTCTTCACTCTCTCCGATCCCAAACCTAGTTAGCAAATAATAACAGATATGTCACAGGTCGGCGGTCTTCCCCTCCCAGAACTCAACCACCTCGAACTCCAATTCCTTCTACTCAACGACTTCCGCCTCGCCGTCCCCGTCGAAGACCTCGAAGCGTACGCCACCATGTTGGTCGAGTTCTACGCTAGAGAGGTAGTTACGCAGACGACGCGCGGAAAACCTAGCTCGACTGCTGTTGCTGCTGGTTCGAGTAATGCCGTTGCTGCTGGTTCGAGTAATGCCGTTGCTGCTGGTGCTTCCGCCGTGGCGGCGGCGGCGGTGGTGGCGGAGTAGAGTACCGCTGAGACTGTCGATGGCGTGGCCAAGGGGATGGAGGGTTTAGGGCTTTCAGACGCGGAGAGTGGGAAGAAGCGTACTGGATGAAGAGGGAGAGGGGCTTGGAGGGATGCGGAGCTGTTGGAGAATGTGAAGAGGCGTGGAAGAGAGGGAATGACCTGCTCTTCGGATTGTGAGGGTGTTTATGATTGGTGACAGAGGGGTTGGAGGTAGGGGAGGATTTAATTGCTGTTTGTGGCTGGTGAAAGGCATGTGGTGCGATGGACGCCGTCTTACCAAGCAGAGAGGGGGTTTTTACCAAGCGGAGAGGGGGTTTTTACCAAGCGGAGAGGGGGTTTCTTGGAGCGATTGTTGTCGTTTTCGTGGTTCTTGTCGTACCAGTGTTGTTTGCGCATTATTGTTGATGTTTCTGTTGGCCAGCAGCGGTTGTCGGTTGATGCTGTTTTTACTACTTGACGCAGTTGTCTGTCTCTTTTTTTCTGTTGTCGCTGTTGTTTCCTTCGTTGCTCCAGACCTTACTTACACACACTACACACTACACACTCTACACACACACTACACACTACACACACTACACACACACTACACACTACACACTACTACAGCTTGCTTATGTACAGCTTATGGAATGACGGCATGATCAGTTTTTCTCTGTTTCTGTTTTTCTCTTGTCACTACTACTGCTACTTCTTCTTTCACTTTTCACTTGACGAGTTCGTTGTTGCTATACATAGACATTTGGCTGGTTTTTGGTCTCTCGTTTTCGCCGTTCTTGCGCTTCTTCATCGTTTCTGCTTTCCGGCGACATTTTCTTGGTTTCATACGTTCTGATTTGTCGGTCTCCTTCTGCTCACGCTTCTGCTCAGGAATAAAAACGAACCCATACATCCAAGAAAGACAGCGCCCATATCATAGCTTGCGAGCGATGGATGGTTGGTTGGACTTTGAACTACCTTCTTCATCGTCATGTGGAAACAGGGACTGGTTTGATGAATGAATTAGACGATCACTTACCTTGCCTTGCCTTCCCTTGTTGCACCACTGTCTCCATGTTCACTAAGACATGTGAATCGATGTTTTTGCATGATACCTATCCAGCTGTCCAAAACTATCAATCAAAAAAAAAACAAAAAAAACAGGGTCCTCACTACAGTTGTAGTAAGTAGTACACTCACAAATTCGGATTAGTTTTACCCCAACGTAGTATCGTCTTACAATGTCTTCCCTGGCGTCAGGTAGCTGGGCGTGGTAGGCGTCGAGGCGTCAGGCGTCTAAAAACGGGTGGCTTGGTGGTTTGCCGCTCAGTAAGACGGTAACGGGTCGGGTGTCGTTTAACGCTCTTGGCAAACACTCGGTTACAACGGCATGTTCCCTTGTCAATTTGATTGAGATGTGTTGGATATCTCGTGATTTTGCGTCTTGGCCATTTTTCTTTTGTTCACTGTGCTTTTCATGATCTTTGAGGATGAAAGAGAGGGAGGGAAAAAGCTGGGGGCGCGTGCGATGGAATTTTATCTAGGAATCGATGCGAGTTCCTCGGATTCGGACCACTGACCAAACATCGACCCTTTGGATGCTCGTGTTGATCACCAACACCACCAAGTCCATTCAGTGTTGTGCCTACCACAGTACATTGTATTGAAATGCATCAATATGTGACACGGCTCGAAAAGCTGTGATAAGGCTGCCAGTGCTTGCTTATTTACACGTGCGATCACAAGGGAGAATGGCTTGAATGGATACGGGAGATACGGAGGTGGAGGATGACCCCGAGGACCTCTAGGACCCTGATTGCTTCTTCACACGTGAGAAACAGTTCAGGGTACATAAGGTATACAGGTACTGAAGCTCAGGTGAAGTTCCAAACAGAGAGGGCCGCCTCCATGTCCATACACTACTCCCGTCCCGGTCCCTCGCCCGTGCGACTGCCACTGTCGTCAGCCAAGGCGTTGATGCTGATGTGCAATCGCCATGTCCAAGCTCCCACTTTTTGCTTCCTGTCGCTTTGCTTTTGATATCCAAAATTTCATGACGCCGTCAGACATTGAACTTTCTTTGTCGCCGCAATGCGAGCCAAGTGAAGTACTAACTTCAAAAGAGGTAGACTAAAAAACAGAGGCGAACGGCAACGGTTTGCGCCAAGCTTAATCGGGACCGAGTGATGGTAAGGTGATTGGGGTGTTGGTTGTGTAGTTCACTGTCCAGTCCCTGTGTCGGTGCACAAGCGTCATGGCAGTGGCGGACGGGAACACCCAGAAGGGGGAGGGAAGGAGGGGAACACAAAGTTGGCCAACGACCAAAGAGAAACGATCAAATTCTTTACTGGGGTAGATGGGGGTCAACGCTGGGCTGGATTTGATGAGAAGTCATTCTCGAAGTGAAGTGATCAACAGGACTCAATGTCATGTTCAAAATCCAGAACGGACGAGACCTGTAGACCAAGCTCTTGGACCATGTCTGGTCTTCCTTTCCTTCGAGATGAAAGTGGATTTGGAAGGCATTGAAACACTGTTTGAGAAATGTCAACTTACACATACCTACCTACCGTGCCTGAACGGACGGACTCCCCGCGGGGTTGATCATTGATGGCGTCTGGGGAAGGATGGAAGAGGCGTTCGACAATTTGTGCCCCTGTAGTCTTCTATCACCGTCAACATCGACAGGACAACATCAATATCGAAAAAAAAAGAGATCAATCCAAGCAGAGGTGTTGCCATCGGTCAACCATCACTCATCGAAACTGGGATGACGAGGTGCACATTCCTCAGTGAGGGGTAACATGCAAGTACCACCGATCTTTTTGCTGACATTCACATTTTTACGTTCTTCCTCACCACATCCCGAAGAACTCTCCAATTGAGAAGGGCAACCAGACCGAGACACGAAACCGGGGACCCAGAAACTCGTGCAATGCATGCAAACATGTACACTTTTACGGATAGGTAAGTGATCACAAGCCAGCCTCTTCCAGGACCAAGACAAACTGGAGAGAAGCCGGAAAAGGCCGAAGTCAACCTTGCTTGATCAATCAAAACCTCGAAATCGAATGAGAACAGTCAACTGTGGAGGACCATACGGGCACAATCCACCATCCACATGGCTTTGATATTTCCCAAGTTCCCACTCCTCCACAAACAAAATACCACCCTTCCCCCCAATTCCCCCGCATATAACCCTGGAAAGGCTGGGGGTCGGCTACTGTGGCTCCACAGCTTGGTGACACCGGTTGCTGAAGCCGGCCAAGATCGACGACATGCCGAGACGGAGAACAAGGCAGTCACTGACAGGCACTCGGGGATAAGGTCAAGGATCCCGAAGAATAGCCATACAAAACATTAACCAGGCTCGGGCCAAGAAAAAGAACACTGACCAAAAAGACACAAGGACCAGCCAAGCGGACTCGATTCCTGTAATTCCCTGAGAAGTGGCAGACAGTCTTACACAGTCAGACAGTCCACAGTAAGAAACTACGTTACACCACGGGTTACCATGTGTGATAAATGTATAGCCGGACGGCCTGAGCACAACCACTCATGAGCTCATCCCGTCAGTGCCCGTGTGCGGGTGTGGTACAACCTCACAGATATTGAGGTTGTACAGTGCCTCGAATGCCCTCCTCCATGTTTGCCGAGTACGTACCGATGATCCCTTCCTCATGCCGTCTTGGTCTCGCCCGAAGCCTGGTACGCTGAGTGAGATCGATCCATGGCGAGCAAAAAAAAAAGAGACGGAGGAGGCCAATATTCTCAGGGATATGGAAAAACTCAACCTCCTCAAGTGAAAGGCTGGGGTTGGAATCTGGGGTCTGGGGGTGATGGACACTGGCTGGAGGGAAAAGGTATATCTTCCCCAGGTACCCCGGATTTGGTGTTCCGTCTTTGTGACCTGTGTTGTCCCTGTTTCTCCCTCTTCTTCATCCACAACCTCCCTCCTCACACCATCATCCAAGGCAGTCAAGTATAGGTCCAGGGGCTAGCTTGGTGTAAGTGACCAAGCACTCACCTCAACCATGGGCCACAGTCCAGACCGAGAGAGTAGCGGGACTGCCGTGTAAGTCCAACCATTCCACAAGACCTCCCAATTCCCCCCAGGGCCCGTGTCACTAACACTCACCCAGAGACCCCAAAGGCGTAGCCGGCTCCCACATCGAACAAACACCCTCCAACATCGAAGCCAACCGAAGCCTCGAAGCCAAGCTCAAGAACCCCCTCGAAGGTCTCTCCCGCACCGAGCTCTTCTCGCGCGTCGAAACCTTTTGCGCCGAAAAGGGACTAAGCGAACACCTTCCTCTCTTCCGCAAGGGTGCAATCATCGCCCAATCCCCAGATGATTATGCCTCCATCACCGGCCCGGAAGCCTTGGACGAGGAGGAGAAAGCGGCCCTTCTCAAAGAGGTCGAACACAAGTGGCGGCTGCCGGCAAAGCTGTTCCTGACTATTGCCACTTGCTCCATTGGTGCGGCGGTCCAGGGCTGGGATCAGACTGGTACCAATGGCGCCAATCTCTTCTTTCCCGAGTATTATGGCATTGGAGGGGACTCTACAAGGGAGAAGATTCTTGTCGGGTTGATCAATGCCGGACCTTATATCGGAAGCGCGTAGGTACTCCCGTTGTTTCCTTCTTGTCCAGGGTGTGATGCCTCCGGCGGCCCCTACCGGGGAGGCAGGCCTCGCTTCGCTCGATTTTCGAAGTGGTGACTGACATTCGACAGATTCATCGGCTGCTGGCTTTCTGATCCCATCAACAACTGGATCGGTCGTCGTGGTGTCATCTTCGTCTCTGCTCACTTCTGTCTCTGGCCTGTCATCGGTTCCGCCTTCTGCCACACTTGGCCGCAGCAACTGGCCTGCCGTCTGCTCATGGGTATCGGTATGGGTGTAAAGGCTTCCACGGTCCCGATTTATGCTGCCGAGAACTCGCCTGCTTCTATTAGAGGCGCGCTGGTCATGTCATGGCGTGAGTACTTCCACAGCCCCCTCACGCAGGCGACGATGCTAACACCCCATGCCCCACCCCCAGAAATGTGGACAGCCTTCGGCATCTTCCTCGGTACCGCTTTCAACCTCGCCGTCTACCACACCAGCAAAAACATCAACTGGCGTCTCATGCTCGGCGCCCCCTTCCTTCCCGCCGTCCCCCTCCTCCTGCTCATCTACCTCTGCCCCGAGTCACCTCGCTGGTACATGAAAAAGAACCGCTACCCAGAAGCCTGGAAGTCTATGGTCCAGCTGCGCAACCACCCGCTCCAAGTAGCGCGCGACATGTTCTACATCCACTCGCAACTGGAAGTCGAACACGAGCTCCTGGCCGGGTCCAACTACGCCAAGCGCTTCGTCGAGCTCTTTACCGTCCCTCGCGTGCGCCGCGCCACACTCGCTGCTTTTACCGTCATGATCGCCCAGCAAATGTGCGGAATCAACATCATCGCCTTTTACAGTACCACCATTTTCAAGGAATCTGGCTCTAGCGAGTTCCAAGCTTTACTTTCGTCGTTTGGCTTCGGTCTCGTCAACTGGCTTTTCGCCTTCCCCGCCTTCTGGACAATCGACACTTTCGGCCGTCGTTCCCTTTTACTCTTCACCTTTCCGCAAATGATGTGGACTCTCCTCACAGCCGGTCTCTGCACGCTAATGGACATGGGTACCGCCCGCACCGCCCTGGTAGCCCTCTTCGTGTTCCTCTTCGCCGCCTTCTATTCCCCCGGAGAAGGCCCGGTACCATTTACTTACTCAGCCGAAGTCTTCCCCTTGTCGCACAGAGAAGTAGGCATGGGTTTCGCCGTCGCCACGTGTCTCTTCTGGGCCTCGGTGCTAGGCATCACCTTCCCCTTCCTGCTTGACTCCCTCGGCACCGTCGGCGCCTTCGGGTTATACGCGGGCTTCAATCTAGTGGCCTTCATCGCCATCTTCTTGTTTGTTCCCGAAACGAAGCAAAAGACGTTGGAGGAGCTGGATTATGTGTTTGCCGTCAAGACGAGCAAGTTCATGAAGTACCAGTGCACCAAGGCTTTGCCGTGGTTTTTCAAGTATTGGGTGTTTTGGCAGAGGAATGCCAAGCTCGAACCGCTTTATGAGTTTGATCGCGAGAAGGAACAGGAGAGGGAGAGAAGGGCGGAAGAGACGGGGACTGTTACTGGGACTGGGAGTGGTAGTGCCAGGGGGGCTGATGCTGCGGATGTGGATGAGAAGAAGGGGTTGGGGGGTGGAAATGCTCCTAATGCTTAGATGGGGACGGTTCGGGGTTGGTTGTTGTGTTGAAGTGGTTGGTCTTTGAGATCGCCGTGTTGTTTGGAATGGACGGATTTGTTCATCTTGGTTATGATATCCCCTTCCCTTTCCCTTTTCTATCGCTCCTTCGGTTTCGATCTTGTACGCTCTTGATATCACTATACCAATTTCTTTTTGAGGTCTGTCAAATTGCTTGAAGCTCTCCTACCACACAAACCGAAAACAATTTCAAGTATATCTCTACCTTTACATATAAGGAAAGTTGATGACATGTCGTGCATTCATCCCCAACAGCCATTCCCGAAGTCGGCTACAGCTACCAGTGATTCGTCCATGCAAGGAAAGCCGCTGTTTGGCTGAACTTGGCGACAGCTTATTCTTACGCGATAGTGTGTGAATGGCTCACGACAAGAGCTGAGCTGAGCTGAGCTGATAGATGAGGGGTCTTGGTCTGACCCGGCCGGCTTCGCTTTGACCCAGCCGAGCCAGCTTACCTTATTGTCCACTAGTAAGTAACGGGTAATTCGTTCCCCTCAGGTCCAGTCGGGTACGTCACTGACTATCTTTATTGCCGGCGTCGTTATCAGCATTCAATGTTGATATTAACAACGCAGCTGGGATTTTATAATATCAGATGAAGTCAGCCGGCACCAACGTCCTTTATGAAACTTGAGAGTTCAGAGGATCAGTCGGTCATATTCGCAATGATCACCACTTCATCAATCGGCCTCATCATTTCCCTCCTCGTTGTCATAGTCTTAGCAATCAATCTCTGGCTCCGTTCACACCAGAGAAGGCAGACATGGACATTCGCCACATCCTCGCCGTTTGTCAACCAGGACGAGAAAACACCACTCATCCACGACCGGGGCAACACTGTCAGTCAACGAAATGAAAATGAGAAAAACGGGAAAACGGCACAAGACGAAGCACCAAAGATCGTTCCCTTACCGGATTTTAACTGGAAAACCACCGAACCGCTCAAGTTCAGACCTTTTAAGCCGAGGTATCATATTACTATGGGTATTGCACCCTTTTCCTTACCTCTTTCTCCCTTACCATGGGCATGTACCCTCATGTTTACCTACCTCAGTAACATCTTTCCATTGACATTGACATTAACCTATGTGGAAATCCGAAGCACTCCAAAACAGCACCCCCTCCGATCTCATTATTATAGACAACAACTACCTCTCCCGAATCCGGTACCGACAAGAGACCTTGTCGCTGCATGCAGATGAAGTGATGGGTGTTTTGCCTGAAGGTCGTGAGGCTGTTAGGGAGTTGTACACTTATTTGCTGGGGGAGTATTTGCCGGTTAGGTATCCGGGGATGTTTCGGGTTGTTTCGGGCACTGGTGAGGATGAGGGTGAAGAGACAGGGAAGACGTTCCAGAACCTCATCACCAACGCTTCCTTTCGGCTATTCCCGCCTCCTTCAGACCCGCTGGACTGTTTAAGGGTAATAGCGCAGACGGTGGAAGATGATTTCTTCCTTTTGCTTCCCTTTCCCTGTTCTTCCCCCCCTTCTGTCCCTTCCGCTTCTTCTCCTGCCTCACTATCCTCACCATCCTGCACATCCCCAACCAACCCCAGCCCCAACTCCCCCAGCGATACCACCACCCCTAATACCAGCACGCAAACACAACATTACTGCGTCGCCTTCCTCAACATCCACCCCTCAGGCTTCACCCCCCTCTCAAACTCGGTCTCCCCCTCTCTCAAATCCACAGCCCCGTCCCCTCCTACTCCAAAATCGGTCCATCAATGGAACGTTTCTTTTCCCGGTTACCCACCCAGAAACTAGTAAAAAGGGTGAATTGGGGGATTCAGTTACATTCGGAGCTGTACTCGCCTAGTGGGAACCATGTACATCAGGAGGATTTGGACTCGGGGAGGGTGGCGATGGAGGAGGTGAAACCTGAGGATTTTGGGGATACAGAAGCGGAGGAGGCGAGGTTGAGGGTTGAATTGCAGGGATGTTGGAGGTTGAGAGAGACAAAGGCAGTGGTTTTTGGGTTTAAAACTTATTTGTATGGACTTAAAGAGGTGAAGGGGGAGGTGGTGGATGTGGAAATGGAGGGAGATGGGAAGGGTAATGGGGGAAAGGGGAACACGGAAAAGATGAAAATGGGAGAAGCATTGGCGCAGGCTATTGAAGGATTGGGAGAGGGGAACGCACCGGGGATGTGGAGGTATAAGGGGGCTGTGAGATGGGGAGGGGCGGTGGTTAGGTGGTTGAGGAGTTGATGCCGTGGAAAGGAATGAAAGGTCTGATGGGAAGTTGAGATGATTCCTTCGGATGGCGGATTAACTTGTTAAGCCAAATGGAAGGAGTCATGACGGAAAGTGGAGGGAGTAACGGACGCAGAAGGACCGAGGGCCGTCACCCGGCTTCCAGTGTCGGAGGACGGAATATCGGGGCTTAGAATCGGTACTATGACACTTGATAACCCCTGAATAACACCACGGGCGTCGTCAGCTTCTCTCTTTCAACAAGTTAACCCAACCTACAAGAAAGTGGAAGAACGGCGCTGGGGGACATCATTTCTCCTCGATATGCCTAACCCCGAGCCGTGTATCCGCCGAGAGGAACTCGTCATGGTACGACGCTGAACATCAAACGCGCTAGGGCCATCAGCCAATCACCTTATTCTCGCCTGTCCCGCTGGGTAGGGTTGGTAGGGGTCGACGTTTGATCTCCGAGATGATCTGATAACAGCTCGGCGTTAACCCTCACAACACCCTTTGGCTTCTTCCTTTATAAGTCGACCACCTGCCTGCTTTTTGATCGATCTGATAATGAATTACTGTTTCCCAAGACCTTCGTTGTTCTCTGCTTCTCTCTTGGTTGCTTCTGTTGTTCTTTTGTTCAGCTTGCTGCTTCAGACTTCGATGGATACCCCTATCTCTACCTCTACCTCTGGAGACGTGCAACAACCACAACCACAGAGAAATATGGCTACCTCTGCCAATGCACTCAAGAATGTTGTTGTAGTGGGAGGGTCATATGTTGGGAAGGTGAGTTTTTGATCCTTCTGACAAACTCAACAAGACTGAAAGTGAAGACAAAATACTGACTGACATTCAACCCAAGGCCGCAGCCAAAGAACTAGCCAACATCCTTCCGCCGACTCACCGAGTTAGTCTCCCTCTACCCATTCTCTCATTCCCTCCCTCAGCTTGAATCCATCACCATTCCTCCCCTTCAACCTACCGCCACCACCAGCACTACCACCTCAATATCGAACCCAACTAACAACCTCAACCCCCCATTGTGCAGGTAATCCTCATCGAACCACACACCCACTTCCATCACCTCTTCGCCTTCCCCCGCTTTGCCATCCTCCCCTCTCACGAACACAAAGCCTTCATCCCTTACACCTCACTCTTCTCCTCTTCTCCTTCTCCTTCTTCTCACCTGATTCTCCCCGCCAAAGTCTTATCCGTCTCCACCTCTCCCAACACTCTCACCCTTGACCGACCTGTCCAGTATCCGCCCTCTTCAGTCAACACCCCCATCTCCTCCTCCCTCAACAATGCCATTGGGACAACAAAGCAGATCCCCTTCGACTACCTCATAACCGCAACAGGAACCCGCCTCTCACCCCCCGGCTCCTCCCCCCACGACACCAAGCCCCTATCCATCTCCTTCCTGCAATCCTTCCAATCAGCAATCACCTCCCCCTCAACAAGCCACGTGATAATAGTCGGCGGTGGCGCGGTCGGTATACAAATGGCTTGCGACCTTAAAGAACTCCATCCTGGTCCTACCAAGAAAGTAACGCTTGTGCATTCGAGAGACCAACTAATGCCGCTTTATCATCACCGGTTAAGTGATATTGTTAAAGTGAGGTTTGGGGAGTTGGGGGTTGAGATGGTTTTGGGGAAGAGGGCGGTTGTGCCTGTGGGTGGGTGGGCGTTACCTGTCCCTGGACAAGAGGGGAAGAAGAAGAAGATGGTTGTTAATCTGGCAGGCGGGGAAACAGTGGAAGGGGACGTGATAATCCAAGCTACTGGCCAACAACCGAACAACGAGTTTTTGGTCGGGCTGGAGACACAACAACAACAACAAGGGACCGAAGAAAAGGGAAATGGGAGGGTGATAAACCCCATCAACGGCTTCGTGCGAGTTAAAAAAACGATGCAATTCGCCGACGAGCGTTTCTCGAACTTCATGTTTGCCGTGGGCGACATTGCGGATTCTGGGGCGCATAAAGCTGCTAGACCGGGGAGTGTGCAGGCGGCTGTTGCGGCGAGGAATGTTGTTAGGCTTATCGAACATGAGGGGAAGACTTCGGAGGAGGAGGATGTGGAGTTGGAGTTGGAAAGTATCGAGGTGCAGCCTGCGGGGATACATTTGACGCTTGGTTTGGTGAGTTTTCCTTTTTGTGTCTGCTGGCTGATGAGGTGTTGGTAGATGGGAGGAAGTGTGCTGACTGACCCTTTGTTGTGGTATAGACGAAGAACATCATCTTCAGAAACCCCAACCCGGCGGTTGGCCAGATGGAGCCAACATACACCTTGAAGGATGAGTAAGTCTCGATCATTCATGTCCCGGATCATTGAAGAACGTGCAGCTAACTGCCTGTGATCAACAGTGGTAAGGAGGATATGGGCATCGAAGGGGTTTGGGGCAGGAACGGTATCAAGGTTTCTGGACCGCAGGAGTACCATCTCTGAAGTCTCGGAGGGGATTTCCCTGAAAGCTGGTTAACCGTCACCAAAAACAGAGGAAAGCGCACCATTGTAGTGTCATCAAAAGAGGTATCATTATTGTATTTCATCTTCATCAAATCATTATCCCTAAATCTACTCGATCTTGATACCGATCTTGCCAAAGTGCTTCTTGGCCCACTGTCATTCATTTCACTCGTTAGCATATCTTCAACCAGTATTTCCCACACCACGGGCACCCTGGGACAACATACCATATACTCATAAGCCTCCTTAGTCTGATCGAGAGTAAACACCTTCTGGTCAACAACAGGATGGATATCATTCGCCTCAATCGCCGCGCACATCTCCTCCAGCTGCTGTCTGCTTCCAACATAAATACCACGAATAGTGCAGATCTTGCTGAGGGGCTCAAGGATGTTATCCTTAGGCTTGGCGCCTCCGAGGAATCCAATAAGCGAGATGATGCCCTCGTACTTGACGGCCTTGAGGGACTGCTCCATGGTATCCTCACCACCAACCTCGATGACGTGGTCAACGCCCTGGCCGTTGGGGGTCAGCTTGCGGGCGGTCTCGCCCCAGTTCTTGTCCTCGCGGTAGTTGATGACGTGGTCGGCGCCGAGTTTCTTGAGCGTCTCCATCTTCTCGGGGGAAGAGGTGGTGGCAATGACGCGGGCACCGGCGGCCTTGGCGAACTGCAGCGCGAAGAGGGAGACGCCGCCGGTGCCCTGGACGAGAACGGTCTCGCCGGGCTTGAGGGCCTTGAGGCCGTAGAGGGCGTTCCACGAGGTCAGACCGGCGCAGGTGAGGGTGGCGGCCTCGACGTGGGAAAGGTTGGAGGGGGCGCGGACGACGCCGTCCTCGTTGAAGACGCCGTACTGGGCGGAGAGTGGTCGAGAACACCGCCGAGGCCGGAGGTGGCGCCGCGGGTGTCGATGGGACCGGCCTGGTGGGCTTGGTTGAAGAGGGTGACGACCTTGTCGCCCTTCTTCCACTTGGTGACCTTGGAGCCGACGGCGAGGACCTCACCGGCACCATCGGAGCCGGCAACGACGGGGAGGTCGAGAGGGAAGGGGTACATGCCCTGTGGTGTGTTAGTGTCTGTTCAGTCATATCATGATGTGCTCTACTACCTTGGGAATGATGAGATCACGGTAGTTCAAAGAAGCACCGTAGAGGCGGACAAGAACGTCGTTCTCGCCGACATGGGGGACGGGACCTTCCTCACGGACGAGGCCATCGAAGCCCTTGTCCTGGCCCTTGACGACCCACTGCTGCTGAGTAGAGGGAATAGACATTGTGATGATGGGGTATAGACACTAGAATTACGTGAGAAAGGGGGTATCGTAAGGGATGGGATGGTGTAGATGAAAGACGAAGATGGGATGAACTGGTTGAAGAGAGATGAAAGACAGTGTCGAGGTATTTGTTTATTTCTCGATGGTGATGCCCAGGAATGGATCTCATGCACTGTGCCCTGCGAGGATCAGTCAGTGAGGTGTATTTGTAAACCAGGACCCCCACATCATGGAGACAGCATCGCGACCCACAGAAGGACGTGGGGCCTTCCAGCTCATCATGTTCCCTATTTTGTCTCTTCCTTCTCCCTCTTGCCAGTCCATGTCGGTTATGATGGACTCGATTTATCGTCCACCAATAAGTTCGTTCTCGACGATAACGATTGTACGGTTTGTAAGCCATGTGTATCCCCTCTGTTTACATAGCAATGTCGACGACGTCATCATTCGTGGATTTCAGTGTAATCCGTGTGCCCGGACGCTTAGTGTACAAGTGGAGTTCGTCCCGGCACTTGTCCCGAAACACCGTCTCATTCTTATTATTTAGGTAAGGTAACTGCCGGTGCTAGTACCGTCCTCTCGGCGCCGGCCCGGGTTCGGGAGCTATTGATGCCCACGTTGTTGCTCCCGTCTCACTACTTCCGAGTTCCGACATCATGAACTTTTTGAGATATCAAACCCATCCCATCCCGTACACTCGATACCGTTCAGGTCAGTAGAGAGAACCTCCGGATTCCGCAAGCGCCCCGTTACATACATGTAATCCAAAGACAGCTGTGGATCTCAGCTTGTGTTCTCGGCGGAGCAACCCGGCAGTGGAATTTTCAAACCCACCCGATGAACTACGGGTCCAGTCCTTCCCGCTCGGCGACACCTCCGATGACGAGTCTAGAATCTTCGATCACGTTTCTTGATTATAAACCAAGGACCCCGTATCCAAAACCTCCATCGATGATCCGTGTTGTCGGCGTTGATCGAACTTCATTTGGTGCAGTGCCGATCATGGCAAACTCATCAACAGATCCAAAAGCTTGGGAAAATTGGGGGTGCTGTTGTTTTTCATCGTGTCAGAACAACTTGTCAAAAATACGATGATGGCAGCGAGAAAATGGGAAACCGAGTGCTAAACTCACCCAAGTCCCGTAACAGGATCCCATCCCTCCGCCGCCGGGAACCCAGATGAACTGCAAGCCGGATTCGAGCCGATCGTAACGTCGTTGAAGACTTCTGGATGCGCATACTGTTTCACGAATCTTCAGTCAGCCCTATCGTGTCATTTTCGTTGCATGTCACTCAGCCCCTCCATCATGACTGGACCATTCTCCTCACGCTACCCATCTTTCTGGTGGCTCCCTTTTTCGTACACTTCCCCATCCTCTTATTTTCTCACACAGAGCAAAAAAGGAAATGGCACTCACAAACACAGGATTAACAAATCCCAACCTTCCATTCCCATTCTTTCCCCTCCGCCTTGATTCTCTCCTCAATCAACAAAGTCAACACAGCCCCCCACACCGGAGCCGCCAGCGACGTGCCTCGAGCCGTGTCCCAACGACCAGCGAACCGATAAATATAGCCATCGCCAATAGCGCTGACGTCAGGATAGCCACGGCCTGCTCTATTGAAGACCCCGACACCCCCAGGTCCGAATTGACTGTCATTGTCGATTGTGAAATAGTTCGCGACGGGCTGTGAGATGTCGTAGCCGGTGAAATTGAGTTGCGAATCAACTTTCGCAAAATACGATTCGACGACGGAAATTTGATATGATGGTGCAGAAAAAATGTTGGAAAAACCTCCTCCCGACGCGAACTCCGAAGTGGCTCTTTCCGTCAACGGAAACGGTCCAGCGTTGGTTGAGTTCGTGACATTGGAAGCAGGCAGAGGCTGCATCCATTCCGTAGCCCCAACCGCCAACATATACGGACAAGTGGCATCGCTATCCGGGTAAAACACCTTTCCCTTTCTTTCGCCAGAGCCAGCACACCCGTTCTCGTGACCGTAATCGCCCGGGTATGACGCAACGCCGTAATCGCCTGACGCCACCACCACGGTTACCCCTTGCAAGCCCAGCTTCATGATCTCGGAGCACTGGCGCTGGAGATACGAAGCCGGGAGGTCGCCTTCCCCGCCGCCGTACGAGATGGAGATCACGGGGGTGGGGTCGTATACGCCGCACTGACGGGCGCCTTCGTATTTGTCCGTGTTGGAAGAATTGGCGAATGGGTTGGGGTAGATGGGGTCGAGACAGGACGGGTCGGTGCAGTCGCCTGTTTGGTTGAATGCCGAGTAGCTGCAGTAGGAGCCGTCGAGGGCGTCGAAGAAGGCTGCCATGTTAAAAACCATCTGTCAGCCATGGCCATGGTGGAAGGATAGAGGGAGGGGAAGGAGAGTATACTATTCCAAAATCCCTTAAAAGGCGTATTCTCCTCCGTCTGGTTCTTCTCATAGTACGGATCATCCATTTGGAACAAGACTGTCTTTTGTGGCCAGATCAATGGCCAAGCGGCTTGGAAATCCAGGTTGGACTCGCGGCCGTATTCGGTGGGGATCCGGGCGGCACCAATGGCCCCGTTGATGAGCTTTTCGATGGGGTAGGTGCCATTGGGGATTTTCCTTGTCTGTTGTCAGCATTTCCGTGCTGCATCAGGCAAGTTTAAGGGGCTTTTACTCACGGGTACATGTTGCTAAAGTAGGCGCCCAAGTCCTCTTTGACGTAGTGGTCATTGAGACCCTCAAATATGCCGAGCTCGTTGCCTGGCGTTGCCGTTGTTCCTTCGGGTAGACCATATTGGGCTTGGAGATTGTTAGATGGATTCAATCATCTAGTATTTAGAACATTGTGGACGCCACTCACACTGTATACACTTCGGCGTGACATACTTGTAACACGTACTGTCGTTCAATGGAGGCAGGATGTCGAATCCTGGGTCCATCAACCCGTGATGAGTAGGTTGGAATCCCCTCTTTTCCTCCGTATGAACATGTCGAGCTCGGCGTTGGTTGCGCTTCGAAGATCGAACCTTGGCTGGGTCAGGACGCAACTTGATGCCCGGGGTGATGTAGTCAACGTGTTCCCTCACGTGATGCGGAACGTGGTACTGGTCGCAGGCAATGGCCTTGGATCCGGTGGGAAGGTGTTTGTAGATGTAGTAGGTTGTATAGAGAAGGCCTTCTGCCTCGGTTGCGTTGGCGTCGAACTGAAGCCACTGTATATAGGTATATCCGGGGTCAATGATCACTTCAGGGGTCTTTGAGAGACAATGATGCGAAGAGGGTAGGGATACCTGGTTGTTCTCGGAGCGAGATATCCGGTCCTCGGAAATCCCTGCGGAGGTGATCCATTTCGTGATGGCCTTTACGGTCTCGGAAGCGGGTGAGAACATCTTGACAACATCCTCTCTGCTGAGGTGTTGCCCATAGTTGGGTGATTTGGGATCCGATCTGGATTGTTTTAGTATCCGTTTCAGATGAGATGAGGTAGGAAGATAACTTACATGTCCATGAGCAAGTCGTGTCCTACATCCAGATTGGCCTGTTTCAACCCGATGCGCATTGGAAGAAGAGTGTTTGAGGGCACGGGTCCTCTCTTGTCCCATTTCCTTCCCCAGTGAGGCATTGCCCGTTCATGGAGAGCATGAGTATCGGGTACTGCTCTAGTATCGAGACGGTGGACATGGCTTTCGGGGAATGGGGCGGCTGTCGTTCCGAGAACCAGCAGACCGAGTACGAGGGCGGGTTTTCGAAGAATGGCCATGATGACGGGAACAGGAAGACAGCGATGAACGAGGTAAAGATACGAGAAAATGATGTGGTAAGTGAATAAGAATGCTGTGGAAACGAGAATCGAACCAAGGTGACGATGTCGATGAAGTAGACTTTTGTTTCAAGCCATGGTTAGGGGATCCTCATATACCTACGATCCGCTTGATGTGATACCAGACCAGGACCATCATCCATCAAAGGTGCCGTTTAATTCCCGTTCCGGCCGCCGTTTCCCGTTATGGTTCATAAGTCGAGTCAAGTGAAAGTCAAGCAGCTTGTTGGTCGTGGATGTCAGCCAACAACCAAAGTCCTTTTTGACGAAGGCGTCATGGATCCATCCGTCTTGATATGAACTTGCAAACCACTGACGGGGTAATTCCCCTCAACCTGCAGTAATAATACTGTAATTCCGGAGACGGACTTGATGCTGGATCCAATCGCTTGATTTGATGCCGTCTTCCGCGAAGCTTGGTAGAGCTTGTTTTCTTGATCGATGGGGGAGCTCAAGTCCGAACAGACGGAACATGGGACTGTCTTTTGTCCGGGCATAGCCGCTTATTCAGACTAGGGGGGTCGTCGTAGAATCTTAGCAATTTGAGTCGCTTCGATGAGATATGAGTGAGTCCATTGTGCTCGTGAAGAGCGAACTAACTAAAGGCGCTTATCTGTCCTGCCCGGTGATGGCACCACCTGAGGATATCAAGGAGGTAAGGACGACACTCTATCGAAGCCTGCCATTTGAGTAGGTAGGTTCCCATCTGGCGGGAACTCCGTGCAGGTCTGATGTTGTGGTGCCATGATATGGAAGATACTTGTTGTTTGTTGTTGTCAGAAGAAGAAAGTGAAGCTGTCGTGAGAAGACCCAACGCCAAGAGATACCGTGACCGGGCTAGGTACCTCAAGCTCCTAGGTACCCGACAGTACCATAATGCGCTAGAACAGCGCTGCCCACTTCCCGTGGCCTTCCCGCGCGGCCCCACAAGAAGCTGTCCGCGCCTCAACTGCCCCTCCAAAGCCCGCATCGGCTGCTGCCTTCCATCTTGAAATTGGTCTCTTTTCCTCTCTTTCAATTGTTTTCTTCCATCCAATCCATTCGACCATCACCAACTCCTCCGACTGCGCCGTACCGCCTAATTAGCCTCCTCGACAAGTCACCAGGTACCAGTTAGACACCGTCAGCCCAAGATGTTACCTCAGCCACAGCCGACCTCCTCCTCCTCCTCCTCCTCCTCCCCCCCCTCATGGCCATAAGCCCACCCTAGATCTAGACGAGTATCTCGACAACATCCATCTTGCCAGCCGCAACCATGACAACAATGACCGACTTCCTATACCCTCCGCCGTCCTCCCTCAAAGGACCCGAATTCCACCGCGTCCTGTTATCCGATCGCATCGTCGGCGCCCTCATCGGTTCCGCCCTCGGCGACGCAATCGGCCTCTACACCGAATTCCTCTCCGCCGCCGAGTCCGAGGAAGCCTACCCGCTCAAGCGCTTCATTCTGTTTCCTGGGAACCCGCGAGACCATGCAACACCCTTCAAACTCGACCACCATCGCGCCCCGCACACCCCCGGAGACTGGACAGACGACACCGACCAATGTCTCCTCATCTTGCTTTCCTTCCTACACACAGCCAGAACCCCCGAACCTTTTGCCGCCCCCTCAGCACTTGTACCCCTTTTTTTTCACGACGGAACCACCTTTGCAGTAAAGATTGCGTCCCAACCGCTTCCCACTCCCGTGGACCTCGCCAACCGCCTCTTGATCTGGGTCCAGTCTGGTCTTCGGCCCCTCGACACACTCCCACTTGGCCTCGGTGCGCTTGTTAACGCTGTGGTCAACTCGCCTGATTTCTTGCGCGATCCAATTCGTGTTGCGAGGGAGTACTGGGAACGGAAGATGGCTCCCAATGGTGATAAGCTGGCGCCCAATGGCAGTCTGATGCGCACGCCACCGGTGGGATTGATGTGCGTGTGGAGGTCGGAAGAGGAGACGTTTAGTCTGGCGGCGGAGTTGGGGAGGGTTACACATGCCGATCCTAGGTGCGTGGTGGCTTGTGTCATTGGGAGTGCATTGGTGAGGTGGCTGGTGAGGGGAGAGGTCGATTCTCTGGGAGATCTTGATGACAAGTTACAAGAGGCGTTGGGGTGGCATGAAGCCAAGGGGGCCAGGATGGCTGGTGCGGTTGTGGAGCCCCTGTATGAACGAGAGTTATGGAAACATGTGGGATCCAAGGTTACGCTGGAAGACCTGAAGCTGGATGAAGAGGGAAAGATTGGTTATGTCTACAAGACGCTCGGCGCAGGAGTGGTGCTCCTCAGGATGGCCTTCAGAGAGAGAATGAAGGCCGATGGGCCGAGGCAAAAACAAGAACGGTTCGAACGGTTGATCACGAAGTTGGTTATGGAGGGCGGGGATGCGGACACCAATGCTTGCTTTGCTGGGGCGTTGTTGGGTGCGCTCATGGGGCGCGAGGCGTTACCAGACCATTGGAAGAATGGACTCACTCATGGGAATTGGTTGAATGGTAAAGCCAAGATGCTCCTCCGGGTTTTGGGGTTGGAGGATGGGGGTTACGATGGTATAGGGGATATTGATACATATCCGGATGGCGGAAAGGGGGTGCTGAGAGAGGAGGACATGGATCTGAGATGGAGATGGTTGGAGGACAAAACACGGAGGAAGATGCAGGATGCGAAGAGGAACAGCGGGTTCCCTTCATGATGCTGTCTTGGTCCGAAGCCTCTTACCGGTACAGCTCACGGACCGCTTCCATCGTCTCTATCACCAGTTCTAGTCCGCGCTCCATTTCATAAACTTATTGCTTTTTAAATAAGCTCCGTCATTATCTTCCAATCCTATCTTTCACCACTCAATGCCCCCTCGCCTTATTCTCCTCAACCATCGCCTCATACTTCTCCCTCTCCACATCCAACCTCTTCACCACCCTCGCCGGATTGCCCGCAACAACCACAAAATCCTCCACATCCTTGGTAACCACACTTCCCGCACCAACCACCACCCCCCTTCCAATCGTCACGCCCGGAAGAACCACCACGCTGCCTCCAAACCAGCAATCCTCCCCCACGGTAATCGGTTTTCCCAGCTCCGGGCCCCGCATCCCGTTTCTCGTAATCGGATCAATAGGGTGCGTGGCCGAGTAAAAGTTCACGTTGGGACCGATCAATGTGCGCGCGCCGATGGTGATGGGGCACACGTCTAACAGCGTGCAGTTCGAGTTGAGGTAGACGCCCTTTCCGAGACGCACGTTGCTGCCGTAGTCCATCTTGATGGGGGTGTCGATGTAGGGGAAGTCGGAGAATTGGGCGGCGTCTTCTTCCTCATCATCCAATTTCGGGGGCAAGGGGGTGGGGTCTTGGAGCAACCTTTGTAATCGTTCGTTAGCATCGTCCCTTGATCAGTTCAATTTGTGTCGATGTGAAATCTTGGGTTAGGGAAAATATAGGTAGGTAGGTATTGAGAACAGTCCATGACCACCTCCACTGCGTGAGCTCGTGAGGTACTTGGATTTAAGTAAGATAAGATAAGACTGAAAGAAGAAAGAAGAAAGACAAAAGATGAAAACCCACTCCATCAATAACTCAGCTGCCCTCCTCCTCGTCGTCTCCCCGTTCGCCGCCTCAGTGTTATACTTGAGCATTGCGGACTTGCATCTCGCTCGGCCTTGTACCAAGTCGGGAGTCCAGCAGTAGTAGAGTTCCCCGGCTAGCATGCGCCGGTGGTTCTCGGCGCAGTCGGAGGGGTTGGATGGGTCGGGGCGGAAGGCTGGCGATGATGAGGACATGTTTACTTTGTTCTTTTGAAGGTATCTTGGAGGTGGTTAATAGGGTTTTGGTTCGGGATGTGCAAAAAACGATCGTCAAGGTAGGGAAGTTGAGGTAAGGTGAGTTATATGAGTTGATGTTGCTTTTGTTTACATCTACCTGTCCTGTGTAACCCAAGCAGGGTGTTGTGTCATGAAGCGGAGTTGGCGGAGTTGATGAGGACAGAGGAGCCACTACCGAATCCCCGTGCCGGCGCCGTTTGGGGACCTTGTTGGCTAGCTGGCTCGGCTGGCTAAACTCCGGCCTCGGCGGAGCGGGGTCCGTTGTTAACACGAGGTCAGCTGCCTGCGCGGCATTGAATTGGGGGTGTTGGCGGGATGACGGTCCGCTTGGAAGTTGAAAGTCTGGAACATGTTGATTTCAAAGATCCAGAAACTGGAAATTGTTGTCATCACCAGCTGAGATTTGGCTGTGTTGATGTTTTGCTGTTTGCACCCGTCCGTCCTATCTCGGGATGGTTGGGGTGCGGGGAAACAACGAGACCCGGGCTTCAGCGGGAGGAATCTTAGGTAAGATGATAAGGTCACAGGTGGAACCATCTTTCCATCAAAATCGGACCATACCAGTTCAATCGGGTATGGTGTAGCGGTAACATCGTTGACTCTCACTTCTTAGGAGTGACTGCTCCCTCAACAGCCCCGGGTTCGACTCCCGGTATCCGAGTCTCAATATCTTTTTGCGATTTTTTCACCTGTAGCTCACTCAGTCTCATTGCTATTCTTGTTCCCATTTTGGTTGCCTACATTTTTCTTGCTCGCTTTGTCTTTCGGGAACTGTTTGTTTCACCCCGCCTTGATCGCCAACCCTTTTTCAAGTGCCTGATTTGGCTGGCTATCGACATGGCACCAAATCTGTTGGAAACCTTAAGGTTGTTTCTTTCTGTGATGTTTCCTCGGTCGCCCTTTCCAGTGATTCATCCGAATTTCTGGAGGCGGATGCAGCGAGAGTCTGTTCATGATGGCAGTCAGTAGCAACTTCTGTACAAAATATTGCGTAATGTCAATGCGCCAGTCGTTTGCATCTTTCCCTCGACCTCTTTCTTCCCACAAACACTTTCTCATGCGCACTACGGTAACAAAAATGCCTAGGTAACAAAAATGCCTAGGTACCCTCTTTAATCGATCTTCCAACATCCTTCCTCCCATCTGTTTTGTCTTCAACACTCGCAAATTAACCGCCATGTCCCGAATCCCGCCGTTTCGTACGGTGGCACATGGCGAGGGAGCAACCGATGGCGTTACTGCACTATCGCCTGTACAGGGAAATGTGCAGTGATCAAGTTAGGAGCGCATCTCCGTCGCCGACGACATTCCATTCCCCACACCCAACATTGGCTCTCCCGCGCGCGATCACGGGTACTCGCTCGATGGAGGACGAAGAGGACGACCAGGCTGGTGATGCCTTCAACTACACACAGCACCGGCGTCATGGACTCATAACGCCAAACTATGGTAGGTGCCAATTGGGTAGGTGCCTTGGCGCTCCGAGTTAGTGCTGACGGTCCAGCTGAAGAGACCTTTCTCCTCCCACGACTCCAACAGAACACCTCTTCTCGCTCAATACACCCGTGGTGATCTCCTTGACCACGATCCGATCAAATAAACCTGCTTGGGACCATGGACGGTGACCCTAAAGCTTCGCCCCAGGTTGTGCCTTGGTCATTGCCGACATGGTGGGAAGAGTCACCTTCCTCAAGCAACATCCTGATATCCCGCGCCCCTCTTCCAAGCACAAGGTGCAAAGAGTGTGAGGCGGCCATTCACAGCAAACCAGAGCCGTCTTTTTCCCCAACGACTATTTTGCAAGTTGCCAGAGCATCTCCCGATATCTGCTGGCAATGCCGCATTCTTGTGGGTCTGGCTGAGAAAAAGCTGGGAAGACGCCTGGGCATGGACGAAGAGCTTGAAACCTGGAGTACGGCGGATGATGGTCACAAAATCAGAACCCTTCGCGTGCGGGAGGGCTCCAAGCTTAGCACTGGGCATGAAAATGAGCACCGACATATGAGTATCTCTTCGCTTGAGAGTGAGTGTTTGTACCCGTTGAGAAGCACTCCCCAGACTAACACCACATGCATCTTAGCTCTTTCATGTCCCTGGAACACATTCAACGCCAAAACACACACCTCTTCAGTGGCTCATGTTCTGGACTCCCCCTCCTACCAAGTAGCCTCCTACTGGCTCAAGAACTGCCTGGACAATCACCCAGGCTGTCCTGGTATGGAAGAAACCCTCCTCCCGCGCCGCCTCATCCACATCGGCGCCGACCATACCGACATTCGTCTCGCCCAGCACGACACACCAACTCTGGGCCGGTATAACTGCCTAAGCCACTGCTGGGGAGGCGCGCAGCCGCTGACCACGACCACCCACAACATTGCCCAACACCTGGAGCGAATCGATTGGGACAGAATTCCCAAGACCTTCCAAGACGCCATCAACTTCACTGCCCATCTCGGCATCTCGTACATCTGGATCGACTCTCTATGCATCATCCAGGACTCTCCCCAAGACTGGGTACAGGAGTCCGCCAAGATGTGCAGCATCTACGAGAACGGACATCTCACCATCGCCGCCTCTGCTGCTTCCAATGGCAGCGGTGGTCTACCAATCCGCGACTCCTCCGGCTTCGTTCGTCTTACAGGCACCACTTCCTCTCCTGAAAGTAAACCCTTTGATATATTAGGTTACTTCGAGCTAGGTTTAGGCGACCACCCTTTCCCGACGAACTTTCGTACTCCCTTGCTTTCTCGTGGTTGGGTCCATCAAGAGATGATCTTGAGTCCAAGGGTGGTTCATTTTGCCAAGAAAGAGCTGCTCTGGGAGTGCAAGACGGTAGGGACCTGTCAGTGTCCTCAGCCGCCCCCATTTAGGAGCACTTTCTTCAAGCAGGCGCACTACCAAACGCTGAAATCCCCAGGGCAGCCCGGCACTGAATCAGCAGGCGGCATGCTGGCTGGCCAATGGCAAAAAATCGTCGAGTCCTATTCCCGCCTCCAATTGTCGTTTCCAGGGGACAAGTTCCCTGCTTTATCTGGGCTGGCTCAGCAGATGAGCAAGAAGCGAGGGCCTGATGTGCGGTACCTGGCCGGTCTATGGAGTGATTCCCTCCTTACAGACTTGCTATGGACAGCAGCGTATGTGTGGATTTTGCACCGAATCGATCGTATCTTGCAAGGCAAGGACGAGTGGCGAGCACCTAGCTGGTCCTGGGCTGTTCGTGACGTGCCTGTTATCTTTGCTCGGACGGGGACGGAAACTAACGGATCTACGTGTGCGGTTAAGGCCCTCTGCAACATTATTGACGCGGAGATCACGCTCACCACTGCGGATAAGACTGGTCGTGTATCTGGTGGAAGGCTCGTTATCAGAGGTAGTCTCTTTGATGCCACTCTAGTCCGGGACATCGAGCGGTCCATCTCCAGGTCCGGCAAGATAGAAACGAATGTTACGATCACTTTGACGACCAAAACTCCCATGGAACCGACGGGCATCAAAACTTTAATCTCATATGCCTCCGAGGTTAGAACGAGCTTCGTCATCCAGACTGACTCCGAACGTCAATCTCTCAGAGGCTCGAAACCTGATGAGATGGGGATCTTGATCAAGGAGGGCTTCAATCCCGACTCCATCGCCGAACTGTTGTCCACAGAGAGGACTGACAGTAGGGAATACATGGGGAGTGAGGTCAAGGTCTTGAGGTTAGGAAGGGTAGGGAGGAGGCTGCCTGCACCCGACGAGAAGAAGTGGCTGGTGGATACGGAGTATGCGCTGGTTTTGCAGGGCGTTGACACTGAACCGGCGGAGGGTCAGGGTGCTAAGGGGGCAAGAACGTACAGGCGGATTGGTATCATTCATCAAGCCCGCGAGGCATATGGGGGACTTGAGCATGCGAGGGAGGATTTTTGGGAGCGTTATCCAAGTTCCTTTGAGAAGGGCGGACGAGAGGAGACGATAACTATTGTCTAGACTGGCTGCGAGGAAAGGAATTCTTGATGCCGAGCTGTAGGCCATGAAGAGCTTCTGATCCTGGCCACAGACTCGCCTCAACTTCCCTCCCCACAGCTCAAAGCGGGAATCTTATGGCTCTCTCCTGCCTCATGAGCATCATACGTTGCACAACATCGCGACCGTGAAACCATGATATCCACGTGTTTGGTTAACGGTCGACGAGCGGTGTGTTCCTCGTTTAAGAAGCCCTGTGCGTGGCTCTTTCGAGGGTACCATGTTGAAGCGGCAATCCGTCAGTTTGGTCTCAGTGTTGGCCCAGACAGTGCTGTCATATGACAGACAGCGTTGCAAGGAAGTGAAGTCTCATCCAATTTGTTTTTGTCAGCATCTCCTTTTGCATAATCCCATCTCCAGAGCCGTTCTGCACAGTCCCGATGAGCCCAACACCAAAACTGGAATGCACACTTCTGATGGCCGCATCGTCTACACCAAGGTTTCCAAGGACCGGTAATGATCACCCTTCCCTCACTCCAGTCGGCATATAGCAAATGGACATTGCACGTTGATTGGCGAGTGCAACACCTCGTGCTCTCACCAACCATCGTCTTCCATCCAACCTCCATCAAGGTCCCCCCGCATTCTCTGTGATACCCTCCACTTCAGGGGATCATGCGGCGACCGGGTCACGAAACCGCTTGTGTGATCGGCTTTCCCAACGACATCAAATGGAAACAGCGTACCGGGCAGCGACAAATAAAACGGATTGCCGAAAAGGGGGAGGTTAGCAGGTAGCATTGGTCGCTCTGTACATCACAACATCCAACGACAATCCTACTTTGTATGCACAGCAGATGATCATCGCGGATGCTGCCTTGGTCGTAGGACGAGGACAACGGATTCGTGTAGTACGCCCATGTGAACGCATCATGAACGTGAACAGGATTCAAGCTTGTTGAGGATGCAGCCGTCTGAAGGCGGAAGGATGGATGGAAGCAATGATGCAAGGTTGATGCTGTCATCCGGTCTGTCCTCCCTCATGGCAAACGGAAGTCGTCCTGTTACCACAGGGTTATCTACCTGGTGCTGCCACTTCCGGTTCAACTGGGAAGATGTTGTCCTGAACACTAGATCACCAACTTGCAGCACTTCATCGAGTGCAAAGCGAGTGATTCACCATCATTATGATGTCCAAAATCCTCGCGCTGCTGTCGGTGTTGTCGATAGCATCCGCCGCGCCTCTGGCAACATGCCCCGGATACCGAGTCACCAACGTCCAATCCGGAGACTCGTATCTCGTCGCCGACCTGACTCTCGCCGGCAACAAATGCAATATCTACAGTGAAGATATCACCAACTTGCGCTTGACCGTGGAATATCAGACTGGTAAGACATTGTCTCTCCTCCTTGCTTCCCCATCACCTCAATACTTCGACCCGAACCCGACCCGATCTAACACCACTTACCATCACAGACACCCGTCTCCACGTCTTAATCGAAGACCGCGAGAAGAACGTCTACCAAATCCAAGGCAACATCCTCCCCCGCCCCACCTCTCAGAATTCCAGCTCCCAAACCACCGATCTGCGCTTTTCCTACGAAGCCAACCCCTTCTCCTTCAAAGTCACACGCGCCAGCACCGGCGACGTCCTCTTCGACACTTCTCCCTCACCTCTGATCTTTGAGACACAGTACCTCCGCTTGCGCACCCGCTTGCCTCCCAACCCGAATTTGTACGGACTGGGTGAACACTCCGACTCCTTCCGACTACCGACTGATGGATATAAGCGAACGTTATGGAATTCCGAAGCGCCGTATATACCGCAGAACCAGAACTTGTATGGGAGTCACCCTGTGTACTTTGAGCATCGCTCCGGTACCAGTAACAAAGGTCCAGCAACGCATGGCGTTTTTTTGAGGAGTGCATCCGGTATGGACATCATCATCGGAAAAAGCGACTCCAACGAGCAATACCTCGAGTACAACACCATCGGCGGCGTGTTCGACTTTTATTTCTTGGCTGGCCCCTCACCAGAACAAGTAAGCAAGCAATACGCCGCCGCCGTCGGTCTGCCCGCCATGATGCCCTATTGGTCTCTCGGGTTTCATCAGTGCAAATACGGCTGGCCGGACTTGGCGCACGTCAAGCAGGTTGTCGCAAACTACAGCGCTGCGGGGATTCCGCTCGAGGCGGTTTGGGATGATATCGATTACATGGACAATAAGCTGGATTTCAGCACGGATCCGGTACGGTATCCCAAGGATCAGCTCAGGAAGTTTGTGGATGAGTTGCATGGCAAGGATATGCGGTATGTGCAGATTTTGGATCCGGGGATCAGGAATAAGCAAGACTATGGCCCGTTTAAGAGGGGGGCGGATAAGGGTGTTTTCTTGAAGGCAGCTGATGGGTCTTGGTATCGTGGTCTGCAGTGGCCCGGGGAGGTGGTTTGGCCGGATTGGATCGCTCCCCAAACCAAAGAGTGGTGGACGACGGAGATCTTGACGTTTTATGATCCCAACAACGGGATTGATATCGATGGATTGTGGATCGACATGAATGAGGCGAGCAATATGTGCGCCGACACCATGTGTCTGTCGTCAGCTCAGGACATGGAGGCTCGGTCAGTCCAAGTCCACAACCAAACACCACTGTCTCCTCGCGCACCACAACATGCAGCCGCACCGGGAGACGGCCAACACCTCGGCCTTCCCAACCGCGACCTCTTCACCCCCCGATACCAAATATCCAATCACTATCCATCCCTCTCCTCCCGCACTTTATTCACAAACATCACCAACGCCGACGGCACAACCCAATACGACACCCACAACCTGCACGGCCTCTTCATGTCCCTCACCACCCGCTCGGCCTTGGTCGCCCGCTCACCAACCAAACGTCCCTTCCTCCTCACGCGCTCCACCTTCTCGGGCTCTTCCCGGTTCGCAGCCCACTGGTTCGGCGACAACTTTTCTTCATGGGCCGATTACCGCGCCTCCATCCGCCAGCTTTTGAGCTTCAGCGCAGTACACAACTATCCCATGGTCGGCAGCGACGTGTGCGGGTTCAACGGCCAGGCTCAAGAACGCATGTGCGCGAGATGGGCCGTGCTGGGGGCTTGGCACCCCTTTTACAGGAATCATGCTGATGTGTCGGCGCCGGATCAGGAGTTTTATCGGTGGGATGTTGTGAAGGAGGCGGCGAGGAAGGCGGTGGGGACAAGGTACAGGTTGTTGGATTATTTTTACACGGGGCTGCACTATGCTAGTACGAGGGGGGAGGTGCTGGTGAAGCCGGTCTGGTATGGGTGGCCGGGGGATGAGAATACGTACGGGATTGATACGCAGTTTATGGTCGGGGACGCGGTTTTGGTGAATCCCGTGGTGGAGGATGATACACAATCTGTCAGCTTTTATTTGCCAAAGGGGGTTTGGTATGATTTCTTTTCTCATGATCGCATCGATCAGAGCGCAGGTGGACAAACGATTACCGTCACTGGCGTTAACTGGGACGAGATATCGGTTTACATTCGCGGGGGGAGTATACTTCCTCTTCGCCTTTCCGACTCTCTACCCTCCGGCTCTGATGCAGGCCAGGCGATGACCACCAAGGAAGTCCGCGCTAGAAACTTTGAGATAATCGTGGCGCCTGATGCCAACGGGAAGGCAAGTGGGAAATTGTATCTAGATGATGGCGAAAGTCTGGATTCGAGTGGGAAGGAGAGCGAGATTGACTTCAGTTGGAATGGGAAGAGGTTGGAAGCTAGGGGGACGTTTGGGTATGAGACGGGGGTCAAGGTGGTGAGGGTTGTGGTTTTGGGGGATGCGGAGAGGAAGGCGGAGGGTGAATGGGGGTTGATGGGGAGTTTTACGGTTGATTTCTAGAGAAGTTGGAATGTACTTGGGGAGATGCTAGGTATCTAGGTATCTACCTGCCTACCTTAATAGGGGAGGGTGATGGTGCTTTTGTCGCGTTGAAGTTGCGCAGGAGAGTGACGGGTTCAATCTTTATGTCTGGTATGAGCCACCCACTTCCAATGTTAGAACCGGAGATCTGTTGTGCGTGTGCTATGTGTGTTTCATGTGTTTGCCCTGCCATCTTTCAATACCCAAGGTACCTCTACCCAGGGACACTGATCATAAACCGAAAGAGTACAATTATTGTCGTCCATCATGTCTTCTACTCAATAAGTATGTGTTACTCCCATCGTCCATTACCTACCTATTCTTCATGCTGGGCCAGAAATATGCTGTAGCAAGAGCAGAAGAGCTCGGCAGGGAAACATGTATTCCATAGGATAGATAGAACTGCGCGGATGCCGCAACTCCTCTGCAATACCGCAGTGTTTTGGGGCATCCGCTTCCACACTTTCCTGGAAATAAGGCATGACTTCACAGATGGTACTCATGTGGCTCAGTAGCTTTAATGACATTCCTATCCCAGATCCAATCCATACCTATATCCTGCTTGGTACTGTTGATGCGGGAAGTTAGCTGCATGTTCACGTTCTTCAGTGATCCGGGAGATGATGGAAGGAGACTTACTCATTCTTCAAGTTATGTATTGGTTCCACCTAGCCACCAGCCGGAATCGGGTTTCTAAAAATGATGTTCTTGGTCGTTTCCCACAGCAAAAGGTCAGTAAATAATGCATTCTTCCACCATTTTGAGCTGGAGGGCGGGGATATTCAGAATCACCGTCGTGCATAGAAATTCAGGTGGGCATGCATGTTGCAGTATGTAGGTACCTCGCATTTAAACAGATGTGGCCAGTTTAGTCATATCCCGCACACCCACCGCCCCAGATGTTTGCGGTACTCGAGTTCCTGTACATTATTTATGTGTTAGGTGTCCCAGAGTTTTGGGCATTGGTAGAGATTTGAAAAGTCTGCAATGCTGGAAGTGCTTCTGGTCTATGGTACAGACTCTGCCTCGTTTCCAGGAAGTTCAACTGGATGCCCCGAAATATTGCGGCATTGCAGAATTGCGCGATCCGTGCAGTTCTATCCTAGTACAGATGTCCCTGCCGAAATCTTGCCATAACATTTCTGGCCCAATATAAAGAATACCCTTTTGCCTACCTTGGCGAGCTTGGGTATAAGTCCCAAGCTCAACTCCCTCACCAGAGGAATCTAGTACGGCAACGTCAACTTCGCCATCAATCTTTCCAAGCCCCAATTGCTCTTTCCGCAAGCAATCATCACAAATCATTACTGTCACTTATATTGCTTCCGTTCCCCTACTCTGCTAGAATTAAATACCTTCCAACCCCAGCTACCAATCTTGAACTTATCTCTCCGCTTCTATTGCAAGAAATTCCGGTCTGGATCTTCAAACGACATCCGCCGACCAAGCTACCTCCCACACCTCGACGAACGAAACCAGTAAACATCCCGCGCATCAAACAACAAGACACAGTCCACCTCACGTTCCAAGACATGGATACCAACGAGCGAAGAACAATGAGTGAGGAAGTCGAACGATATGAGACTGGACCTTCTACCTCAAACGACCCCGTGATGTCATACAAAAAAGCCCACCTCGCAGAGCGGCAGATCGCGAAGACTGAGAAGGAGATGGCTTAGAAAGAGATGGAGCTACTCGAATTGAAGAAGCAAGAGGGTCGTATCCAGGCCAAGGAATAGGACGCAAAGGGAATCAAAGCTGCCCAAACGAGAATCACTTGTGCCGGTGGCAATTACTGGAGACAGAAAGCCGTGGATGACTATGACGCTTTGCACCCGGACGATACGAACATAACTGATGAGGCAGAGACACGCGTCTTCTGCCACATCAGTGGCAAGCACCAACCCTCGGTATCCGTCAAGGCGGCGCGTATTGTACCCTACAACTATCTGGATGACCAATTGGCGCTGAGGCACCTTTTCGGAGACATGGAGCGGTCAAAGGACGTCGAGACATTTTCCAACTTCCTCATGATGAGCGTACAGCTGGCAAGCTGGTTTGCCAAGTACCAGTTCGTCATTGTTCCCGTGGACCCCCTGAAAATGGCCACCATTACCAGATGGAAGGTAGAGGTACTTTCTCCTGATATAAAAAATATGACCGTCACAGCCTTGGTCAAGTTCCTAGGCCATGAACCCAAGGTGTGGGAGCATCTTGAGGGGCGCGAACTGGTTTTTTTTGAACCAACGTCGCCCAGAAGCACGGTTCTTGTTTTTCAGATTTATCGCCCTCATCCGAATCAGGGAGCTCAACAAGAAGGGCTGGGAAGAGGTCTGGGCCAAGTACTACGGGTACAAGCCTTTCGCAACCCCAGGAAAGTACTTCCTACAACGAACTGGAAGGCTGCTGGCCCTGGCCGCGGCACACAGCGAGATTATCGCCCCTGAGGAGATCGAACGACTTCTCCTATTAACCGAAGTGGAAGGGATCCCGCGGATCCAAATCCCAGAAGAGGACATGCAAAGGGTAAAAGAGGAAGTCGTCGCTAAGATTGCGTCACATGACACAATTAAGGACGAGGAGGAGGATGGGGAGGAGGGGTAAGAGGGCGAATTCGAATACATCACGATGGATGATGGTTACGGCAGAGTTGCTCCTAGTGATGATGAGGACGAAGCGTAACTCCAGGAACACACACGGGCGGCAGCACTTTATGCAGTCCTTTTGGTTTGAAGAACAGAGTGGCCCGCCATCTACATGTACTTTCGTCTTCGTCCGTTCACACCGTCCATCACGGATTGTCGGGGCTTTAGAATTCTATTAGCATCAAAATATGATGCGACCAGCAAATCTTCTACTTGTCACTTAACCCAAAGAATCCCACCACTACCAGTACTACTACTACTACCATCACCAACACCACCACCGCCTGCCTCCTCACCTAGGTTTAAAACGCAGTCACAGTAGGATTAACCTCCACCATAACCACCGCATCAACTCCCATAGTCCCCTTCTCCGCCATGACCGCCTCAAACTTTAGTTGCGCAGTGGAAACATTCTCCGGCGCAACCCAATAAACCGTATTCAATCCCCACCAATTAATCCCTCCTTGTCCCTGATCGCCCGGATCCCTCGTATAAATCGGCTGGTTATTAACCATCAGTCCCACAAACCCGATCCCAAACGCGTCGAAGTACGTCGAGAAACTAATCAGGTATTTCCTTCCTGGAACGACGGTGACCGTAGGGGAAATAAGACGGGCAGAGACGAGGAACTCTTGGTTGGCTGGGTTGGGCTTCAAAGGAGACACAACTCGCCAGGCCTTGGAGCCAAAGCGGTAATCCGGGTTTACTTGGCCTGGTAGAGGTAAACTGACGACGCCGGCGGTTGCTCCAGGGTCAGGAACTTGTTGCGTCCATGACCCGAGACCGGATTCGAATTCGCCGCCGGGGAGGATACCCAGGGGCGGAGGGGTTGTGCCGGAATAAGCGCTGACGGGAGCGAAAGTGACGGTGTCGAGAAGAGAGGGAGGGCCGATCCACTCGATTCTTATTTCCGCTGTAGTTTCACCCGTCAAAGACCGCCAAGGCGATTGTCTAAACCGCCACTTTTCTCGAGGCAAGTCATCGTTGCTGTCGATGGTCAGGCCTGCGCGCCCGTTGATTTGGATGCCGATGAAGCCGGTTGAGGTGATACTGCCGTCGGTGTTGTTGGGGAAGAAAGTGGCGAGGGTGAGTTTGTAATCGGTGTTTGGGGTTATCGGGAGTAAAGGGGAGATGATGCGTGCGTTGACGCACACGCCTGAGCAAGTGGAGGGTCCGGTGAGAGAGGCAAGGAGGGCGCGGGCACCGGTGAAGAAGTTGGTTGTGGTGGTGGAGAGGGAGAAGGAGGGGTCGAGGACTTGGACGGTCCAAGGGGGAGAAGGAGATGGGCATTCGAAGTCGCCGTAGATGAGTCCGCCGTTGGATGGGGTGGCGGAGGGGCAGGCAGTGGCGGTTGCGGTAGCGGTGGTGGTGGTGTACGAACAGGTCGGTCCGCATTTGCAAGCGGAGATGTAGCGGTCGGGAGTATTACCGCACGCGTTGGTGGCTCGGGTGGGATAGTTGGTTGCGGTGGTGCCGGAGGCGGTTATGGTTTTGCAAAAGGCCGAGGCAACGGAGACGGCGGATGGAGAAGGGCAGGGGAAAAGAGCGCGGTAGCAGCTATTGTCTGGGTGTTAGTGAGCATCATCTTGGAAGCATAGAATAGGGGTGATTATACTTGTCGGCATTGCACTTTGGAGGACCTCCTGGTGTGGTGGTCCCAAGAACGAGGAGTCCCTGGGCCAGGAACAAGGAGAGCTGCAGAACGGACTTCATTGTCTCTATCTTGCCAATGTCTTGACAATAGAGCTGGACTCTTCCTTTCTCTGACAGCGTCTTCCAATGCCCTTATATCCATCTCGACGGTCCAATTGTTGTCAAGATCTGACGGTCAGCGGAGAGACGTTAAGCCGTGTCATGGACTATTTCGGTGTGGAAGCTCAAACACGATGTGAAAGCAGGAAGATGGCTTGCAGACACGATAATTCAAGTGCCGTGTTTGGGCCATGGCGAGCTTTAAGACTGGCTGGTGCTGGCCAATATTCGCTTGACAGGTCCGAACCCGGGAGCGGCTGAGTCTGCTGAGGTGGTTTGGCAAGCCACGTGGGATGAGTGCCGTCTCGGCATGGCACTTGTGACTTTGGTGGTAGGGTAAGCTTTGCGAATACCACGGAGCTTCCCGTATTGGGTGATGGCTGAAGCCTGATGACTTTCCGACATAATGGGATCCTCTCGTCCATTTTGATTAAACGGGTTGAGCATCCTGACTTGGCAACTTAACCCCGATTCCGAAGACAGTCAACTATGGGGGCATTGGCAGAGCAATGGTTGTCTCCTTGTCAGGTCTTCAAAACCGACGGCTGACTAGTGGAATGTGTAGAATACACAGGGAAATTGAGCAATGAGGTTAAAGTTGAAGCTAATGAATGGGTCAACAATTGTCTTTTGCTGGGGGCCGGTTCCAGGTGACACGCACGCGTCGAGGACTTACAGAAATTGAGCTCGTCGTCGGTGTAGGCCAGGACAGTCGCTTCTTTTGTGAACAAAATGTCTTCTAGAACTGGCACAGGGAACGCAATTTCGTTTGTGCGGGAAGTTTTTTGTCGACGGACAAACAGTTGAGTGAGGATTGATGACGAAGAGTAGGAGCGATGTGGCTGGTCAGGTGAGGACACCTGTGACCGCAAGCATTGCATGCAGCTTCCCACCACTCCTTCCATCTTTCGCGACCAGCAAATCCTACTTTGCAACAAGAAATCCAAAGTCAGAAGGCAATGGAGATTGTCAGCTTCTATTCATTCCCGTCTCTTTCGATCCGGCCACCAAGATCGCCGTTGAACACCATCTTCAACACCCGCATTCTGTCCTCAATCGGGATCGCGCCTCGGTCCATTGCGGGCGACGGCGTCAAAGTCCATACCTTTTGCGTTCGCAGATACACGCTGTGCCCCATTCCCATCCAGCTTTCCGGCTCATCAAGATCAAGTCACTGGAACTACTTGCCCATCTCCAGTGCTGACCAGACCTGAAATCCCGTCTCTAGTTACTACCATGCCCACGATGCCCAGACATCGTCACCGATTTGCGAGACCTAAAGAATTGCCTTCTGCCCGACAGAACCCAACGCGATCGAGTTACGACGAGACAAGCCGTGTAGAACCGTTCCTTAGGAGCCTCTTGTCTACACCATGCGATAGCGAGAATCATGGCCCCTCATAAAGGCAATATCCCCATATACGAACAAACTGTCACCGCGCCCGGCTAGGCTCCATTCCCTTCCGACATTGCTCGGTTCCCGATACGCAGCAAGGACGACGGCCCCGTACCTTCGATGTAAGACAAGCTTATTCCCACCATGGCTTTGCGGAAAACGTGGAACCGTCGTATGCAAGACATTCCAAACAAAATATCCCGCTTCTGTCGCACAGCAGACAAGTCTCAGACCCTTTGTTGTGCCAGCAAGTCAAGCCCGAATCTCCCGATTATTCGAGACACGCCCTCGCTCAAGACCCCTTACACTGCAATCAACATAAAGTTAACCAGCATGTGTTGTTTCTCGCCCAGTCCACCCGTCAAGGCTTCCCCCGAAAAGGAAACCGGCGACATCGGAAGATGGCGCGTGTAACCAAGTCGGACCCCAACGTTTCAAACAGCAGCCTCCATCAGCCACGAGACACGTCTCGTAACTCGACGTTATGCCCCGAAATACTTGGTGCTGCAACCGCTCTTGCGACCCTCGGACTTCCATACTCGATTGATAACACACAGAATAGACAATGTGCAGGATACATCGAGGAAAGGGAGATTAGGATCGCCAGGCATAAAAGCTGTGGCACATGCCATGTCGTATCATATCCAAAGCTTTCTTTGTTCCGTTTGCAACCAAAGCTGTAGTGGTAGGTGACCTGTCCAAGCAACCTTTCACGCCTCGTATTGCTGCCCTGACAGTTGACTATCACAGGCCGTTGATAGGGAACTGCGACAATAACAACCTTTTCCACCAAGATAGGATCCCCTTCTTCAGTCGAGTGACTAGCTGCGATTCGTCTCTCCTTCTCTCTTCCTAGCTCTACCAGCTTGCCTGCGGCCCCTTTGCTTGTATAGCATTCGTCATGTTGAGAAAATGCTTCCACAAACCTGCCTGCTTCTCACCGGAGTCGGAAGGCTGGCCGGTCCAATATCACTCAGGAGGTCTGCATGCCTTGGCTGTCCCAAGCGGCCAGTCGCTGCCGCATTTCCTCATGCGGCTCGCCATACAAGCATAGGCCTAAGCCCGAGCTGCAGGAACCGAGTGCTCAAACGCGGGACGCGTCGGGAGTTGAGCGGCTACTGACATGGTTCGCCATACAATTCGGAAGAATCCAGGCAAAGATACACTGATGGCTACGCAACGCTAGGTACTAGCTGTTGTACGATGGACCGTTGGTGTTTTCTGCCAAGTCGGTCTCATGCCCACTGTTGTCGAGAGTTGGAGTTCCACAGGATTGTTATTTACACGTCCCATTGACCAATCATGCCTGGCCCAATCTCCTGGAACTTTGAGCTCAACCTACCGTCGAGAAAGAGGATTCACGAGCAGTACTCGTGGGAGTTCCGCGGTCAAATTGGCAAGCTAATAATGGATTGGCTTCCTTATTGAGTTTATCTGCCAAGAATTTGTCGAACTAATATTGACTAGGTTCAAGGACCGGACCAAGCCTGGGTCCAAAATGGACGAGTATTGCAGAACAGACAAAAGGGTCAACGGCTCAATGCCACAGAAAACATCATGAATATACCCAGCTATCTTTTAAGTCGATGTCGTGAAAGTCGCCAGTGTTACTGACCGCCACATGGTGTTGTGGTGACACTACAATGCACCGAGCCGTGGGTTGTGTCGTAAAGTCACTTTGCCGTCGTCACGAGACAAGCTAGCTTACAGTTTGGTATATGATGCTCGACAGCCCCGAGAGCGAAATGTTAGCCGTGCTTGTCAAGCCCATTAGCTCAACTGCCCTGTTCTAGGTCTTCGTTCAACACCGTACTGTGCCAACTCGGACCCCGTCAACGCCATGTTCAAACCCCTTGGTGGACTCTTATGGAGTCTGCTGCTGACAGGTCTTGCCCACGGCAGTCCTTTAGCAGAGTCTCACCCACATGTCCTGGAGGCCCGGCAATCCTGCAATACCGCATCCAACAGACAGTGTTGGACTAGCAACTTCGACGTCAACACTGACTATGAAGCACATGTGCCCGAGACCGGTGTTACCAGACAAGTGAGCCGAAGTCCAATGTGACCATAGAGCTGGCATAACTGACAAGACCAGTACACCTTGACCTTGACCGAACAAAGCACCTGGAGAGGAGGTGATGGGCGGTTGAAGTACAGTGCAATGCTTGTCAATGGTGAGTCTGAAGCAAAAAACTGAAGTAAATACCAAGCTAACACTTCGCAGGCCAATTTCCAGGTATGTAAAGTTGTCAAACGCCAAGTGATCACGATGCTTACAATTCTCTAAAGGCCCGACCATCAGCGCAAGTGAGTGTTTCCATCTTCCCCTACAGCATCACAAGCGCTAACATCGTTCAGACTGGGGTGACAGACTCCAGATCACCGTTATCAACAACATGAGATCCAACGGGTAGGCTCATCCATATCCCTGGGCAGACAAGAACTAACACCCCTAGTACCTCGATCCACTACCACGGCCTTCGGATGCTCAACGCCAACACCCAAGACGGAGTCAACGGGGTCACCGAATGCCCTATCCCTCCTGGAAGTAGGAAGACCTACACTTTCCTCGCCAACCAATATGGCACAGCTTGGTATGCGTCCCCTACAAAGCACATCAACATCCGCTAACAGATCAGGTACCACTCTCACTTCCCACTGCAGTACGGAAACGGCATCCTCGGACCCATCGTCATCAAAGGTCCCGCATCCGCAGACTACGACACCGATCTTGGACCGCTCGTCCTCTCCGACTGGTACTACGGTTCAGTCTTCGAGATTGCCCACCGTGTCAACAACCCCAGCAACCCCTTTATCCCCAATTTCCCCGGCTCACCTCCCGCCAGCGACAACGTCCTCTTAAACGGCCGCAACATCAACCCCGACGGATCCGGGGGCTCCTACACCCGCAAGACCCTCACCAAGGGAAAGAAACATCTCCTTCGACTGATCAACACCTCCCTCCAAAACGCCTTCACCGTCAGTCTCGTCGGCCACACCTTCCAAGTCGTCGCAACCGACATGGTGCCCATCAAGCCCATCACGCGCGACCACCTCTTCCTCGGCATCGGCCAACGCTACGACGTCGTCATCAATGCCAACCAGCCAACAGCCAACTACTGGTTTAACGTGACCTTCTCCGCCCTGCCCTGCGGCCAATCCGACAACCCCTATCCAGCCGCCATCTTCTCCTACTCGGGCGCCTCCTCAACTTCCTTACCCACCCAGCGCGGCGTCGCACCCCCAGACTCGCGCTGCGCCGCTCCAGAGCGTGATTACAGCCCCATTGTCTCCCGCTCCGCTGACGTCAACTCTTTTGTTGCTACCACCTCCCACACCCTAAACGTCGACCTAACAGTCGACAACTCCCAAGCCCGCGTCTTCTGGCCCGTCAACAACTCCCCCCTGCTTGTAAACTGGCAAGAACCAACCCTGCGCTACGTAGCCAACAACACATTATCATCCATCCCCCGCTCGCGCAACCTCATCCAAGTCCCTGGCACCAACACCCTCACTTATTTCTTGATACAAAATAACTCTTCAATTCCACACCCCATCCACCTCCACGGTCATGATATCATGATTTTGGGGTCTTCTCCCCCGCTAGCAAATCCGCTAGCGGAAACGCAGGTGAGGGAGTATAATCCTAATACGGATAAGAGTACCCTGAAGGGGAATAATCCGCCAAGGAGAGATACAACCATGTTACCAGCTTGGGGATGGCTGCTGGTGGCGTGGAGGACGAATAACCCCGGCGTGTGGATTTTTCATTGTCATGTTGGGTGGCATGTGTCTCAGGGGTTGGGGGTGCAGATTTTGGAAAGGCTGGATGCGTTGAGGGATGGGGGTGGGGGCCAACTGAGTGAGATTGGGACTAATTGTGGGAATTGGGGAGCTTGGTATCCGGGGAGTAGGTGGAAGCAGGATGATTCTGGATTGTAGGCCTGAGGTCTTGGAAGTGGAATTTGGGGAGGAAGGGAAGGGAAATGGGCCTGGAGTTGATAGGTAGGGGGTCGTAATAATGAGGGGGAAGATGGCTTTTAATGGATGTAATGAAGTATTTGAAGGATTTTAGGGTTTCTGTCGATACATCAATGTTGCTAATGACTCTTTATTCCCGAGTGTCATTTATGGGTTGATGGTGAAGATGTGACAACCCTAACCCTGTCGTGAACGGAAGGAGCTGGCCATGAGCGATGACAGAGAGGTCAGGTAGGTACCTTACCTAACCATACCTTCAGCGGTCGGATGCCGGACGGGTGAACAACCATGCAATCGGGCGCGAACCATAGTAAGAAGAGGTAGTATTGCGTCTCCTGAACAGTAACCTCTAGGCTAGCCGTTGTCCCTACAGGGTTGTGCCGCACCTCGAAAGTCGGAATGGCAGCTTCAACGCAATAATCGCATTCGGGTATCCAAACGTGCTTCTATCTTACCAGATCAAAATCAATCTCACAAGAAGTAGACCATCCCTTACCGTGTTACCCTTCCTTCCCATCACCTCCTTGCTCCTTGTTCCTTGCCATGAAACCCTCCATCTACTTCCCACCCAAAAGCCCACCTACATTCCTCACCGAATCCACAGAGGTATCAGGTAAATACCCTCCCCTCTCATCCTTGCCCTTCCTCTCCATTCTATTCACTCCTTCCTTCGAAAAGAGATCTCCAACGGGTTGTGCCAAGCCTCCTTGTCCGACTTGTCCGGCGACGAGGTTGTGCACGCCGTCTTGGAGGGTGTTGACTTGCTCGATGTTTGTGATTTTTGTTTTGGAGAGTGTGTCTTTTGAGCAAGAGAAGGGGTCAGTTTGTGGCTCCTGTTGAGTGAAATGTGGCCTTTGGGACAGGATGGGATGGTGGCTGGAGGACATAGGGCAAAATAGGGGGTAGGGGAGGGAAAATGGAGAATGGCAAAGGGCAAAGGGAAAGGGGAAAGGGAAAGGGGAAAGGGAAAGGGGAGGAGGCAGATGAGGTTAGGAGGTTAGGAGGGAATGAAAGGGGAAAAGGAAACACGGTGAAAGATGAAGGGTAGGAGATGACTGACCCTTGGTAGCATAACTCGCTTTGTTGTCCTTGGTGAAGTAGCGGAGGTAGAGGTCTTCTAGCCATGGAACCCAGTTCTCGTATTGAGCGTCGTATTGGTTTTTGGCCCATTCGGACCAAGTTGGCTTATTGTTCTTGTGCTTTTGGTCGGTGCCGTTGTTTGGGCTGTGTTCTTGATTTTGGGCGGACATCTTGTTCATTCAGTTGTGGGAAATATGCGCTTGGGGTTATGGTTCGTTCTTTTCCTCGAGGGGTATGGGAATGTTAGAGTTCTGGTGTTCGGAATGGACTGAAGGTGCGTTTTTGGTTTTCTTCACTTTCACTCATGACTGGAGGTGGAAAGGGCACCCTTCATATCTGTTTTATCATTACTATCACCTTGGTGGTCGTACAAGCGAAGCTTCCCAGTTCCATTTCTTGCTGGATTGATGCAAAATGACCGTAATGGAGGGTATACGTCATTCTCGGATGTCGCCAAAATTCCCTGTTTCGGACCATCCAACTTCAAGCGATCACATCCAACGAAAGGGGAAGCCGCAGACGACCGCCAAGCCAGGGTGCAATCTTGTATGACACAACGCGCTTGCCTTTTCGTGTTGACTCTTGTAGAAGACGTACATCTGGAGTCATTGATATGACATTCGCTCCCGTCAATTTTTACGGGGGAACAAGTCACGAGACATGATTGTCTGAATCACTGATGAGAGCACGAATCTGTACACAGTTTTTTCCCCCAAAATCCAGTATTTATTGACCGTACCAAATCAGAAGCCGACCACCCAGAACAAAGTATGTTAATACATGCCCAAGTTATCCACACTCATGCTTCTTCCCCGTGCCAATCCACCTATCCTTCCTGTTCTTTCCCCTGTCATGACTAGTATCAACATAAAGCCTTAGCCTCGTACAACCCCATCCAAGTGGCGAAAAGACTTCACGACAATCCTGGTGATTCTGCGTTTCGGTGCAGCGATCGGTGCAGCAGCTACCTGTACCTGTGCAGCTACCACAGGATATTCCTCCAGGTCCATTACGTCCTCTTTCTTAACGCTTGGGGTTCTCGAGCGCAAGCGTCCATCCCATACACTCGAAACGGTGGTGGCTTCCTTTGCTGTCCTTGCCTTCTTCTTCTTGGGCCGCCTGTCGTCGTCGACGTCCTCTTCGCTTCGCTCGTCTTCAGCAAATCTTTTCAAGCGCAGCTTGATCTTCACCCGCTGCTTCTTCTTCTGGCCCTCTCCCTGGGCCTGGGCCTGGAGCTCAAGCTGCTGCTCTTTAACCCGGACGGGATGGTAGTCGCCGTGTGCAATTGCAACTGCTGCACCGGTTGGTGACGGCGATGATGGCGAGGGGGACATGCTGGAGTCAAAAGCTAGCTCAGGAACCCGGCCCGGTGACAGAGAGGGTCTAGTGGGAGTTACGGGGTAAAGAACGGGAGAGGAGGCGGTTAAGATGGTAAGGGAAGTGGAGGACGAGAACCGTAGAACCACCGGGAGAAGCGTCGATGCTGGAAGAAGAAGAAAACCGGTCTCGGTCACGAAGAGGCACTTGGGTAAGCGAGCCCACAGATTCGCGGGCCGGGGTCGATGTCGGGTGGAGGGCGTCTGCGTTCAAGACGACCTTTTTCTGCTCATCGTCCAGGTATTTGAGGCTTTTTTCTTTGTGCTACAGGTT